TTTGTCTTTATTAAACGTGTATTTAGAAATTTCACAAAGTATGGAAACACAAATATCTAACTTAACTAATAGCGACTTTCTAGCTAAACGAAACTATTTATTTTATTTCTCTTGATACCGACAGCAGATAAAAAATAACAAAACAAGAAACAAAAATACTAGCCTAGTGAGATAACAATTTATATATCTGTTTGTCCCGTAGTTTGTGAAATGTCTAAACGCCCCTTAAAATGTCTTGTAGAATTTTGAATTGGGCGGATCATTCGCGAATACTAATTTTTTACGAGTACTTAACTCCAATGGACGCGGATTGGCCGAGACCATCTTCTTTTCAGAGGCGTCTGAGGGTTATCAGGAATAGAAGAGGAAGCAAGGTTGGAAAGGAGAGGGTTCGGATGGTTCAGAAGTTTATTATGAAAGGACAGATATCTGGATTGAGCTAAATCGGAAACATATGGTACATTAAGGTCATTATGGAAGAATTTATTTGTGACAAAGTAGGGAGCATTAAGGATTTTACGAAGGATTTTGGATTGTAGGGATTGGATACGAGAGAAATTTGATGGTTTAGTAGAGCCCCAATGCTCGATCCCGTAAGTCCAAATAGGCCTTATTGTAGTAATATATATGAGTCTTTTGTAAATAGTTGGCAGTTTTAGAGCGTTTGTCTAGTAAGTGCCGCAGTAGTCGGAAACGTCGGGCTGTTTCTAGTCGTTACAGTCTGGTATGGGGGATCCAAGTGAGTCGTTTGTCAAGGTGGAGTCCTAGGTATCGGATTTGGTCAACAGGGATAAGTGGGGTATTGTTAAAGGATACTGTAGGAAGTCATAGGTTTACGACAAAGTAAATAAATAATAGAATATGAGCTTCACCACACTCGGATCTACAGGGAGTAGGATGGCTTTCGGGCTGAAGTCCCCGCCCTCCTCCCAAACTAAAACCATGTTTTATGGAAAAAATATATTAAAAAGTTATCTCTTAAAGTATTATTGATGGTGTAATTACATTTAATAGGACTTTTTGAATCACTTCATCTTCAATATTTTTTTCTCCTAAAACAAATAACAGCCTAATAACAAAACAAAGAAATAGCCTCAGCAATACACTTATTCTCAAGAAACTTTTTTCTTAAATAAAATTATTATTCATTAATTTTTTTCTCACTTCATCTTCTTCTTTTGATAACACCAGACGAACACCTACATACAAATTGAGATCGTGAAGGATGATCATGTTAAAGCATTGCTTGCTTTAACATTCTCAAGTCTAGCAGTGCTCTTTCGAATTGTGACGATGATATAAATTCCATATGTTATATTAAGATTTTAACTATAATTATAAAATCCTATTTTCACTTAGCTCCTTTGCCTCATTGGTATCTTGGTACTAATCAATCCACTCCCTCACATGTCTGGGCTCTAATGAAAGTACTTAACTAGTTCTACCAATTGAAATTTATTTCATATACTGGCCCATGGAATAAATCTTGATTCTCTATTCCGGTAAGAATAGATTTGCTTGTATCTCTAAAACAATCTTTCCTCTTCCTCATGGCAGAAATGGCCAGGCAGGAAAAAAAAAAGTATACATTTTCATTTGTACAAATACAATCTTTATATCACTGTTTTCACTATGATACTAAAATGATGTAGTATATGGCAATTGGTTCAATAATAGTTTTATTTAGTTAATGTTCAAAATTCATAAAGTATCCCATGGTTGATCTGTCAGGCTAGTTTCCTGACAAAGACATTAAAATTTGGAAGCTGTATTTTATTTTTTTGTGTTGCATATACTACACTCCTTTTGGTCCATTTCGTAATGTGTAAAATTAACAATCTTAGAACAATTCTATAATATTGGTGAATCTTGATATGGTTAGCAGATTGATTAATTCAAAAAGTATAAAGTCTGTCATGTGTTCCATACCGAAGTGCATTTACTTTAACTGTGCAAATGCAACACACTAACAGATAATATTGAAAGTTTTCTGCAGTCAGTGGATTCTTCCAGCTTGAGGTTGAAGAAACGTTTATTAAGTCTATACTAAACAGGTCTTGTTATTAATCTTAAGGAATCAACTAGAGATGGCTTCAAATAAAGCTTCCTTTTAAGAAGCCGATATTGTTGTTGGTTGTCTTTTGTTATTTATTCAATCAGACCTTCAAGATTCTGTTGTCACTTCTAAATATCACATTAATATATGAATTGTATATAATAGATCAATATATTATTATCGGTATATGATAGATTATATATTATATGTAATATATAAGAGGATATTTTATATTTTGCTACAAAGTTATTTTTGAATGTATACATTCGTTCATGATCAATGCATTAATTTTAATTTATTACATAAAAATAAACTACTTAAACATTGGCATGTGTTATATAAACTATATACTCAAAAATGTGTACATAAATATATGTTATTAATAGAAAAGAAATAAATAACTGTTCATTCCTTAGTAAAAATACAACTTTTTAATATAAAAGAGTAAAACGACATAAACTAATTGTTAGGATATCATTAGAACAACTCACATATCAATGTTTCGTCAAGTATTTATAAACTTAAAAAAATTGTCTCAGTTCATAACTTGATATAAATAACATTGAGGATTAGGGTTAAATAATTTAGTACACTGTTGTTTTATTGCCAATAATAAATTAAGTAACATTTCATAAAATTACATCAATATGTTTATTAATGAATTTTCTCTCTGTAAAATCAGAACATTCTGCTCTTAATGTAAGTATTTTTTATATATAAAAGGGTTCGACTCATTTTGGAGCACTAACTTTTGCACTAAAGAAGATTAAAATTCATAAAATCTTAACTAAAATTATAGCTCTATCAAAATGTACTTATTGACTTTTTACAGTAAGCCAATGTTCCATATATTTATAAGTTTAAGGTATAAATAAATAGTTTAAATATTTTTTCTTTTTTTTTTTTTTTTGTTTGTTTGTTATGGTACATTACAATTATTTAGGTTGTATAAATTTTCATCATATTTTTTATTTTATATTATTTTAATTACATTTGCGAGGCTTCAGCCTTTAAGCCATCCTCAGAAACATAAAAAGACATTATAAAAAATAAACATTTACTTTTTATACAACATAGAATATATACTTGGCATCATTGCATTAACTAATTATTAACAACATTACATAAGGGAACTATAAAATATGATGAGATTATAATTTATATAATTATAATTTTATATTATATGAGATTACATCAAATTATAATATTCTCAAAGTATATAAATTCTGTATGTTCACATTATTATTGTTTTTTTTTTTTTGTTTTTTTTTTTTAACACATTTATTGAGAGATATTACAATCTGTCACAAATAAGGACATTTATAATATTGTTCAAAGAGCACATTCACACTCTATCAACAATAAATAAATATAAATAATACAGAAAAACTATTATACTAAAAGTAAATGTATATAAACTAAATTAAACAAAAAGAAACTAAACTAATAAAAATAACTACGCACATACACACATGTTTCTATGCAATATCTAAAAAAATAAAATAAAAAATCATTCACTCAAGATCTCCGAGCCAAGCCTTTCTTCTCATTTGTGGAAGGAAAAGCAGGACTCTAGAAGATCCCAGCGCCTCTCACTTAGCCGCATTACTGGTATTAAAGGCCAGTAGAGGCTGATCAGAGGCACTACAATCACACATATATGGCTTGAGTAGAGAATCAGGCTGATGCCAAAACTCCAATGTGTACTTATTCACAAAAGGTCTCTGGGCCACTGCTGCTTCAACCTTCGAGGAGGATTTTAGGGATGGGTGGTGCTGAATAGGGATTGTGGAAAGGGATTTGGAGGGATTAAAGTAACGAATTTGCATTTGCCCAATATAAACTTTTTATAATGATTAACCGTTACTACAACATGTACGTATCTAACAAAGCTATAAATTCATAAAAATTAAATTACTGATTCTGGTCTTCTGGTCGCTGGTCACTTTTGACATATTGCCATAAGAAATGCATAGAGTATTATCGTAAATAAATGACATTGAAAAATATAATTTTTCACATTCATTTCTTTAACATGGCACCAACAATATTTCTTCTTCAAAATCATTTTTTATTTTATAATTTTAATTTATTGTATTTATTTAAATAGAAATAAATTCTTAAACAGAGTTGTATTCCATTATTGTTTTTTTGCCAGATTATCTACATTACCTATTATTTTCTACATCATGTTGTAATTTATAGGTGAAGTCCCAAAAGGTGGTTTCTAATTCCATTTTGTAATAACAAAATATGAATTCATCATATGAAAAACAACAAATTTGTTCATGAAATAATATTAACAGTTATTTATTTCTTCAGAAGCACTTATAATTGATATCAGTTATTTCCTACATAAAATTATAAAATCTGCGTTTATTGTATAAATGTCTCATTCTTTCTTGAAATTATTGCCTTATTTACATAATTTATTAGTATCAAAACTATAGTCACATTTTAAAAATACTGTTTTATAACTACTCTATGATAAATTTCAAGGAGTAAGCATAAGTTATTGAGTAGGACTACATAATTTAATTTATCTATATTCTTTTAATGTGCTGGAGTATCTCAGTAAGTAAGACATTGTATTTACATGGTTTCGAGTCCAGCTATTGTATAATTATTTATTTTTGTTATATCAGCCATGAATCCACCTACATGTCAGGAGATCCTCCAGCAGCACAACCTTCCTCGATAAAGGGTATAACTCGGTTGAGCATGTACCTGGCCAAATCATCTCCTTGCACAACCGTTAGTTTAGAAACAGTACTTCCTGACCAAGTATTGAACTCTACATAATTTGACTTAATCTTAAATACCATTAAAAATTCTCAATATCAATTTAAGTTAATAGAGAAGCTCAAATATTATACGTATACAATTATAATTATAAAATTATAATAAAAATATTTCCAAACTAACACTGACCTTACTCGGACAGGTACATTACAATAGCTCCAAGGTGAATTTAGGAAACACCCTGAATGTATCTGCAGTAGAAAATGCACCAAGCGTTAACTGGAGCGGAGAAGATGATTCTTTTTATACAATCTGCATGATAGGTAACCTATTTCATTTTTGTTACAACAGTAAACTATATACTGCAATATTATTGATTAATATTTAAAAATTCAATTTATCATTTAAAAAATAATACAAATAGAATATTTTTATTATTATAAACAGAATAATAAATTATGCAAATAAATATTATTTTGGCTTGATATTTAATCATATGCTTTATAAGTAAACTATAAGCAATTGAACTTGACAAAAAAAAAATACAACACTCACAGTTAAAAATATTCTTTTATTATATATTTATCACTATATTGCAGTATACCAAGCAATTTCATTTTCATTGTTTTTTGTTTTGTTTTTTAATAACTTGTAAATAAGTTTTGTATCATTTGTAAAGCAGCATATCGCTGAGTCATCATCTTTTTAATCTATATTTAGGTCCATCAGTTAGCAGGAAGGATGAAAGTGATTGTATAAGTTGTTAAGAGTATTTATGACTTGTCTTAACATAAAATGTGATATTTATGTCATCTATGAAAGGTTTTGAAATGAAATGAAAAATAATTTTATTCTGGAACCTAAAATCTCTTCAGAATAACAGCAAAGTTCAAAAAATGTATACATCAGTCTGGCATGTAGATACTATACAAAGAATCCTAAGAAAATAGAAATATATACAAAAAATAATAAGAGGAAAATAAAAATAAAATGGCTCTTATCTATCAACTGTTGGCGAGCAATTATAATTACATAACCGAAAATTTTTACAAGCTTGCAGATGTTTGAATGTGGATTTGGTAAAGAAATATAAGTTGTTTGAAGGAATTTGTGGGGGTGGTTTAACGTATTTTTTTCTATTGATAAGACTTTAAGTCTTTGAGATGTATTTAATTGTCCACTAATATTGAACGCACTCCTCTATACGTATATTATCTTTTTTTCTTCTTTTGTTTTCTCCTTTTAATCTACATCTTAGGATATAGATTATATAAGACTTTTCTAGTGTTTACAATTCTATTATAAGTATTCATTTGAACATATTAAGATACAGATGTACATCATTCATTGTAAATATTTATCTACTTTTTTATTATTTTTTTCATTACTATAGTCATTTGACAACAAAAGTAATTTATCGTTGTTTTCCAATTTCATTTAGTTACTATCTGTACCTGGCCATGCGTTGCTGTGGCTCATTCTGGTTAATAAAAAAAAGAAGTAGAAAAGAAATTAGATGTTTCTAATATATTTTATGTAACAATACTTATATACTTATATATTTTATATACCTGTTACTACCTCCTCCTTCTTGAACAACACTGTCAATATGCCTTACTGTTTAAAATAGTTTTATATATTAATTGCTTGTTATGAGAGTTAAGAGAGTGTCTGTAGTATCATAATAACTAATAGTCCTACAATCCATAATCATTTATAGATTAAATATTCAGATATACTTTTAAAATTTCTCTAGGCATATATGAACCTTTCGGTTGACAGAATGACTAACCGCAATTTCAACATTCTTTGCCCGGCATTGCCAAAAGATAATTTCCATTCAAAGTAGAGTGGTAAGTGAAAGTTGTGTGTTGCTTGCACCTGCTTTTTTTTATTATAATTAATAAAAAGTGCCAACATATAAAAATAAATAATAATTAATTCCTTATGTAAAATAATACTTAGTTTAATTTTTATTTTGGAGAATTATTTCCTTTTGATGTTCTAGATGATGATAATTGAATGATAATTTCATTGCAAAATATTAAAAATATTTGACTTAAATCAAATGAAAACTTTTATTAAGTGAATTTTTTCTTTATAGATTTATTTAATTAATTATATAAAGGGACTTATAATAAATACTTATATTTATTTTTTATTTTATTTTTATTTTTTCAACATGTTTGTATCTTTTGTAGCCCTGAAGACGACCTGCAAAGTGGGTCGAAACGTCGGCAAAAATTAAAATTATTTATATTTTTTAATTTTTTTATTTATTTGACCGCACCCTCAACTAACTCCTTCTCATATCATATCAACGGTCAACCATCTCTACATCATTATATATAAAGGGACATTATTTTTTTAGTTCTTTTTTGGATTGGTTTTGTTAGGTGTCCTCAAAAATAAACTCGACTTGTTCCCTAGTTACTAAAGGAGATTTTGAATCTAAAGAATTCTTTTTATTTATTTATTTATTTTTTTAATAACAACTACATAATGATCTAGATATAACACAGCCTATATCAATCTTCATACCATTTTAGTTAACAACCTTAGTATAAGTATCTTAGTATATATACGATGCATACTATGTTTTGTGTTTCCCGTAATTATTGCAATGTATGGCGAAGGAGAATCAAGACAAGAGGTGGTCCTTCACAGCCACCTATAGACACATAACTCTTAAGACACTCATGTCTTCTCTCCTCACCATTTCGCCCCAAAAAATCAACTTTTAAGATTTTTACAGAAATATAAGATTTCAGAACATAAATTTAAGATTTTTTTTTTTTTTTTTGTATTTCTGTACTCCAGAGGTTAACAACACTATGCCCATTTTTGTATTTGTTCAGGGAAGACAATTTTCCATAACATTGAGCTATTAAAGTTTGATTCTTAGTTACTAAATTATTTAATTTAAAAAATGGACATGGTGCCCTTTATCTGCTGAGCACAGATTTGTTCAATTATTCCATGTAGTATTTTGTAAAACTTTTCAGTTATTTCCAAAATCTTTAAGTGACCTTCAAAACATCTAGGTTCCTTTGGGGTTTAGCCAATTTGTCTTCTTAACGCTTAATCATTTCCCCTGTGAATTTTTTCCAGATCCCGATGCACCTAGTAGATCTAACCCTAAGGCCAGGGAGTGGCAACATTGGCTGGTAGGGAATATTCCAGGGAACAAGGTGGATAAAGGAGATGTCATATGTACTTATGCTGGGGCTACTCCTCCTCCGGGAACTGGTAAACATTTTTCAATTAAATGATAATAATTTAATTAGTATTTTATATTGCATTACAATTTATGTAACATTTATTTCCGTTATTTATTATTGAATCAGGATTATCCGGAGTGAGTGAATAATCATTTCAATTGGAAAATCCTGAACTCGTTATACACTGACAGACAAAAAATTCCACCCACTTGTTACCCATTAAGGAACCACGTTGGAAAGGTTGGCTCTGGAAAAAATTACAGACTGCATATCTTTCGTTTCTTCTTCTCCACACCCTTTCACGCCCGTCTGGAGATCGAAGAGCGAATCTTGACTCATCTGTAAAAATACAGCACTCCATTCGTCCATAGTCCAATGGCTGCGTTCTGGAGCAAAAGCCAGCACTGTTACTCAGTGAGTTCTGGTCAACTCTGATCCTCTTACTGTACGAAAAGCCATTAATCCATACCCATTTAATCTTCTCCGAGCGGTACGCTCAGAAATTTGCACACCTCGAAACTTATTCGAGCTGATGAATCGCTTGAACAACGGTAAGGTGCCGATTTCGTAAAATTCTCAAAGTCAAAAACCGGTCATCCCATGGTTCTGTTACCCTAGGCCGTCCAGAACCGGGCCTTCTATTGTAAGAACCAGTTTCCCGAAAACGCCTGACGGCGTCTCGTAAAGTTTCATATGGAACTCCGATGGTATTAGCTGCATATCTAATGGAACGTCCATCATCAATAAGTGCCACATCACGCGCAACATCCTCAGCACTAAGAGGCATTTTTAAACTTAATATTGAAAAAATTAAAATCCGGAGACTAAGAAATGTGCTGCAAGAAACGGCACTGAACTAATGATACTGAATAAACATTTTGATTCCATAGAAAGTAAACATTGGAATCTAGAATCATTTCATTGAATTAAGGATTAAGGGTTATTGTCCTCTATATTAACATTCCTAATTGAAAACAAACAAAAAGATTACCTATTTATTCATTAAAAACAATAGACCAATCCAAAGCAGAAATATTTTAGATGAAAACATGAAAAAATCAAGTGGGTGGAATTTTTTGTCTGTCAGTGTATATATTAGGTTAACAGAACCACACAAATGTCATTCATTTAGTCTTCTTTTCTATTAGTCTTCCTACCACTAACCTCCATTCCTGCTTTCGTTCCTTTGCTCTACGATGAGGACCCTAATTTTTTTACCCCGTTTTCTGAACTCAACACTATCCAAGCAACAAAAACTCTAATTCCTCTTCTTCTTGAATTTTGAATGGTCCTACTGTGCTATAATCCATAGGTGCAAACTTTTGATTTTGATTATTATTGGGAAGGAGGGAGGAACGACTAAAAAAAAAAAATATCTAATGTTTTTATTATGTGTGAAATTCAACATAATTATTGTAAACGAACCAACATAATGATAATAATAAATAATAAAAGATTTAGTAAACCCGAAGGTTCGATGCCAACATTACCCATCGCTAATGCCGACATAACCCATTTTGTTACGTGTGAGATAGGTCAACTCAGGACCATAGGAATATCATTTAGTCTACTTCTTTCCTTTTCACTTCTTTCACACCTCCCTCATTCTCTTCGTGTGTTGTGTCTTCGAATACTTCACCCATTCTTCCTTTCTTTCATTTCCACTACAAGGATCCTGATCCTGTTGTTAACCCGTTTCCTGAACTCAACCCCATTCAAACAACCAAATCGGTACTTCCTCTGCTTCTTTTTTTTTTTTTTATTTCTTAATGATATTTACAACTGTATTAAAGAAATACATTTAGTAAATTTGAACATATAGATATAACGACGTGAAAACACTTGTTGAGAAACTACCCAATGGTAGCACTCTAATGATATGTCTACATTAGGAGATCTCGGTACCATCTTCTTTTCAGACGCCACGGAGGCTTATCAGGAATTGAAGAGGAAGCAAGGTTAGAAACGAGAGGGTTAGGATGATTATGAAGTTTATTATGAAAGGATAGGTATCTGGATTGGGCCAGATCTGAAACATTAAGGTCATTATGGATGATTTTTTTGTAACAAAGTAGGGAGCATTGAGGATTTTGGATTGTAAGGATTGCATATAAGAGGAATTCGGTGGTTTAGTGGAGTCGCATAGCTCAACTCCGCAACTGGCCTTATTATAGTCATGTATATGAGTCTTTTGTAATTAATTGGAAGTCTAGAGCGTTTGTCTAGTAAGTGCTGAAGTAATCGGAAACGTCGAGCGGTTTCTTATAGTTTCAGTCTGGTATGATCTCTGCTTCTTAAATTTTAAATGGTCCTTGTTGTACTTCGACTTGTACTTGTACATTCTAGATCGTCGAGCACCCCAAGATCCGAAAGTCAGTGTTACTTCTTCTTCGTGTAGTGCCTCCAAAATCTGAACAACCAAACTGAGAAGACAAAAAGATTAAAGTTAATAGTTTCTTGTTATATCCACAAAAAAAAACACAAGAAATATTTCATAGACTCACTGGGCTCTAGGAATCCGGTATTATCGGAACCCCGTAATATGAAATTTTAAATTAAAATTTTAAATACTAGTAGGCCCGTGTGAAAAATTCGCACAGCATATGTTATCAAATGCCAAATTAATAAGAAAATAAAAAAATGCAACGTATCAAAAGATTAAGACATCAAATGTTAGTTTATCGATAAATATAATCCACGAAGCAAACAAAAATTAATTTAAATCTTCATTTTTGTTTGGAACCAACATGTTTACAAATTTCAGTAAGCTGTATCTTTGCTAAAAATTGTCCGATTTCGATGATTTGTTTTCCTTTTGTAGGGAATTTAGTCATCTTTTATACAATCATGGGCATAACCCAGGGAAAAGTGTGTAATTTTTCAGTTATTCGCAAATAAAGTTTATTTTCTTTCATTACTTGTTTGCCTGAATTGTAGAGGATATTGGACTGTTTTCCCAGCCTGAAGGAGAAGAAAGCCTTCGAAATTGGTGGCTCAATCTTGAGATTTGGTGAAAAATTAACAATGATATGGCTTTTTGATCAAAAACACCATCGATAAATAAAATAAACTCCTCCTCTCTCGATCGTAGAGATCTCAAATTGACGAAATGAGACGTGTATTCAATGACAGTACTACAAATAATGTAAGGTTGTGTGGATGCGAACCCCATGCCTTGCGTTATTTCGAAAATAGTACGTTTTTGGGCATAAAAACGCAGGATCTGATAGTTCCGGAGGAACTATCCGGGTCTTGCTGTACGCATCAAAATGTTCAAGATAAAATATGTCCCGCATCCATTTACAGACCTACCACCGTTCCAGTATTGAAGCCTAGAGAAATGTTTGTATCGACTTTATTTATTTTAGAAAGAAAAACAAAAGTGGAGAATACGATTCGCTAACCCCCCGTGAAATCCTGAATCCAGCGGTACCCCATTCATGGTATTTGAGCATGATAGGAGCTTATATTTGGTACAGAATCGATTTCGAGCCTTTTTGTAATAATATATGTGGTGATGGGGATACTTCTAATATAAGTGAGATTCATGGCAACCTACGCATAACATAAGACAGTTCATACGAATGGTATCACACCTATCAACTTTATTTTTTTGTCACATGTCATATTTAGGATTGATATTTATAACTCAATTGTAGTAATCGATTTCTGTGCTAATAGTAAATGTGATTGGAGTCTAAAAATAATTCAGTCTTGCGATAGTTTAGTAGTTCATTTAATGTATTGTGAATATATTGCAAAATTTAATTTGTACGGCAGTTATTATAGCTCACTTTCTGTGTGACATTGATAATGCTATGATGATTATACATACATTAATACAATTACATCGTCAACCCACTGCGGTAGGTAACAACCAAGTTCCCTACGTAAATAAAACATTCTCAGAGGAAGACATCTTGTTATTCTAATAAACCGTCGTTTAATATTCAGAACTGGTTTCTAGTTTTTATTCTTCAACAAACAAACAAACTTGATGTCACTATTTAATAAGGATGCTTGCAATTGTTTTAATTAAAATTATTATTCGCCTGACATCTTCTTAAATAGACCACCTTGAGGAGGTTTATCTCAAGAACGAGTTATTGAAAGCTGTGTGACTTATCTAACGTTTTTATTCCAAATCTTCAGTAATATCTTTAAATGCTTGATGTACATATTAACTAAGATGAATTCAATCCGAATTGAAAATCACTTTAAAAGTGGAGGCTACTCGTTAGGTTGAACAGTTTTAATGAAACTTTTTTTACTTCCACTTACTTATATATGTAATATATAGTAAGGGTAAGTACTGCGATTGAGAAAATTTTCGAATCTCAGTTTTCAACGGAAATACATGTTTTGAGGTCCCCTGAGTTCAAATAACCAAGTGTCGCAAAATGGTCTGTGTGTGTGTGTGTGTTTGTTAACAGTCTAGCTCATAACCGAAAAGCAGTACGAAACTGATATTAAGTATTTATGGTTTTTATATGGGCCGGATGTGACAGCAACTTTTTCGTTAAAATCGGCTAACCGGAAGTGCCACTTTAAATGAACGCTGAAACACATTTTTACAATTTTCTCAAAAACGATTCTAACGATTTTGATCAAACTCGGTGTATCATTGTATAATTAAGTGGTCTTTAATATCATTTAGGTCTTATCTCCGTTGATGTCACTTTACAGGGCTTAAATGCCCAATGTTCATATATGTCTTCCTCTAAAGTACCTTTAATATGGTTTATTTTAAAAAGTTAACCATTTCGCATTATTCAGAGTTACAAAAAAATGCTACATATAACTTTTATAAGTATAAACATAGAATTTTATAAGTTAATAAAGGAGAAAAAAAAATAAAAATGCAGAAAAACCTGCATTCCTACAGACTGTAGCGCCTAAGCGAATGTACCGATTTCAATGAAACTTCGCTAAAGTCATTTTCTCCATACCCTTTAAATTTATCTATATAACATACTTCAACAAAAAGAAGCTGGAAAAAAATTTACGAGGTAAATTAAATTCCGAATAACTCAAAAAGTATACACTTTTTTGTCGATATTGTGATAAAATGTTTCAAAGATGTGTAAATTGCCTAAAAAATGAAAGAAGTTTCATCGAAATCAAACCACTATTAGTAGAGATATCGCGATTTTAAGATATATTTTTTTTTGGCGATAATAGGTCGAAAAATATTAAATCTTTGTCCAAAAATTCTTACTAATGCGACCAAGAATTTTTATGTAAAATAATCAATACAAAGTGCATACTGCATTAAATTAATTCGAATGTATAATAAAGAACAAAACCCAAAATATGCCTTCCAGTAAAGTAGACTAAATAATTTTTTGTCATGAAAAAGCAATTTAGATTCGTTTCTTTAGTTAATTGAACTTGTAAATACGCATTCGTGTAGAAAAATAAATAGGTAAATTTTTGGACTTGATTTTAATCATATCCAACTCCACAGAATTATCTCAAAATTCAAAGTTACTAAACCATTGGGAAAAAAAGCTGAATAACTGCTATTCCTACCAATATTAATAAATTTTATTATTAGATTTTCCAACAATGTCGAATTTGGAGGAAATATTGAGGTCATAACTCTTAAGTTATAAATGCTTTGTGTTAATGGTATAAAAAAATAAAGCCCCAAAATTTTTATTTTTTATTTCAATACCAATTCGTATTTAAGAGTTTCAAAGGACATTAGAAACGAATATATCTTGCTTTTTCAAAAAAAAAAATAATTGGCCAAAAAAAAAAAAAAAAATCTTTAGTAGAAGTGTACTTTGGTTTTTTATTTTATGATATATTTTAACTCATTAAATATTATTAGTAATATGTTTTTCTTATTTTACGTAACAAAAAAATAAATCGATTGATATATTACATTATAACCAAGAAATCCATAAAGAAAAAAAATTGAAAACAATAATATAAAAAATGTTATAATTTTATTTGTTTTAAATAAAAGAAAATATTCTTGGCTTTTAAGGCACATTGGCCAAAAAACTTCGGACAAGGGTCTAATATTTTTCAACCTAGTAACATCAAAGAAAGTTTCATTAAAATAACTGACCCCACATCCTAGTAAGATGGAAGAATGACATAAACATAACAATAACGATAGCTTGAAAGTAGGAAAAACATAATCCGACATAAACTCAAATTTATAATGGCTTGGAGTGCTGTATTTTTTTTTTAGTGTTTATGCAAGATGTATTGCATCAATATGTATGCAAGACAATACATCAATATAATACAGGCAAGATACACTTGCCTCCCTTAAAGGTTTTTTGTTGTGTGATTAATCCTTAATTGACGAAAATTTGACTGTTAAATCTATATAAATAAAATAAAGGTTTCGTCTGTACATTGAATAGAATCAACCCGTTTTATGATATCCTACCATTTCATACATTGCAAACACCAAATCCACATTTGAAAAAAAAATTGTCTGTCTGTATGCCCGCATTGCAAAGAAATTTTGTCATAGCTAAGGTCAGCAATGGCTTATTGTAGACTTTTGAAATTTTGACATTACATTAAGGTTTGCTTGAATTAAAACATAGGCTTTAAATGAAAATAAAATATTGAATGGAACCAAAGTTATGAGTTCTTAAGTGTTGATAATAAATGTTAATAATAAACATATGTTTATAGTTAAAGATCATCTATATAAATAAAATAAAAGTTTTGTCTGTACATTGAATAGAACCAACCCATTTCATGATATCTTTCCGTTCCATACATTACAGACACCAAATCCACTTTTTTTTTTATTTATTATTTTAATGGAATTTACAACTGTATTACATAGAGAATACAATAAGTAAATGAGAAATTTGTAACATGGCATGTACAACATGAAGAGAAACTACCCATTGGTAGAACTCTAAATCCACTTTTAAAAGATTTTTTGTCTGTCTGGATGTCCGTATTGTCCAACGAAATTTTGTCAGGGGTAAGCTCAGCAATGGCTAATGGTAGACTTTTGACATTATATTTAGGTTTGTTTGACCTTAAACATAGGCTTTAAATGAAAACAAAATATTGAGTAGAAACAAAGTTATGAATTCTTGAGTAATTTGTCTAGAGATCCCTGTGAGGCAGTTACTTATTTTGATTATCATCCCAACCTACTCTACCGCGAGCCACGTTTAAAAGTTGTACTATTCAACTGATGAAAAAAATGATCAAAACACAACAGAAAAAATCAAAAATACAGAAATCTCTAACTTATTGTCGCTTAAAACACAATCATTTTTCAACTTTGTCCGATCTTCCCGTTCAAGGTGTCATTCGATTCACCTTCCCTAGCCTAACAAATGTATACATTTTTAGGATTGACCAATCCTATTAGCCAAAAATCGGGAGAAAAACTCCGCAAAATTAAAATTACCCCTCTTCCCCAACCCAATATTATGAAATTAAATTTGGATCTCCCTGTAATACAATATCCATCTCAAAAAACGATTCAAATTTTAACTATACACCCGTCAATGATAGGCACATCAGCTAGTTACTTTTATTCTAAAGACTTTTAAAGGTTTATTTTTGAAATATCTCAATGATATTTTAATAATTTTAAATGTTTTCAACAAGTTGCATTTTAATTTTTAGGTCTCCATCGCTATGTTTTGGTCGTTTACAAACAGCCTGGCAAGTTGCAATTTGATGAACCGAAAATTACTGTGTGAGCATTTTATCGATATTTAGTTAACTGTTCCGCTTTATGGATATATTTATTTACGTATGTTTTTTCTTTCCAGTCCCGGAGGAAACAGAGCTAAATTCTCCGTGTCAAAATTTGCTAGTAAATATAAGCTAGGAGATCCTATCGCTGCAAATTTCTTCCAAGCTAAAGCGTAAAAATGGAAGGATAAACAAGAAAAAGAAAAAAAAAACGTTCTAATTAAATACATATCAATATATCAGAGAAGAAGAATAAAATATTGTTGTGTACATAAATAAATGTTATTATTTTATTTATTTTTTTCACAAACAGTCCTTAAAGACCACGCGAATATCACGAATTTAATGCTTCCTTTTCATCTGCCTCCTCTTCTACCATATGCCCCTCATGAGCTCCGCGTGCTTACGTTTTCTCTCCTCAGACCACGCAACACCCTTTTTGTATCGCTTCTTTCCCGCAAGAACCGTTATTCCCTTGAGCGCCTTTCTGTACTGATCTCTGTCCAAACAATCTTGGTCTCAGCCCCACTTGGTCCATATCATCCTTAAGCTGTTTAAAATACCCGCTTAAATTCTTATGACTGTGGATGCGCTGAAAGATTTTATGATAAAGTCTTTCAGGATTCATCCTCATCGCATGGCCATAGAACCTCAGCCTTCCCACTCTAGCGTGTAATAATATATCATAAATGTTATTACATTATATTTCATGAAATTAATAATAAATATACCAAACTATGTTATGATATGTATAACTGATATAAATTATTTACACAATATAGTTTATATATATGATATTAAATGTAACACAGAAATGAAGTATTAAGGGAACCGGAAAGTAAATTTGTTTTCTTATATTAAATTCAAATAAATAAATTTCATACGAGGGTAAATATTGCGATGGTGAACATTTTTGAAACATTATCCAGTTACAATTAATGTGATAACTTTTGACCTATCCATGGCAGGCAATGAAAATCTAGTCATTTCGCTTTAGTAAACTTTACAATGGAAAATAATAGTTTAATAACTAATAGTTCTACAATCCATAATCATTTATAGGTTAAATATTCTGATATACTTTCAAACCTCTCGAGGCATATATGAGCCTTTCGGTTGACAGAACGACTAAACCGAATTCAACGTTCTTTATTATTAATTTTAGTGATGTTTCTAATGGCAAAATTTATACCTTTATTCACAATTGTATATTTCAACACTGCAATCACCTACTCTGGAATCAACTTATTCACTATATGTATAGATAACTTTTTCAACTAGAAATATCACTAAAATGACATTGCACAAAAATGTTGAAATTGGAGTTAGTCATTCTGTCAACTGAAAGGCTCAGAGACTGAAGTTGTGTGGTTTATAAAAGCAGATGGAGTAACTAGAGTTTTATTGCCTACCGTCGATATAATAAATAGACTTTTTGTAATTTTAATGCTCTTAATGATTTGTTGTCTGTAAGCTTTAAGCTTTAGCTCCGTTTAAAATGCACTTCAAAAATTTTATAATTGTCCAGCATTGTCAGAAAATAATTTCTATTCAAAGTAGAGCGGTAAGTGGAAGTTGTGTGTTGCGCGCACCAGATTTTTAATCATTGATTGGATAAACATTGCAATTAATTATTTTTTCATAGTTAAGGCAAAAATACTTCCAATTTCCTTCAAATACCTTTATTCACATTTATTATCTCTAACGTTTCGGGACAATTTTTCCATCATCAGAGCAATCCTTACCTTCACTGAAACTTGCTTTTTTTGTTGTGGCACCATTTGTCAAAAATTTAAATATTTGTCCCATTCATTATATATTTATTTGGTGTTACACATCCTTTCTAATTCATTGTTACACTAAGCTACATCTGGCTATCTTCAGTATCCTTACTGTCTTATGGCCATAGGGGATATTTATAAAAGTCCTAAGATGATCTTTTATAAGTAACATTATTAAATGTATTGGATAGTCGGATAGGATTAATAAACGGAATAAAAGTTTGAAATGATAAAATCACGTTTTTCGTTTGAAAAACGCAAAACGTTGATTTAAATTACAAAAAATTAAGTTGGATCAGTACTTATTAAAATATATAAAACAAAGATTATTTAACGATTTTCTGAAGTTTGATGCGTACGAAAAAAATAATTTTTGAGGGGAGGAAGGGAGATGGATACTCTAGCTAATGACTATTCCTTCCCAATGAGGGAGGGGCTTTCAAAAACTAACACTCTGGACAAATGTGAATGAAAATTTTATAAACGCATTCGGACTACCCCCACTTCCATTTCCATTTCCATTTATTTTGATCCAAACAAAAACATGAAAAGACATTATTGCTAAACCAAATTATTTATTTCTCTTGATACCGACAACAGATGGCAAATATCAAAAACAAGAAACAAAAATACCAGCACATTGAAATAAACTTTTATATATTTGTTTGTTCCATACTTCGTGAAAAGTTTATACACACCTTAAAATATTCAGGCTTAGATTTTTTAGAAAAAAAAAAACTTTAGACACAAAAAAAATTTTATCCGAAAATGGACAAAATTTATTTCTCATGACTATTTTTGAAATTACGTCATGGATAAAAGGACGATAGGAAGAAAATTTATTAAAAATACAACTAAAAGAAACACAAAATATAGAAATGGTAGCAGTTTAAAGGAATAAGTTAATTAAGTCATACTTGTGGACAGCTGTCAGGGCTCAACCTAACCACTTCCTGTTGTCAACAGTGGGCAAGCATTTTTCTAGTCTGTAATGTCATTATTAAAAAAGTTACTATCCTACGTTCTAATACGCAAATATGTGAAATAATGAAATACGTTATAAAGTATAAATTGATATAGCTCGTTTATCTTTAACACAAAATGTTATAATACACAACTAAAATTAAAATCAAAATTCTCACTCTCCTCCCCCCCACTCTGATAGATACGGAGTAAATATCTACAGAAAATATATAATTAAAATAAACTCATTATAATTAAATTATAATTCATCTTCTTCATGGATAAATATATGACTAAGTATTATACAGCGTGTTTCGTAATTGCACGGCACTATTTTAGGTATGTGTTCACTAACACAAAATAAACAAAAAAATTCATATTAACATATATCTCAAACCACTAGCGGATCCAGGATTTAATTTTTGGGGAGGCTTCAGCCCGAAACCTTTTCTTTTCATAAAAATAACGATAATTATTTTGGAAAAACAGAAAGAAACTAACTACCTATATGAAATGGTGTTTAAGTGATTCCTTAAGTCATTTTAAATGTACTTGCACGAACAATAATACTTTAAGAGGTATTTATTAAACATTTTTTTCGAGAAGCAAGGTTATATTTTACCATTTTGGGGAGGCTGCAGCCCGAAACCCCTCCTCCCCCGCCGTAGATCCGCCCGTGTCTCAAACTCATTTATTAAACAGATAACAAACGGTAAAGATTTATTATTTATTTACTACATTAAGATTGAGTAAACAAAGTTTAACGTGTTTAATACTAAATAACAGGTTTTAATCACCTGATAAACAAATGAACGATAAGCAATGACGGTAGTTGCTCTTCTGTTTGTCTAGTTCTGTGTGTTTTAGTGTGAATGAATACTGTGACACAGTTCAATTTATGATTATCATGGGAGACATTGCATTCAACAAAACGGAGGCCCCTTTGAACAATTACTCTAAATGTTGTGATAATATTAAATAGTAATAATAAATAATAAATCTTTAACCTTTGATATCTGTTTAATAAATGAGTTTGAGATATATGTTAATATGAACTTTTTTGTTTATTTTCTGTTAGTTAACACATACCTAAAATAGAATAGTGCCGTTCAATTACGAACCACCCTATATATATATATATATATATATATATATATATATATATATATATATATATATAATATATATATATATATATATATATATATATATATATATATATATATATATAGTAATGAAATATGCATAATAAAATAATAAGATATGGAGATAATTTTGATCGTTGCGAAAATTATAACGTAATTATTCATTGTTAATAACCAGATCATTATATAAAAGAGATAATCAGATCTAGCATAGTGATTATTAGATCAGAATACTACAAATTATATTTAATTCAATATTGTAAATATTATTATCGCCAATTATAGTTGAGTAAAAATGCCCTTCTTTGAAATAATGGGCAATTTACAATCAAGAGTGCGGGGTCGGTAAGTCCATCTTCTTTCGGATACATTTGGTTATTTTCGGGAACTTCAGCGTGCTCTGAGTGATCTTGAAACCGGTCGCCGTCATGGAGTAGCGAAATAAAACTAGTAATCTCATTTAGCTGTAAATTAAAAATAAGAGAAATGGGGTCATACGTTTTGGATACAGATAATCTCTCCGCATCAGGTTTGAGGTGGTATTATTTCTGCTTACTCCAGTTTCTTTGTGATTAGTTGGTTTGAAAACATCCACCAACGATGAAATTTAAGCTTTTTTTCTGACTTATATTAATTTTTCTTAAAAATGGAAATTTGTTTTTTCTCTCATACTTTCTATATAGTATTAGTAGTGATAGTAGTATTTTTCCTGCCATACTCATTTCGCTGTTATCTGAAGATTTTAATTGTTTTGAAGGTCTTTCAATATTATTATACCACTCTCTTCTTTGCTTCATCTAGTACCATGGCAAGCCTCCCCATTTTCTCTTTTCGTCTTCCTCATGTTTCGAGTTCATCTGAACAAGTTCCTATTTTTTACATTTTTCCTAATAATTCTTCAGTCTACTTTCTCACTACTTCTTTTACTTTGGACATGTTTATAATGAGCCAATTAATCCCCATTTACGATACACTCTATTATGTTTTCATCACTAAAGTTGCAAGAAAAGGGAACTGATTTGCTTCAAGTTCATCATTATAGTTCATAAAAAAAATTTAAAAAAACTAAAAAAAAAAAACTTATCAGCTAATATTAAATCTTACTTTAATACTACATAATTAATAAATACCATTCTAAAAAGGCTCATGAATTATACTGAACTAGCAGGCCCGTGCGAAAAATTCGCGCAGTATATTGTTATCAAATGCCAAATTAATAAGCTAATAAAATAATACAACGTTGCAAAAGACAAAGAAATCAATTGTTACTATATCGATAAATATAATCGACAAAGGAAACAAAAATTAATTTAAATTTTCATTAAAGTTTGGAACCAACATGTTTACAAATTTCGATAAGCTGTATCTTTGCTAAAAATTATCCGATTTCGATGATTTTTTTTCCTTTTGTAGGAAATATAGTACTTTTTTTATATATATAATCATGAGTATAACCAAGGAAAAGTGTGTAATTTTTTAGTTATTCGCAAATAAAGTTTGTTTTCTTTCATAACTTATTTGCCTGAATTTTTGGGGTGATTCGACTATTTTGCCCGCCTGAAGGAGAATGAAGCCTTCGAAATTGGTGGCTCAATATTGAGATTTGGTGAAGAATTAACCATGATATGGCTTGCCGATCAAAAACACTATCGATAAATAATATAAACTCCTGCTCTCTCGATCATAGAGGCCTCAAGTCGACGAAATGAGACATGTATTCAGTGACAGTACTACAATTAGCGTAAGGTTGTGTGAATGCGAATCTTATGCTTTGCGTTATCTCGAAAATAATTTTTGGGCTTAAAAACGCAGGGTCTTGCTGTACGCATCAAAATCTTCAAGGTCCAATTTGTCCCGTATCGATCTACAGAGAATGTTTGTATCGACTTTATTTATTTTAGAAAGAAAAACAAAAGTGGATAATACAATTCACTTACCCTCCGTGAAATTCTGAATCCAACGATACCCCATTCATGGTATTTGAGCATGACAGGAGCTTATATTTGGTACAAAACCGATTTCGAGCTTTACTGTAATAATATATGTGGGGATATGGGGATGGAGATGGGGATACTTAGTGATAATTATATGGTCGAATGAAAGTCAATCAAATAAAGAATTCTAATAGATCAATAATAAGACTAAAAAGCTTTACTTAGCGTATTTAAATGACATTTAGTTGCGACCTTTCATTGAGTATTTAGTAGCGTTTTTTCGATAACGACATAATCTCTATAACCTTCAAAGTAACTTATTGTTTTTACTTTAAGATTCGGAAGTTTTTAACAATACAAGTTTCCACAAAACGCCGTAGAGAAGAAATGTAACGTCGTAGATTTCATTTTGTGAGGTCAAAATATGCTTCAGGCCACTATTGATCAGAAAAACTCAAAACCCCATTTTTCAATAAAATTGTCCTTACAGGCTTTTGCAGTGTGACTGTGGATATATTCCTCACAAAATAGTATGAACCCTCTTTTAATACATATTGTAGCAACTAATATCCAAAAATCTATATTCATTAAGAATCAGTAATGACATTCAATAAATATTAAATCAAATTTTAACTAAACTATTCATTGTAAAGTTGATTTTCTTATATCAGAAAATGTATTATAGAAAAAACTTATTTATATTGGTTTCAATTATAAATCTGATCACCTAATTTTATTAGAAATTACAGAAGATATAGCGAATGTATATAAAGATAACATAAGCTTATTTATTTACTGAGATTACATGATTAAAACTATTAAAACGGTTAGCCAGTTTAAGAGAACTAAATTTCATAAATCAGTCATTTTCTAAAACGTTACTTTTTTCTTGACATTAAGTATAAATATCAAATCTAAATTTAAAAGAGAAACTCTGGAGGATTAAAATAAATCCCATCAAATCACCTTTACCCTTCGTCGTATGTCCTCCTGTCCTGCAGTATCCTTTAATAATACCCCCACTTATTCCTGTTGAACAAATCCGATACCTTGGACTACACTTAGACAAACCTCTAACTTGGAATCCTCATACCAGACTGAAACGACAAGAAATCGCTCTACGTTTCCGACTACTCCAGTACTTACTAGACAAACGCTCTTAGCTCCCAGTCAATTACAAAAGACTCATATACATGACTACAATAAGACCTATTTGGACTTACGGAGCTGAGATATGGGGCCCTACTAAACCATCGAATTCATCTCGTATCCAATCATTACAATCCAAATTTTGGGGAAATTTTTTAATCTGTTTACAACGGAAATACACTTTTTGAGGTTCCTTGAGTCCAAATAACCAAGTCCCGCAAAATGGTCTGTGTGTGTGTTATCAGTCTAGCTCAAAAAAGAAAAGTCGTACGAAAGTGAAATTGCATATTTATGGTTTTTGTATGCTAGGGATATTACGGAAACTTTTTCGTCAAAATCGACTGACCGGATGTGGCACTTTATATCGCGGGCTAAACACATTTTTACAATTTTTTCGGAAAGGGCTGAAGCGATTTTTATTAAATTCATTACATAAGTGTAAAATTAAGCAGTTTTAAATAAAATGTAGTTTTTATTCTGATTGATGTTCTTTAACATGGCTTAAATGGCTAATTTTCAATATTTGTTTCCTCTAAAGTACCTTTAATCTTTTTTATTTGAAACAATTTACTATTTCACATTAATCTCTAATATAAAAGATAGTTAAATATAAAATATGAAAGAATTTAATAATTAACTAAAGGAGAAATAAAAAATCGTAACGGAGAATAGTTGTAATTGATCGTACCCGAGCTCGCCCGAAAGATTATAAGTCTTCCATACGCAACATGAGTTTAATATAATACGGACTCCGACAATGTTATATAAATATGCTATTGTTGGTATTATTTAATATTTAATTGTATAGATTACACCCATATAATTATTAAAATTTGTACATATTAGGGTACTTATACAAATAAAAAAATACTCACAATGAAGTATAAATAATAGCGTCTATAATTTTTACTTTTACTTCTGCTTTGTCTGAAAATACTTATTTCTGCTAAGAGGGTGCTAAGTGAAAGTTGTGTGATGCGCGCACCGCACCAGCTTTTTTTTCATGGATTCATATTTGTTTCTGTAAGTGATTTGAGTTAAATGCTTAAACAATCACATATATACTCTTCTTAAATTATAATTCATATCCAGCTACTAAACGTAAAGTAGTGTTGAGAAAAAATATAAAAATGTTTCCCTGGAAGCATTGTTGTACAGATTTTCAAGGACCACTTAAAGATAATTCTGTATAGTTTCGTTATTTTTTCTTCCATTGTTATTACCTTTAAATCCGATCCTGAATCCGCTACTAAGAACAAGGCTCTACGAATATTAAGATACGAGGATTTCATTTCATTTTAAATAATTAATGATGCATTGATAACGACCTAGTTTCCTTCCAGCGGGTTTACAGTTATAGAAAGTAGTATTTGTCGAGAAGTCGGCTAAGCGACTTTGTGAAAACTAACTGTTGCTTATATTTTATATATTCGCTTATTTACTTCTTAGGTTATATAAAACCTATATTTGAAATAGACGATAGTTATTGAATTCATTATGCCCTCCCCCGGTTTATTCCTAATTGTGTTGATAAGCGTCGCCAGGGCAGCAGATAGTAAACTGACACCAATGGAGAAGCATCAAGTCGTACCCGATGTATTACCTATTGCACCAGCAAGTATACTTTCTGTAAGTCGTTTTTACTTAATTCATAAATAAATAATTACATTAATACAACATTAACTAAACAATGTAAACAAAAGGGTAGGTTACCCTTAACATTCTATAATGACATAATTAGTCTATATTAACTTTTATCTTCTTGCTTTATTAAAAACAGCTGATTTACCTTGTAAATAATAATAATTATAAAGGTGGTATGAGCTCCAGTGAAATTAAACTATAAATAGTATAAAAATATATAATTACTGCCAGTTAATTTTTCATATATTTTATACAGTTTACTTTCATAACTATTTTTTATTCATGATCATCTTTTAGAGTAATTAAAACGTTTATTGTTCAATATTTAACAGTATTTGTAAAATTTTCATTCTATTAAGATTTTTTTTTCATTTTTTACTAACTTTAAATTGATCGATAAATTATATTCATATTTTAAAAATAAATGTATTCTAAGGTGCAATATCCAGACCACAATGTTGACCTAGGAAATGAACTGACACCAACAATTGTTAAAGATGAACCAACCGTTACTTGGGATGCCGATGCGAATGCATTCTACACTCTTTGCATGACAGGTATAATTAAAATTAATAAAATAAAATCATTTCGGATGGGATGAAAGTGGTTTAATCCGCAAACATTTTTCTACAGTTTTAAATATCTTCAACTCAGATTTACACAAGTGTTTTAAGAATGAATGTGGCATATTTACTGATGGTTTTAGATTAGTTAACAGTAGTCAAAAAAATATATTTTATATACCTATTTTGTTTTTCCGTTTAATGTATATAACATATATAAAAATCCTCTAACACTATATTTCTTTTAAGGTAGAGCTACACAACTGTTATGTTCACTAAGTAATCATAAATTTTACTTTCTCAGCTCTATTTCAGTCTGATTTATTATTAAAAGTTTTAAATTTTAACACATTTTTTGCCAGAATATTTCATACATGTTAATTTTACTTACAAAATTTAATTAGTAGAAATTTTATTGAAATTGCAAAATAAAAATCTTCATAAATTGAAATATAATAAGTATTCTTGGTTTTATCTTACTATCTTGATTCTGTTGATAAAAGTCAAACTAATATAAATCATTAATTTCTTCAAGGTAATGTCCTTGAACTTGTAGGCTATAATTATAATATTCCTAACTTTGAATTTACTATCTAGCTATTTATATATTTTTAGTATATTTAAATTAATGTGTATTTTAATTGTTTTATTAACTGGATAGTTGTATAAAGCAATGTATTTTTATTATTTATGAATAAATTATAATTAATAAAGTGTGAAATAAATTTTGAAATGCATTATATCAATTATTGCAATTATCATCTCTATCAGCTAATTATTTTAAGCTAAATTTATCTCAGGAATTTTCACTTTTAATGAGGCTAATCAGTACTGATAAAGTGAAATTTTAATTTAAAATTTCAAGATTAATATTTATTTTCAACTGTCTGATATGAAGAAGTTATATAAGCCTAAGGCTGTTTATCAGTTGTTATACAACATAAAATGAAGTAGTTTTTACTAGTGAAGGACACACCTATACCATGATTAAGATTGAGTCGTAATCATTGGAGCATTTATAATCATAACATCTGCTGTAAACATGTTTATCCATAATTATAAACCTTCCCTTCTTTATCCCTTTTATATCTTTATATCCAATATAATTTTATGTAAATTTCAACAAAACATAGTTTTTATTATTGCATATCAAACATTAAAATATAAATAAGATACTTCCCTGAATTTACTAAATGAAAAAAATAAATTAAGTAATTTGGCTATATAATGCTAACAAGATAATTTCTTGTTTATAATATGCTAAACATTGAAAACAACAAAAACTTATTGATATTATATTATAATATATCTTATATTATATAATATTATAATAATAAAATATAATATTATTATATATTATATTATAATATTAATAAGTTTTTTCTATTCTAAGAATGATAAGTATATTGCTTGATGCAGCAGCCAAATTGCTTATAAATAAAGCATTTATCTCAATTAAATTTTTACATTCCATTGACTTTTTCTATAATAAAATATTATATTAAAAAATAATTTATTTTATATATTGTCCCATGAATATTGGTATAGACTGATGATTGGTAATGACTGATGATTCGATTGCAATTGTAAGTCACGTTTTTTTAATTCAATAGAAAGTAATAACTAAGAAATAATTTAATTTATGCAATGATAAATTACAGTTTACTATACTTGACAAAATTTTCTTTAAAAGCAAGTTGAAATTGTCAATTTTTAAGAAGGAAACTCAGAAGCAAACAAATATGTTAACTTCTGTTTTTCATAAAATCATGAATTATTTATGATTGATTTTATCAGTCTGTTACTCGACATAAATTCCCCACCTTTTGTAAAAATTTGTTGTTTAATAAACTTTGGATTCATATTAATTGAGGTTAAATATTATACGAGTTGAGATTGATATCAAGTTGTGTAAAAAAAAAAAAAAAATTGTCTCCTTCAAATTCCAGTACTTCAAAAAGTAAATAAATAAAAATAAAATAAATTATTCCAAACCTTTTTTTTGTAACCTGTGGTTTATTGTAATAAACTATTTATTAAAATACACTTATTTATATAAAAAAAATAGATATTTAAAAATTATCATTCAAAGTGATATTGAAGCAGTGCTAGTCTCGTTTATTATACTGTAATTAGTAATTACATCATTTTTTATTATCATCTTTTCATATTAAGCACAAATCATGTCTTACTTAAAATAAAAATTCAAACATAAATTTTCTGGTTTTCTAATCGGAATTGGACGATGGTCTATATAAACTTTTTTATTTCTCTATCATATCTTTAAATATTTTCCCATATTTACTGGACATTGTATATAAAATATATATTTTTAATAGTATTCATACAAAATTATCTTTTTTTCTGCTAATTGCATTTCAAACAATTTATTTATCCTACGGTTTAATCATGTTTTTTTTTGTTGTTATGTACTTGATATATAGTTTAATTTTATGGCGAGAATCCCAGAGGACCCAGTCTGGAACCCAGATGGGGATTCGATTCCTACCTCAATCAGTTAATATTTATTTCTTGGTAGAACCAAGAAATGAATCTTGACACTTCCACACTTGTCAGTACAGTGTGGTAGTAGTCAGGGTCTGGCAAAAAGGATTGCAAGGCCCGGGTTTTGGACTAGTTTCCCAACCAATACTAGTTCCAGTACCCTCTCTTCTATTGTTTATTTTATTTAATTAATAATATTATTTTCTGCTATAAATTTTTTTCTATTTCAAAATATGATTATTGGTATAATAAAGTTTGATAATAGATTAAAATCCTAATCTTGTGAATTGAATGGACTATGAATAGTTTAATTATAATAGTGGATTTTATCTGTTATGCTCTCAATCCAATTCGAATCACATGTTTCCAAGGAGGTTGATAAAACATGATTCCAATTGGTTTGAAAGCATTACAGATAAAGTCCACTATTATGATTAAACTTGATAAGAAATAAAGTGCTTTTAAAGGTATTAGTTATCACTCAAATATTTATTAACTCTTTTTATAGTTTGGTAGTACGCTATCTCGGTGTAAAATAGCTTTAGCATTAAAGTGCTTAATGTTATGGAGAATTATAGATTTTTTTAAAAGTATTCTGTATGCAATGTTTTGAAAGAATCCAGTCCATTTTTTTCTTATTATTAATAATAATATTGAACCTTTACAAGTCATTGTTCCCAATTGATTACATATATTTGGAAAAATATTTTTGAAATGTTTTGTTGAATGAACACGGAGCTGATTTTATAATGTTGAGAAAGGCTATTATAACTACCCAAACCTTAAGTGAAATAGTATTTCTGTGTCATTTGAACAATAATTGTCACAGTCACTTCAAACAATACATGAACTGATTCAAGCTGTAAAAAAATTATTTTTCTGAAAACAAAACAAAAAGAAGCTGGATGTTACTAAATGTTGTGCATTTGACGTTATAAGCAGCAAAAAATGTTTTTCAGTTAATTAGTTAAATTAAATGAAATTTTTATTATAAATTATGTTGCTATAGTATTTTTCTTTCTAAAAAACAATCTCTCTTTACAGGTTAAAAGTATAGATTTATGTATATGTTTTAATTTTTGTATTTAAAATATGCATTTATATATTGTCTGCCTATTGCAAAAAGTCATTAAGTAATATTTTAATGAATTTGGGACAATCGAATTTGAAGTTTCTGATTCATTAAAAAAATACTAAAATAGCAATTTGATTATTTATTTAATTTTTGTTATTTGCAATTCTACATATGTATTCTATTTCGACAATTAATTAAAATACCTAACATATACAGAACAATGAAACAAAATTCATAAAATATAACCACGAAAATGTAACTAAACACTAACTTACTTTTACAATCTTGCAATTAAATAGAACGGGAGTCAGGTTTAGCTCGCTTAGTTTTATTTTTCATCTGATCAATTAATCCAGTGAAAGAAGTCATTAATTACCAGATAGTGACTTTTTTTTCTGTAAAGCCAGAACATTGTATAATTAATGAAACTATTTTTTACGCATAAAAGGATTAGTATTATTTCTATACCCTTAATTAGTTATTTTATCGATAAATATAATAAAAATTAACAAATAAGTACCTTCTGGTAAAAATCCACCAGAAGTGTACTTAGTGACTTTTTGCAATAAACGGAGATATATTTAATTTGTTTTTTATTTAAAATATATCTCCAATAGTGGCCAATGCTCTCAATTGGAAACATGCCGAAAATCTTTCCCATTTTTTTTTTTTTTAACAACTTAATTGGCAATTGGTATATTTCATTTTAACAATTAGAAAGCCACAAAAATGAATAAAACAATAAAAATTCAATTTATGTATGTATCTAGTCTGTAAAAAGTTTAAAAGTTGGATTAAGTTCTGAGTAAAGTTACTTTATGGCTATTTAAATCATAAAATCATTTATGACTTACTCATTCCTTAAATATAAAAAACTACTTTTTATATGGTTTTTAAGCTAATCTCTACTAAACTATTGTTAATTTATTGTGCAAATATATTATTTGCATAATTGACGTGGCCGTAACTTAACTATTTCTTATCCTCAAGATCCTGATGCGCCCAGCAGGGCCACTCCAAAGGCAAGGGAATGGCATCATTGGTTGGTTGGCAATATTCCAGGATCAGATATTAAGAAGGGAGAAGTCTTGAGTGCATATATTGGATCAGCTCCCCCCAAAGGAACAGGTAATTTATTTGTAGTTAAACTTTATTTTTATAAATTTTATACTAGCTGGTTACCCATTTCCCATTTGAAATATCTTATCATTAAATTCTTTGTAAACTTCTCAAGAAACACTAGGAGAATTCTTTAAACTGCTTTGACCACTCTTTACTGTTTGGAATTTTTTTATTTAGTAAAAATATAATATTAGTAAGTAAAATATTTAAGGGAGATTTTTAAGACAGCATTGTAGCTCAATAAGTTAGGCACTGTGTTCCTATTCTCCCAGTTTGAGTATGGCAAGATATTATTTATTCGGTTACATCCACTGTGAATTGATCCTAGTGTCAGAAGATCCTAACATACTGATTACTTTACATTCAACTGGTTATAGTTTTAAAGATTAAGAAATAAAGTAATAATTACAACTTAACTCCTTTATGCTTCAAAATTCCATAAGAAAAATGGTTTTTGGTTTTCTTGAAAAGGCTTCTAATATAAAATGTTTGGTGTCACATCCCTTGGACCATTGAAAAACAGTCACACGCAGCATAATCATCTTGAACTGCTGAATTTTGTACAGAATGGATAGATAAATTAAAATTATAAATAAAATCAGAAATATGTCATCGAAGCATGTCATATGGATATAATTATAACACCTAAAAGCACATCTTATTACCCTCATACCGTCTTCAAGGTGTGTAACATGTGAGGGTAATGCTTTTTACAGATTCACATATACAGCAGAACAGCAGCAGCAGAACTTCCAAGTCTTAAAAAACACAGATGTTAAGGATACCCATAAAGGGATTACATGGTGCTAATTATTCCTTTAAAATTTTTGAGAAAGGCAAATTTTTACATATTTGTGAAATTTTGAGGGCAAGAAATATTTACAGGGTTGTAGATTTCTGAAGGAAACCATTTATTTGCGAAGTTTCAAATTTGGGGAAACTTTATAATCAAGGAACTATGGGAAAAACTCGACTAAAATTTTTAAAATTATATTTTGTCTTTTTTCTTTTCGCCTTTTTGGCTCTATGGGCAGTGGATTAATGCTACCAGAGTTCCAGAATCTAGGCAGCAGGATTTGAACTTGTAATTTTCAGTTTATTAGACTGCCGTTCAACCAGTGTTATATACACGTATACCCCAACATTATAGCCACCCACCCTGCCCCCAATTCTACTTTAACTTACTTTATTTTTGAAAAGAGAAAAAAAAATTCTGAGAGAGTAGGCAAGCACCATCGGCCTTGGATGAGATAAACATCCCTGGTTGTGGCTATTAGCAGCGATATCCTAATAGAAGCCAACACAAAAAAGCCTGACTCCTTTCAACTTCTACAATAACATGTATCAAGAAATAACAAGGTTATTGTGAAACTTTGCATAGGTGTTTTTATTATCATAAGAAATTACTGACTTAATAATTATTCTTCATTTTTTATTCAATTAACAAAAAATTCTTTAAACTTAGCCCTGAGATCCTTGAGAGTTTTTCATGCTATATCACTGAATATCATGATAAATTAAAAATAAAACTAGATTTTGTCATTTTTAATAAATGTTATGTTTCATTTTTTAATTACTGATTTTTTTCAGGATTGCATCGTTACGTTTTTGTGATGTATAAACAGCCAGGAAAATTGGAATTTGATGAACCAAGATTGCCCAACAAGTACGTCTCTGAATTTGCAATATTTGTTTATTTATTTTACAAGGAATCAATTATTTAATATATTTTCTATATATTTTTCAGTTCTCCCAAAAACAGAGCTAACTTTAGTATTGCTAAATTTGCTAGCAAGTATAAACTTGGAAATCCGATTGCTGGAAATTTCTACCAAGCTGCCTGGGATGAATACAGTGATGTGGTCCATAAGAGATTAGCCTAAGGAAGTTAAACTTCCTTTTATTTTGCAGATCTTTTTTTATATTTCTTTTATCTGAAATTATTTTAGTAATAATCTAGAGAGCTCACTATTAAAAGACATCACTACTAACATAATTGTTATATGAGTAAATAAAATATTTTATGAACTTTATTTCTCTATAAACACCTATAAAATTATGTTATAAATACTTTTAATAACCAGGACTGATAATCTAACGTTTTCTCCTTCCATTTGTATGGATTTTAAGAATTTAAATTTTTACATCCAGATTTCAAAATCTAATTTAACTTCATCATTTATTTATTTTTTTTTTTTTTAAAGTAAGCTTGCATGAATTTTGTATTTTATGGTAATAAAGATTTATTAACTTTAATAAATGGATATTTATAAAGTAGAGCTGAGATACACTTCGACAGCACCATGTTTGGCAGCTATATACATCTTACTAAAGCGAACTCAGGCCTTGCCCTCACTCCTCCAATATGCACAGTTATTTAAAGTTTTTAGATTGTTTAAAAAGTGTAATGTCAATATATAAAGATTTTTGTAGCTTTAATTTAAGCAATTTTTTTTCCTTGCCCAGTACCCAATTGCATTTCAATTTTTTTCATAAAAATAACAAACTTTTTTTATTCCTGATGAATGGTTGGAATGGCTGAGTGTTTAAACAGGTTGTACTGCCCTAAGGCCAGCGCTGAAATAGAAGCAAAAAGCTACTATCAAGTTTCATGATTGTTATAAAATCATGCTAATAACAGAAGTTTAAATTATGCATCCTTACCTACATTTTTTTGAGTAATAATTTCATGCATAGAACATTTCAAATGTGATTCTGATAAGAAAACTTTTACAAAGATGTGAGATGTGAAAAAGCATTTGGTCTTCAAATTAATTTCTAATAAAATATTGAGATAAAACTAGCCAGCAATTTATACAATTATAAATTTTAGGTATAAAAAATGAAATTGAATTATAAAACAAACTTACTGGTCTAAAGTAAGACACAAGCCTATATCTTCTTTTTCTTCATAAGTAATAACAAAAGAAGTCCAGTTAGGAACAAAGTGTTTGTGTATCTTTTGACATCTCATCTATCGACTGAACCTCTTGTTTATGATACAAACCTCATCAGTCCTCAATCAAAGTCCGCTAACTGTATAGAAATATTTTATTTCTTAAGCTGTAGTATGTTATTTTAAATTTGAAATGTATTTCATTCAATATGTCTTACCTTTACTTCTTTAATTTGTAAATCAAATGTACCTAACTACAAAAAAGCTTTATAAAAATATACAAATCTATATAAATAAAATAGAGGTTTATTCTGTACATTGAATAGAATCAACCCGTTTCATAGATTACAGACACCAAATCCACTTTTTAAAAGAAATTTGTCTGTATGTCCGCATTGTACAACGAAATTTTGTCAGGGGTAAGCTCAGCAATGGCTAATGGTAGACTTTTGAAATTTTGACATTATATTTAGGTTTGCTTGACTTAAAACATAGGCTTTAAATTAAAACAAAATATTGAGTAGAACTAAAGTTATGAATTCTTGAGTAATTTGTCTAGAGATCCTGGTTAGGCAGTTACTTACTTCGATTCTCATCCCAACCTACTCTACCGCGAGCCACATTTAAAAGTTGCACTACTCAACTGATGAAAAAAATTATCAAAATTCAACGGAAAAAAATCCAAAATACTGAACATCTGTAACGTCTTGTCGCTTAAAACACAGTAATTTTTCAACTTTGTCCGATCTTCCCATTCCAAGATGTCATTCGATTCAAGTTCCCGACCCTAAAAAATCTATACATTTTTAGAATTAGCCGGAAATCGGGGGGAAGGACTCAAAAAATTCACCCAGCCCACCTCAATTTTCAGATCAAGTTCTAATTGTACACAGATGTAGGTGATGTAATGTCCAATGTTATTTTGCCTGCGATAAACTCAGCAGAATTTAAAGAAGTGGAGAGACTAAACCTCTTTTTTTATTATTTCAATCGACTCCACAATCTCTTCGCTTCATCATAAATGAAAATTAAACATTGGGAAAATTTTAATGGATCGGTGGTGGTCAGTTTCGTTGTGTGGCTCCTAAAGAAATAGCCCAATAACAAAGTTTTTATTATGAAACCTTGACTTCTTTAAGTTCTGCCATAAAAAATTTCAAAACAATCCCCTCTCACCCAATTTTATGAAATTGAATTTGGATCCCCCTCCCTCTATAATACAATATCCATCTCAAAAAAATATTCCCAAATTTTAACTATACATCCATCAATGATGGGAACATCAACTAGTTTATAATATATTAATCATTAATTTATTAAATGAAAGGGAATTTATACCCAAATTTATTTACAATGGTTCAATATTTAAAAACTTTAATACAAATAAAATATCAGTAAAAAAATACCAGAGAATATAAAAACAAATATGTTCAAGAATGTATCACAAGCTTCTTTGGTTTTTCACCAGGGATTGCTGTTCTATTGACATAGTACACAAAGACGCCGCTAGGTTTTCTATGACTTCTGTCATGAATTCCATGTTTAGGTATTATGTCCTATTGTTCATCAATCAGCTGTGAAATATTCGAGTTTTCACTATTAACTTTGTAATATTAGCACGTGTTAAAATTATTTTAATATATCGTAAAATGTCTGAAGGTAGTTGTACATCCTGTAAACAAGTATACAATCTACCTCCGATTGAGGAGGAAGTAGAAAGTGAACTTGTTGAAGAGGAATTGTTTGACAACAAATTTGGATCTGAAGGATGGGAAGAATCCAGTTCGGGAAACGCAACCGCACTTTCAGGAGATACTCATCTCACCTTATCTGCAATTTCCTCCGCAAGTCAGGATCCCATCTTTGACGGAGAAAACTTCGTACCTGAACTAAAAGACGAGTATATTGAAGATGAAAAAGGCGACGACTTCCATTTCGACGAACTACTTTTCATGATCAATCGTAGTTCATTGAAGAAAATCGGGAGCATGAAAATAATTGTCGAACACATAGGTAATGGTGACTTCTTTGTCATGTTACATTATTTCTTCTCAAGAAGAACTAAGATGTTCGAAGTGTACAACTACGGGTATGTGAGGAAAAACTTTAATTCGACAAACGAAGTAAGATACGAAATTGAGATTGACGTTATGCGCCATAAGAGAACAGTGCATAGCTTGTATGTGAGGCCTGTCGATGAGAAATTCCTGCTGACTGAGCGATACAAATATGACACGACTCATTACGTCAAGAATAAGACTGAGTTCACCTTTGACGACTTTTTGAATGTGACAACGGAATCGGCGAATATTATAATGATGCGACAAATAGCCAAGAAGGACTTTAGTGGATACAAGTTCGTCAAGAGTGTCATTACGAACAGAGAAGTTTGTGATACGCAGTTTAAGTGTTATCCTTTCGAATGGTGCACGGTTAACAATAAGAAAACAGAGTTGAAGAGAATAAGAAAAAGAATCATCCTCCCGACTCAAGAAATGCAAGAGAGTAACGCATATCTCACGAGGAATGGCCAATTGGCGTTGGTGACGTGGGTTGGAGATGATCACTACGCCGTTATAGACCCTAAAGCTGTCATCACACCGGGTTACCATCCCAAAGACCCTCAACTTCTGAGGCCTTTAATGACCAGATACCTTAACACGCCTGTGATGAAAAGAAAGATCGAAATGGACACTAATAGGCTGATTATGAAATCGAGAAATTACATCGCAGATCATCCTGAAGTAATGGCGATCATATCGTTTATTTGCAAACAGATCTTGTTAACCAAACCGCATAAAGTAGTCCTTTTTGTAAAGCGGTGCATATTGCCATATTTATAAAACAAAAAAGTGAATAACTCAACAAAAAATTATTGGAATATAGAAGGATTATTTTATGTCAATTTTTATTAATTAATGAAAAAAAACTCCAACAAGAGGCATTATAAAACTGTTAAGATTTTGTTAGGAGCAGGAATGACCATCCTTCCAAGCTCGATGGCGAATGCTCCCTTTCTATAAATTGTAATGCTGTCCTCTTCTTAAAACAGTGAAAGCGAAAGTATAATAAGAAAATTGTAAATCTTGCTCTAGCCGTTACGTTGTGATTTTAAAGTTGTTACAAATTGAAACGTCACAAAAACACGATTCTCTAGAAAATTCTCGACCCCGCAAGAATGCTCCGTCCCCATCAAAAATTCAAAACCCCGAAAAATGTGGCCTCTAAAAATAACTTGTGCCATGCAACCCTCTTCTGGGCACACCTGATTAGTAGATTCTAAAACCTTAATTTTCTGAAACAATAAATAACTAACCAATTGCTAAGATAAAACAGAGTAGGATAAGATGAGATGAATGCAAACCAGATATACCACCACTCACACCAATGGTCTACAAACGGTTATTGTTTAACCATACAAACAGATTTGTATTTGATGAAATTTAGATTATGGTTGGTGATCCAGTCAAATATAAAATATACTCCTAAATGAGCACCATAGTAATTGGCTACACAGTTACTGGAAGCCTGTTGCATAGGCACTGCCACTTAAGAAATATTTAGGGGGAAGGGAAAAAGTTTAGGACAATGTCATAACAATGGGAAGAAGGGAGGAGTAAAAAATAGGTAAAGAGGTAGGAAATATTGGAGAGGGGCGAAAGTAACATAATAACTGATTTCAATGCTTGAGAGAGAACGCTAAAATAAAAGAGTAACTCAGGAATCAGTTTATTACCTGTAATATATATAATAGTTGTTACCTATAAGGTTTATTGAAGTTCTTGCGAGTTATTTTTTGGTAAATAACTGCGAAATAATGGAAAATGGCGCCCAGGGTACTTATCCAAGTAGCGTCCCTTCGTAACTTCTTTAGATTTAAAAAATAGATACACTAAATATACAGTCATAAATCTTACTAAACATATTTATTTGCTAATTTGTAATGAAAGTTAGTCGGCTAAACCGTTATTCTTACAATTGCACCTTCCTCGCTTTCTGTGAAGCAAACATATCATGATGTTTTCGAAATCAGTTTTATTCATTTCTGCAGGCTCTACACTGAGCAAAGCTAGGTCAATCTTTCTTGGCAGGTAATAGCCCTCAAACGAAAGTATTAATTTTAACTTTCTGAAACATCTCTTACAATTTGCGATGGACACTGCAATTGTGAACAGAGTTTCAATGAGAAGAAAAAGATTCGAAAATATTCTGTCATCCCCAAAGAGCACAATAAATTCATATAGATCTTTAGATTTCTTTATGTTGATGTTTTTTCTTTTAGATATTAGCATTCAACATTCAATATTTCTTCATTTAACAGTTCCTCCTCATCGCCTTTAAGGTTATATGGGGTTTTTCTGGGGCAGAGGAGAGGGCGGGGGATAAATACCAGAGTTAAAAGCCATGCCTCCTTCCTGCCCCAGCACATATCATGTTAACCAGGTTTATTAGGTTGCTGGGCAATGCATTTTGCAGTTACCCTCCTAAGCCAACCCACCTCCATTACTTAAACAGTTATGATATATGTACTCTTTCTAGACTATAACGCCTCTACAGCTACTAAATGTACTGTCAAGATAAAAATATTTTTAAAAGCATTATTGTTCCAGTAATTGTTTTTTTTTAAATTGATTTTATTTTTTTAAACGAGCCTTCAAAGAATAATTAAACATCATTTTATACATTTTTTTTCTTTTGCAGCCAGAATAATTAGTGTTATAAAAAGAAAGGAAGCATGTATCTCCCCCTCCCCTCCCATCCCTCCAAAATTAAATCTTGGATTCACAACTGGTGCTTGATATGTAAAGTTGTCTTTTGTAACATTAATAGCTTGAAAGTATTTTACAAAAAATTACTCCAGTCATGTATAAATGGAATGGCAATATTATAATTTGTGTGTAGTTCATACTAAAAATATATTAATATTTATTTGTCAGAAATAAATGTATAACAAGTCTAATATTTCAATATTAACCCTCTTTCCTTTCTCTTAAAGATTAAAAATATCGAAGTTTGAAAAATATTAAAAATAGCAAAGACCTCTGTATCAAATCACTTTTAGTGATTTGAGCTAAATATTTAAACAATTACAATATGTGAATTCTTTTTAGATTATAACACATCTACAGCTTACTAAATGCAGGAACGGTCAAGATAAAAATATTGTTGTTAAATATCCCTATGACCATTAATTTGTATTATTTATAAAAGCATTATTCTATACCAAGCCTCTTTTCTATACCAAGTCATCAGAATTCGGCGGCCTTCCTATATTTTTCACAACCTACAATTCAAATATTCCATTCAATCCCGTCTCACTAGATCTCGTACCTCCGACCTCTATCCACCTCCCCACCAAACTGCAGCGTTTGACAAATCCTTTATAATTCAAGCCGTCTCCTTCTGGAATACCATCCCTCCCGATATCCGACATGTACAATCAGTTTCCTTATTTAAATCTCTCCTTTTCAACCACCTACTCCTTTCCCAACCCGATTGATCATGAAATGTAGATAAGAGAACTTTTAAAGTTCCCCCAGAAATGATTTTCTTTACTTATGCTATTTTATTTTATTATATAGTTTTTATTATACATATCACAATGTTTTTAGTGTATTAGTTATATTTTTTGTTTTATTATTTTTTCAAAATCTTAATCTTAATAATAAATGTAAATAATTAATTTTATGTATGGCCACACAGGCATTTATTCTGTATCTGTAATTTGTCCTAAAGGGACAACAGTCCCAGGATAATAAAAAAAATATTTTCATTTAATTTCATTTTCATTTCATTTCATTTCATATTATTTCAATACATTTAAAAAATATCGAATAATTATATATATATATATATATATAAATTTCAATATTTAGATCCTACTTTTCGAACTGCCACACTAATGGGATCTTTTGACAATAGAAAACTAGGGTTTCTAGCACTGACCTAATATTACTTATATCTCAAATTGCTATTTTATTGTTTAATTGAATGCTAAGACAAAAAATGTTTGGTGTAATCTAGTGATACCAATCTTAATTGAACTTAAAAAACTAAACAAAGACAATCATTAGATTATAATTGATAATAAAACAAAATCATTCATTTTTTATAACTATCAACAATACAAAAATGTTCAAAGTATAAACTGAAATTCAATACTAAAAAATGTTAAGTACAAAGCATCCAAAAAACGTTGAGTAAAAAATTTATTTACCACTAGGGTGAAGAATGGAACATATCAATAAAAAACAATTCATATTATAAATTCTTTATTACTAAAAATATTTTGTGTTTAATAAAATATAACTTCAAAATATTTGAATTACAGATTCTTTTCATTTTTAGATAAACGAATATGTTACAATAATTAAAAATGAGCGACCATGAATTCATTTTACTGTACACCACTTAAATCTGTCATTTTTTGACAAATGTCATTCAGTAAAATAGCTTTCACATATACAGTTATAAACATATTTAGAAAAAATATTGTTATATTAATTTTGAAATAGAAATATGTTAATATAGACAAATAGGTGCAGAATATAAAAATTACGAAGACGACATAATTATTTAAATTATGTATCAGATTTACGAATATATTTTTTAAAATGTACACATGTGGTTACAAAACGTTTTTGTAAATTTTTTTCTTTTTTTAACAAGTAGTTATTTAATATAATTTTCTTTTTTTTTATTTAATATAATATTTATTCTTTATTTATTTAATATTTATATAATCTATATCCATATCTAATTTAAATAAATAAAATTAAATAATTGCTTGTTCTATATACATGTAAATACTCACAAGTGGTAAGAAACAAACGCTTCTCGGTTTTCTAAATTAACCTACTAATACTATGAATATCACAAACTTTTTTTAATTGTAAAAAGCTAATGAGGAATGTAAGATTTTGGCATTGTTATGAAAATAAATAATGATAGCAGATAAATGACCTGCCGTTGAGATGTTAGACGTGAACGTTGAAAGAGTTCCGTCGATTTGATTTACACTCATTTAAGTACATTTGCCCTCTCTGTATTCTTAGAAGTTAAATCATCAGTCGCAACGATAAATTTCTAAGAATGATTCCGTTTAACAAGGATTAAAAATAACAATAATAATAAAACTTAAAGAAAGAGGTTAGTAAGAAGTTGTGCCCTCGATTCAGCAGATTCGTACTTCGTAGCGATTTCTTGAATCTTTAATCTCCTTCTTGTATGAGGTGGCTGATAGCTGTACAAAAAATAAATCTTAATTAATCAAGGATGACATTAAAATACAAAGTTACATATATTGCTATGATGTTTTTCACCTATATTCAGATAAATATAAGTGTATACATAATCACATAGTATATAGCTATTGTATAATATAATAATCAATAAAAAGGCTTAATGAACCCAAAGGTTCAATGCCAATACCAATGTAATGTATTCACCATTGAAAAAGATCACAGTTCATGCGATTGGTGAAGGACGAGTATATTAGAGTGTTGCCCTTTTTAGCACTAGTGGATCCAGGATTTAATTTTGGAGAGTCTTCAGCCTATTTTTGGCATTCCTGGACTTGAAGGCTACATTTGATTTGATTCCTCACCTAGAGATTTGGAATGATCCACAGGAAAAATGGGTACCATCCAATCTCATCAGCGCAATCAAATCGGTATACCAGGATCTCAAGGGAATAGTGCAGCTTAACGGATCTGAATTGCAGCCATTTAGGTTTTATAAAGGCGTCCAGCAAGGAGATAGCCTAAGCCCACAACTATTCATCATATGCATGGATGAAGTCTGGAAGTAAAGGATACCCGGAGCAACAGTGAAGTTCTGGAATTTAATTGCTGTGCAGGCACAAGCTCTCCAATATGCAGATGACGTGGTCCTGATTGCCGACACCCAAGAAAGGCTTCAGATGGCTATCAAGGAATGATCGAAAGAGCTCCAGAGGAAGAGGATGGAAATAAACCCTACAAAAAGTAAGGTGATGTTTGTCAGCCAAGATGTGGAAGACGAAGTTTTCATAAAATGTAATAATGAGCCATTAGACAAGGTAGATAACTATCAGTAATTGGGCACAATTTTCAGTAGAGATGGAAGGATCGACCAGGAGGTTTTAAATAGAGTTAAGGAGGCCAATGATGTGTTTGACTCTATCTGTACTACATTAATAGAGAAGCAGAAGATAAAGAAGAAAACTGAAGTAGCTTTGTTTAAAACAGTATTTTTGCCTGTCCTTTTGTATGGTGCAGAGAGTTGGACGATCCTAGACAAACATCTCAGCAAACTAACGGCCATAGAAATGAGATGCCTCAGAAGAGCGCCAACTGAAGTGGTTTGGCAATGAGTACCGGATGGGCGATAACCAAAAGGCAAAATAGTTCCTAGAGGCAAAACCAGAGGGAAGGCAGCCTAGAGGCAGGTCCAGACTATTGTATTGTGACTACATGGAGAGACTCGAGCGAGCCAGAGGTAGCACCACAGTGGATATGAGGAGGGCTAGTGACAGGGATCAGTGGACGAGGCTGTTCTTCCACGCTGGTGAAAAAAGACGAAGAGTCTTTGCTCGAAAGCTTTTTTTAAATTTATATATTACAATAACTACTTTTGTACAAAAAAAGATTAATTACCTATCTATCTGAAATGGTATTTAAGTGATTCTTGAAGTCCTATAAAATGTAATTAGACAAACAATAATACTTTTAGAGATAATTTTGTTTATAAAACATGGTTATATTTTATACTTAGGGGGTTTCAGCATCGAAAATTGAAAATTCATGAAGCATTGAAAATGGCCTACAGGATGAAAACTTGAATGTAAAGTAAAAATAAAATTCTAAAATATTGAGGAGGTTAAAAAGAAAAAATATACCTTTCATTATCTAGACGTTTCCTACGACATATGTTAAGTACTGTCTGCCTCACAAAATCTCCAACCTTCAACCGACTCACTACTATACCGTCGACTAGAGGCGTGGCAACGCATGGCCTGAAGAAATTCATTAATTTGAAGTAATATTTCAAAAATTAAATATATAAAAATAGTTAATTACTTTCAATTAAATAAAAATAATTTTATATATAGTTTACCTTGTGGTAGAAGGTCTCACTTTGACCCTAAAAAGCCCACTCTGCAGAGCATGAATAAATATAATAGTACAATGCTGTAACGAAAGGCTTTCTTGACCGTGGCCAGTGTGCGGCATCATCTCATCTATATAATTTAAAATAATTTAATAATAATACAACCGCTAATAAATTATATTAATTATGCAACTTGCCTAATGGGAAATTTAAATGGTCTTCTAAACTCTCCAACCAAACGACAAATACTGGGTATGTTGTTAATTGTCTTTTCCCTTTTTCTTCATGGCCTGAAAAATTTAAATAAAGTTTAAATTCTTATACGCACTCGGAATAAATACACATGGATCTCTCTGAAACAATAAGAGATAAGCATTTTAAGACAAAAAAAAATATATTGAATTTTCCAATAGAAAAGTTTAATTAAATAAATCTGAACAACTTAAGTTTTGAAATATTTTTAAGTTCAGCAAAGCCCTTGACCTACAATAATAAAATAAAGATATCTCCATGATATCTCCTTCCTTCCTACTCTCCCCCTCTCCCTCTCTTGATATTAGAGGAATTCTGTTTTTTATTAAATGAAAAAAATAAAAATCAAATCAAATTTCAGCATATACAAAATTTTATCTCAAGATTGCGAATAACAGTTTAACATCAGTAACAAGCTTTTTACAACTCTAAATAACAACAATATTAAGTTTGATCATTGATCATTCAAAATTGATTAGGCAATTTTTTCTAAGAACAGCTGAGCAAAATCTAAGTTTTTGATATTATACCATATTTGTTTTATGGAGGTAAAAGATAGGTTAAAACCTTCTTACGACTCTACACAACAATAGAGACATAACTGAATGAAAATCAAATCGTAGATAGTAGGTGTGATTTGTTACTTTATTTATATGACTAGCTGATGTACCCATCGTTGACGGGTGTATAGTTAAAATTTAAGAATCTCTTTTGAGATGGATTTTGTATTATGGGGAGGAGGGACCAAATTCAATTTCATAAAATTGTGTGAGGAGGGGGAGAGGGGAGTTGTTTTGAAAAAAAATGTATGGCGGGGCTTGTGGAAGTCAAGGTTTCGCAATAGTCATAACAAAAACTTTGTTATTCGGCTATTTGCTTAGGTACCACACAACTAAACCGACCACTACCGATCCATTAAAATTTGTTAAGTGTTTAATTTTCATTTATGGTGAAGCGAGGAGATTGTGGAGTTGATTAATTAATCAAAAAGAGTTGTAGTGTCTCCACTTCTTTAAATTATGCTGTTTATCGCTGGCAAAATAACATTGGACATTGAGTCACCTACATCCGTGTAAAATTAGAACTTGATCTGAATATTGTGGTAGGCGGGGTGAAATTTTTGGAGTTCTTTTTTCCTGATTTCCGGATAACCCATTTGCTTAATCCTAAAAATATATACAACAACATTTGTTAGGCTCTGGAAGTTGAATTGAATGACACCCTGAATGGGAATATTGGATAAAGTTGAAAAATGAGTGTATTTTACCCGAAGTTTGGTATTCCGGAATTTTCCCGTTGAGTTGTGATGATTTTTTCTATCAGTTGAGTATTACAACTTTTAAATGTCGCTCACGATAGAGTAGGTTGAGATGAGAAGCTAAGTAACTGCCTAACGGGGATCTCTAAACAAATTACTCAAGAATTCATAACTTTGGTTCCATTCAATATTTTGTTTTCATTTAAAGCCTATGTTTTAAGTCAAGCGGACCTTAATATAATGTCAAAATTTCAAAAGTCTACAATAAGCCATTGCTGAGCTTACTCCTGACAAAAGTTCATGCAATGCAGACATACAGACAGACAACAATTTTTTTAAAAGTGGATTTGGTGCCTGCAATATATGAAACGGAAAGATATCATAAAACGGGTTGGTTCTATTCAATGTACAGACAAAACCTTTATTTTATGTATATAGATGTTCTTTAACCTATAAATACATGTTTATTATTATCACTTATTATCATCATCAACTGAAATCTCTAGTCAAATTACTCAAGAATTCATAACTTTGGTTATACTCAATATTTTGTTTTCATTTAAAGCCTATGTTTTAAGTCAAGCGGACCTTAATATAATGTTAAAATTTCAAAAGTCTACAATAAGCCATTGCTGAGCTTACTCCTGACAAAAGTTCATGCAATGCAGACATACAGACAGACAACAATTTTTTTAAAAGTGGATTTGGTGTCTGCAATATATGAAACGGAAAGATATCATAAAACGGGTTGGTTCTATTCAATTTACAGACAAAATCTTTATTATTCTATTTATAAAGATATGCAATTAAAACTTGTAACAATGTTCGAATGATGAGCGAGAGTACCTGTACAAAGCTTATAAATAATATCACTTGAACTAAATACCTTAAACATAACAAAGAATAAAATGAAATGGCTCAATACCTGAATGCTGGTGCCTAGTTACCGGAACCGGTTGCCTGGTAGGAATAATGAACGTAACTTGGGACATCGGATCCGCCCAATATAACGTTGGGAACGGATTCTTTTCATTCTGCGCAGCTTTTAACTTTTCATCTGGAAAGACCATACCAATAAATTTTGTTTGTATTTAATTAATGTTAACTCACAACTGATATTCCATGAAATGTATATTAATTGAATAAATTTTATCTGAAGATATAAAAGACATACCCTTGGCGGCGAGAGAAGAAGAATGTAACGGCCAACCGAGAGAATTCAGTACTTGGGGAAAATGAGCTGAGACTTTAGTTGGATCTTCCTGAAAAGAAATACATAGTACAGAAATACATAACCTTTAGAATAATACAGAATGACAGAAATGTGGACTAAGGAGCCTCAGAGACACATAAACAAAAATAAAGATTAATTAAATAGTCATAATAAAAAAATAATAAGTTACTTCCTAATTTTAATCAGTTAATAATAAAAAATTATTAATTGTACTTATTTTCTTCAAGTTAAGTGAACAGAATACAATAAGTTTTATATTCTACAATAAATGGGGTTTCAGAATTATAGTAATCGAACATAATTTTCTGTCATTGATTGCCACAAATATAAATATGAAGAAAAAAAACCTTATATTGACTAAATTATGAACATTTTGAGCGATTTTTTTTTTTTAGGAAACTTTTAATAGATAAAAAATTCAAAGCAGATTGCGTTCATTATAATCATTACTAACATTTTGTCAAAAATGGACTTTTACCACTTTTAAAGAAAACGGCTCCTATAAAATTATCGAAACAATAACACTTCCAGGGATAAATATTTTTTTTTTTTAAACATGCTTCAGACTTAATAACTGTGTATGCATTATAATTTAAAAAGAGTACGTATGGTTTTGATATTTGTTTAATTATTTAGCTCAAATCACGTACAGAAACAAATATGGACCAATGAAAAAACAAATTATATTCATATTTATTTTAGGGAGGAAGGGCTTAGTCTGGTAGTATAATTAGTAACAAATTATTGTTATTTTAATATTATATATAAATGGTTATTTCACTGTGCTAGCATTTTTGTTTCTTATTTTTGATATTTTCCATCTGCCTGTCGGTACCAAGAAAAATAAAATAAATAGTTTGGTTTAGCAATAATGTTAAGTTCGATAAGTATTCGATAAGTGAAATGCCTAAACATAAGATTTATAATACTTAAGAAAGTTGTTAATCTGTAAGGCCTCTTCAAACCTTAGTTATATCCAACATATTTTTATTATTGAAAGTTTTAAAAATTCAGTTAAGATTGTAAAAGTTATGGATGATTTTTGTTTTAAGTCACTTAGCCTAGTAAAAAATGTAATTAAATATGTTTTAATTAATTGAATTTTTCAAAAAACAAAGAGTTTTTTTCTTACTTTCAGTATTATTGTTCAGTCTACCTACTTAAACATAAAAAAAAAACAATTAATCATTTCTGTACATCCTTAAAATATCTAAAATTGGATTTAACCTATTTTAGAACAAAACAATAAACGAGCTGATATAGCAAAACGGTGTTCTGGAAGAGTGAAAAACGCAAAATTAACTTTACAGGAAATTTTTAGATGGATTAAGAAATACTTTATTAGTGAATGGCAGGATAGGTATGGCTGGAAGTCAAGTTTGAAAGGCAAAGATCATTTCACTATCCAATCTAACATCTCTCTACACCCATGGTTCTCCAAGACTTATGTTAAGTTAAACAGAAAACAAATAGTCTTACTTACAAGATTGAGAATTAACCATAGTAGCTAAAATCGCGGCTTAACACTAATTAAAGTTGAAAAAAATGATAAATGTTTGATATGAAACTCCATCACGGATCCATTGCACATTATACTAAAATGCAGCAAATGTGATAAATTCTGGAATAAATATTCCTTCATCTAAAACATTGGCGTTTTTATCCAAGAGTTCGCAGATCTAGATAGGGATACTATTAAGTTGTGTAAATTTATAGAACAATCAAAATATATAAATAAACAATAATAATTTACATCCATACCTTCATTCTTTTATAATATAACACAAGGGCCAGTATAGAACTTCAAGGGAAGCCTAGGGCCAACAAAGAAAAAAAAAGATAATCATAATTGAAAAAGGCTTTGAAATGGATACTTCGTAATACCTTCATGACGTTAGCCTAACTATAAGAAGCATCTATAAATTCAAAGGATAATCTACACATTTATAGAGGCTTGTCTACGTACAATCGCTTAATTGCTTATAGATGTCTAGAAAAATCGCTTGATATAAATGTGCACTTTAGCTACGTAATCTAAATGTATTTAATGAAATAATGCAAATCATACTCAAAATCCTGATCAAAGCATACTCATATAAAGCATATAATTATACATATAATAAAAATAAAATTTAAATAAATAAAACTAACAACATTAGCCAGAATGTCCTGGTAATGGGACTGCCCCGATTTTACATAAAAAATGTGGCATGTATCACTCGTTCTTGGTTCCATCTTATCCAAGACTTCGACATCTTTCAGGAAACCTTCTTTTTTAGAGTCCAAAGCAATAATTGAAGTCTTCCCATTTTCCTATGTAAACAAAAAAATAATAATTATCAATAAATGACTAAACATTTAGATTTTACAGAAACATAATTAAAATCAGACATGGCCAAAACCAAAAAAGAAAACTCATTGATTATCATCACTAAAAAATAATGATAATTAAATGAGCCTTTCAGTTGACAGAATGACTAACTCCAATTTCAACACTTTTGGATAAAGTCGTTTTAGTAAGTTGATTCCAGAGTAGGTGATTAGAATGTTGAAATATAGAACTGTGAATAAAGGTATACATTTTTCCAGCTCTTGCTGGGGGGTTCTTCTCAATTAAAAATATATTATGATAATAGTTAAAATATAGAAAATGTCATGTTTATCAAACCATTAGATACAAAAAAACACAATAGGACTTACCAGTTTAGTGAGAAAACCAAAATGAGACAAAAAGAGCCTGGTGGTCTGAAACTCGTCACAGAGCTTTGGAGGGACACATTCTTCAGGTGGATCGTTGGAGATGTTTATCGCAGCTTCAGCTTCCCCTCTTTCCATTACTAACCGGGACATAATGTCACAGTCTCCATCAAGTTCTGGAATGCTCCTTTCTCTGTATACAATAAAACATTGAAAATAAATAATATACGGTAATAATTTTCATATATTACGGCTATTAAGCATGCATTGGTTGTCTTAGAAGCACCAGTATAAATTTTGATATGATTATAGTATCTGTCAGCTTTTTCATAGAGGGTATAAAGTTTTACCATGTACGGTGATATTGAATTTTTATTATTTATATTTGACAATTTATATTTACTATGGTAAATAATTAAAGATTTGGGATATGTATAATGGGCCAGTGGAAATGCAGATTGTTTTCAGTATCTGTTGTGACTCCGGTCAGCAATTTTTTAAGTTTGACAAAGAAATTTTTCACTCTTGAATAATTTAACCCATAGGAATATGTTTGTTTTTTTTTTTCAAATAAAATTTACTTACTTGATTTTTCCCAGTACTGAATTATTTCTATATAAATGTACTTTAGGTCTTTTTAGTAGAAAGAACGTTCAATCATTGATCAAACTTGTTCTAGGACTAACCCAATACTGGAACAAATTATTTAAGTAAATTTTATTTTTCTTTAAAAAATCGTTATTAAAATGGAAATATATATAATTATATAAATATAAATAATTGGAAATGATAATTAAAAACGTTATTAATTTTAAAGAAATATAAATGATTGGTTCAATATAGAACTAATAACGTATTTTTTATGCAATTCTAGAAGCTGAAGAGATGCACAGAATATCCACAAAACGTCCAAATAAAAATTAAAAAGAAAATACCAACAATTACAGGTCTTTATTCTGTTAAAATAGACATACAATATTTAAAATACACTTCAATATTTAGCAAATTAAAATTAAATATATATTTAACTAATATTTACCAAATTACAATTAAATATATATTTAACTAGAACTTACGCCATGCATTGAGGTATTCTTCCTCTGAAGTCAGGAAAATATGCTCGTGGACCATGTGAAGGAGGTGGTGGAGGATTGATACATACTGGCCTTCCAGGACCTTCTTGATATCTCCCCCTCGTCGTCGATCTAACATTAATCATATTATTATTACCAAACCACTTCATTGACAGTAGTTAATTAAATTTAAAATTCTTCTATAGTTAAAAATCAAAACTACAAGAGAACAAACTATTAAATAAAGGCTGAAATATCAGACCATAATGTAGATCTTCGTGGTTAAAAAAATAAAAATCATATAAATATATATAATGAAGTTATGGTATGAATAGATAAAATTATATAGTGTAAGAAGTAAAATCAATAATAAAATAATGACAAAGAAAGGAAGAGTTTAATTCTGACTGGTCAGAATTTAATATTGAAAATATGTACAGTCTGAAGGTAAGGCAAGTTCCTAAATTCAGCATTAATTCAATCAAAGGAAACCATCAATCGATTAAATCCAGCATTGATGGAAAGCAATTTATAATGAGTTTAAGAATGACCAGCTGGATTCTAGGGCAAAGTTAACACTCCAACAAGTTAAATTCCTTAAAAATAAAAAATATATAAGGAAATATTTGCCTACTGAATTGTTAAGTTTCAAAACAGAAATAAATATAGATAGTAAGTTAATTGAATATAAATGTGTAAAGGAGAATGAGAAATAACAACACTGATGTTATGTTAGATACAGCAATCTAAAAGCCAATGGAACCGCCGAGCTATCAGTGATTCAATCAATGAATAAAGAAACACGCTGAATTTCATTTATGGATACAAGAATGAGTTCAAGAATGGCCTGATGGATTTTCGAAGCCAATCGATGAGCTCAGTGCTGAATTTAGGAATTTCATATAGAAAGTTGGTTATAACAACTTACCATTTTATTATACTCACAAGGTAATTACAGAAAAGCTAGCTGCTTATGACAGTTACTATAAAGATGGCACCGGTTCTTTTAAGACTATTTCAGTCATTTTATAGAATTAAAATTAGTACATAATGGCAGACAAGATGTGAACAATTCCTTTGGTTTTTCATGGAATTTCAACAACATTTATAAATTCAGTTCATAAAAATTAGAAAGAAGAGTGGAATGTTAACCAGTTGGTTCTGTGTTCTGGGTATGAGGAAGTCCAAAATGTCGGGAAGAAAATCCTTAAAGGTCGAAAAAAAAGAAAATATTATTTGGAAGTTGGAAAATGGTGAGTGTAACTCTTCTTAATCAAAAGAGCAAATGTTTAAGAGGAATATGCTCTATTAAACAAAAATTAATTATCGACTAATTTAAACAATGATTTTTCTTTCTTCTTATACATATATACAAAGATTGTTATCTCTGTATTTATATTTTTTTCCTATGCAACATAACAATATATTAATAAAAAAAGATATACAACTAATTAATGAAAACAATTTCTGAACAAAATAAGCCACAGACTTTGGGGGTTTTGTACAAGCTATATAAATTCATAAAATCTCAAACTATGTTGTCAAAAATACAATTCAGTTCGCACCACAGTATAGATACAAATCATATACAACTTCCACTTTTCCATCTCACATTATTCCAATTCAATCATACAATCTATTTCTTTATCCATTTATTTATTTACTAGAAAATACTTTCAATCTATTAGCTTAAACATATACAGCCCAGAAATATTCTACAACTTAGGTAACTTTTTAAAAATAACTATATAAAATTAAGATAACTTTTATTATATTTCCACTTAGTAATACATTTAAAAAAATATAAACTAAATTATAAAACATAAATTTTTCATGAAACCAGGAATAAAATATATCAGACACAGCAGTAAATTTCATTTATGTATATAAAAGTCTTTCACCACATGATTTTATTATTTTGATCATGAAAATTTTTATACTAAAGGCATTAATAAAAATTTTGTTTCATCTAATTAATTACGAATAAAATTAATATAATAAGCTTTTACCGATGCCTAGGAAGTTGTCTAAGTTGAAAAGCCCAAGTATGCCTTCCAAATCCTCCCCTGAGTATTACATTTACAACTGGTTGTGGCTCTGAAATCATAGAAGTATTTTATTAAGGAACCAATAAAGACACAAATTACATAAAAGAATTTTTTTTTTTAATAGTCTTAAAATACCATAAAATTTAAAATATTTTCTGAAGGTTAGGAAAGTAATGACAGAAAATAATGAAAGCATCAATATTCCAAAAGTAATAAGTCAAAACTAAAAAAAAAAACAGAAATTTTAATTAAAGTCATTTAAAATGAAACAGCTGTAGGTTATAGGCTTTATTTGAAAAATAAAGTTAAAAATAAGAAAACAACATTTGACAAGAATAAAGAACAATCACAACCAGGTACATAAGGGTACAATAAGGGTATATCAGTCAAGAGATTTTTTTTTTATAAATTTTCAAGATCTCCAAATTTATTGATCAAGATGGCATAACAACTTCATGCAGAGGAAAACACACAGCTCATTTCTCATCAACTTTCAACATAAATTATTAATTAGGATTAGATAGACACGAAAACACGAATGGTCGACTGTGATATTAATTTAAGGTGATATCTTTTAAAAAACTATTTCCAAAAATAATAAAGTAATTTTTTTTTAAGCAAGGAAACATTCAGAAACAATTAAAGTAAATGCAAAAACATTGACATGAACTTTTAAATAATAGGGTCTCCAAATATATAACGTTAAAATAAAATATAGTCGAAATAAAATAAAACAGAGATGTTCATTAAATAAAATTTGAAAACACGATGGAATAAAAACCATTTGTAAGAAAGAATAGTTCCACTTGATATGATACATAAAAAACTGGATGATAAAAAAAACATAAGTTGAAAAAATATATGATTACCAATGTATCAACAACTCAGAAACACCATAATTAGGTTACTTTTTGGAAATTTTAGAGGAAATGGAAAATGATTTAAATGCTTAAAATTTGATAAACTTGAAAATAACTGTATATGTATTATTACTACGACCTCAACTAATTGTCAGCCTGAGAATGAACTCAGGAGGCACTATATAGAAACTCACATTTTATTTTGTCTCTAAACCTCTGATAAAACTTACAAAATATTTACAAATACACACATATATTGAAATATGATATCATAATCTTCTAATTTATGTATATGTTAATAAATATTTAGCAAGCAGTATCAGCGGATTAAGGAAAAAAACAAAATGTGAGCTTCAACTTATTGCCAAACGGGTTCGGCCTTGGGCTGCCAATTAAACATGGTCAAACTATAGTTTGACAAGCATAAAAAAATGGAGTCTTTCATTATACTGATTTTTATTTTCAATATATGACATCGAAAGAGCCTTTCATCATCAATATATTAAGGCTTGACAAAATATTATGTGAAATATGTTATCAGACTTCATGGCAGTGGCTAAGAGACTTCTAACTTAATCCATACCCAGAAAAGTAAAGATTTGCTTATTTCAAAAAACACTTTACACATATCAAATTCATTCATCATGACAAATTATATACTTATGTTAATCAAATAAAATGAAAATATGTTACCATATATCCTTGTGAACATTTTTTAAAGATATAGAAAATAGATTATTGTTATAATAACATATAAGATGAAGTAGGAATTAGTTTATAAATTAAAAATGCAACCATAAATTTTATTATATTGATGAATTTTAATGAAATGTAATAAAATAAAATTTATGGTAGACCTTTTTGCAGCCATAATATATTTTAAAAAAAGATTTTTTCTCTAATGTTTAAATATTAAGTCATATTGTACAATATATTATACAAATACAAGTTTGAAAACCTGTAAAACTATTTATTTAACCATTCCATTATTTATCTAAGGGTTAGTATCTGGCAGTTAGAACATATCTTGGAATCAAATAGATCTTACCGTCTTTACAGCTTTGGTGTTTTGAACTCATAGTACTACGACCCATCTTCATGGATCCATCTGGAACAGATAAATAAGCAGGGGAAAGAGTAACAACAGACAAGACATATACTGGTAGAATAGGAATGAGGATTTAGGAGTAGATACTTTTTAAGACAAACAAGGGAGGGAAAAAGGACACAAATATGTACAATAATTAAATAAAAGAAGGATATTGAGGATTGAAAATTATACTGAAGAAGAGGATAAACAAAAAACAGTAAATATTTGATAAAAAAAACAACTAAAAAATTAAAAACAAATGGAAATAATATAATCAGATTCTTATTAGCACAGGTATTTACTTAGTATCAATTTATTATTTCTAGTTTTGATTAACATGGTTAATTTTTACTTTAGCTTATCTACACACAAAATATATCCAGGAAACATATCGTGATAGATAAAAATTTTCAATTAAAATACACGTTTTGAAGAACAAATAATAAAGTCTCATAAGACAGTCTGTGTGCGTGTGAATAGCCTCGGTAAAACACATAAGTTGTGCGAAACTGAAATTACTAATTTTAGAGAGTTAAATACCTCGGATGTTATATCAAGTTTTTCATTAAAGTCCACTAACTGGAATTTTTTTTTTCAATTTTCTCACAAATGGATTTAATCAATATAAAATTAAAGGTCTTTAATATCAACTAGGTCTTGTTTATTTGAAATAATTAACCATTCCTCATTGTTAGTAGTGATAATAAATAAATAATTATAAACTATGAAAGAATTTGATAATTAACTAAAGGAATTCACAGCTTGAAAACAAATTACCAGTGATAAAAATAGTAATATAAAAATAAAATAAACAATTGTTAAGGTAAATATGTTAGAAAAATTAAGGTACTCCTTAAATAGCTGGTAGGGAAGAAACATCCTTTGTTATCTAATGTTAGGTCACATAACCTCCCTTCATATCTCGAGTTATTCCATCCTTTATTTTTGTTCCATTAGTGTGATTTTCATCAAATTATGGATGTGTCAAATTATATTACATTGTGGGAATTGCTGTCTTCAGAAGAAGAGGCCATCAAATATTTTCAAGACGACGGGATAATGGTTTTGTTATTATTACATTTGTTTTTGTCTATTTAATATATATAGGAATTTCATATGTCATCAATTTAATATATACATTTTTGTATTATTACATTTGTTTATGTTTTTTTTTACAATTTCAATAATATGAATATAATACAATAAATATGAATACGAAGATAGGAATTATCAGTGTTAAGGTTATAAACATTGGCAGATAGCAGTCGTACCCGACCGGCTATTTAAGGAGTACCACAATTAATACCTAACATAACAAGTCATAAAAGGTAATGGAGAATAACTAAAAGCGCATAAATAAAATGGTTGAGACAGGTGAAAAAATAAATAGTAATAACTTTGCTATAGTTTAATGACTTCAGATCCGATGATTTCTACAACACAAAACTAATTAAAAAGAATTTCCTTAACTAATCTCGCCTTTAACACCAGTGGAATCAATTCTTAAAATCAATCATTGCAAAGACATGATTCTAACGGCTCAGATACAAACCCAATTTTATTTTTCATAATTGATAAAATATTTATATACAATTTATCTACAACATACAATTAAAATTGACCACATCAAATTTAATTAATTTTAAGTAAAGAATTCATATGTTTATTTAATTAAAAGTGCTGTTGCTTTAGCTTTCTATGATTATTAATATAAAAATTTAAAATTAATGACTAGGTCAGTTTTAGTTGCAGGCACTCAATTCTACGTACATCTAAGAAATTTTACTACCCATAAATTTAAAATCAGCAGGTTTATAATTTTATTTTATGTTAAAAGTTAATAAAAAAGAAAATATATACATAATTATCATGCATGTAAAAAAATAAATAAATCAAATTAAACGCTACCTTCATTATTTCCTAACGGATCATCAAGAAGACATAGAAGTATATTGTTATAAAGTATGAAATACTTGAAAGACGTGGCATCAGCATGACTATATTTTAAGAGGACTGATTCATCGACTAGACTAGAAACAGACTCGGGCCCGCACGGTGTCGGGAAGTAACCAGCCTATGAAATAGAAAATCATATTTAATGAGATCTAAATATTTAAAAAATTTAAAACAATGCAAAAAATAAAAATAAATTAGGTATTATATCCATTTTATTTTTGGCAAAATTATTTGCAAAAAGTAATGGAAATTAGGTACTTTCAAAAATTGGAATAATTCTATTTAAAAAATAATTTCATTTACAGCATAATTGGGTACATGCAAGGAAAAAAAATTGCATAAATTTTTAGCAGCAATAGAATTCAAGTGATAAAGAAAGTATATAAGATTGAATATCATACCCAAAGTTAAGCTTTGATTACAAATGGTACAGATACTTGTCATAGGATATTGTGATAAAAAAAAAAAAAAATATATATATATATATAAAATAATGAATAAAGATTTGTTACATGCTCCAGGACGATCGTAAGAAGAGCTTCTGCGGCATCTCTCACCCTCATCGAAACGGGTTTCAGTTCTTTTTCATCTTTCATCCTAATTGGTTCATCTCTTCTCTTACCCTAGTAAAGAAAATAATAAACTAAGGTGATAAAATAATTATGATAATATAAACATATATTCAATGGTTACTTAATATAATAAACCAAGTTCTATTTTAATAAATAAATATATTTACCTGTGACTTTGAACCAGATATGCCGAGCTCTATTACTTCTAAAACGTTATAGAGACAGTTTCTATTTTGAAGAAGTGTTGGCTGTGATAAAATCCAAGCACTGACCGTTGTGAAGGCTGCGACTATCGAGGAGTGCAGGTCCTTGGAATGAGACTGTGGAGGGCGCCAAGCCTGGTAGACTATGTAATCGCAGACCCATTTCATCCCTCTCTCCCATTCAACTCTTTCTAGAAGACAATAATAAAAAAAATTAAATATCATAATGTAAAGAACAACTCTTACCCCTTAATAGGACAGAACTATTTTTACTCAAATTATTAAAAAATTGATGATGAAATAGTTCCACGGACTTCTGTTAAATATTAAAAATAAGTCTGCCATGTATAGATCAGTATATTTTCCTCATACTTCAATTCAAATTTAAAGGTCCATGATTTGTGATTTAAGAATAAAACATACAAGAGAAGCCATTTTTGAAGTATAGTGTAGTAAAAAAAAAAAATTAACTCCTAAGCAAAAGAAGTAGACAGAATTTGGTAAATTCTGTCTTGGACCATCCATATATCAACACTCAAAATCCCTGAAAATCTTTTCAAATTGAATAAACAGCAGTAGATTATTATCCATCAAATGAATTTGACAATAAAAATATACAAAATTTCAAAACTTTCTAGCTTGGTTTGATTTGAAGAAAAGCGAGTTTTTTTTTTTTTTATTTATTACTAAAATTTATCAATTCCATCTTCATTTCTTAACATGATAGTAATTTAACTTTTATGTCAAAATGCAGTCAGAGACAAAATGAGCGAAAATTATAGTTACAAAGTGGTAATGAACTTATTACTTTTAAAAATAGAAAAAATACACTTAATCTTACAGCAGAGTCAGAAGCAGCAATAATTTCATTTTAGCCAAAAATGTTAGTTAGTTACAATCCTATCAAAAATAAGTAACAAACTTATAACCTCATAAAAGTATAGTAGAGACTTAACTTATCTTTCCGTATATAAACTACCTACAACATTCCATGATCATTATATTCTTAACACTTATTTACATTAATTTTAATTGTTAAATGAAATTTTATTGATTCAGTTTAGACAAAATCACACCTTGTATCTCTTTCGGAGGTATTGGGCAACTAAAGGCCTTTTTTTCTTTTAAAAAATAAATTTATAGCCAAAATACTTGGCATTATAAGAGGAGGATAATGTTTTAAAATATTCCTTGTTTTCTGATTAACTATCGGTAATTGGTAATACAAACACCAACACATTCAGGCTTAGCTCATCAGCGAGATTAAAATTATATTCAAACCTAAGAGAAATACTATAAATGTAAACATATTAAAGGAAAACTTCACTCGGAGTGTTATAACCAGTAAATTGGATCATATCAACAAACAAAATTTCATTAGAATACAACCAATTGGAACCAGTACTGGGATAATAGATCATTATAAACTGTCATTATAAGGAAATTTTTCTACAAGCATTGGAAACAATAAAAGTAAATGGAGCAAAAAAAATATATATATTAATCTCATTAGTTTAATGTTAAGTATAGCATTTTGTATGCCATATGTACTTTCTTCCAATCTTAATTTCAGTTTTTAGACAATGACAATATGAAGGCAGAAGAGAAACCATTTTATATTTAGCACATACACTTTTAGAAATGTTATTGCATTACCTATTCCTTTTATTCCAGTGTTAGCGAGGCCACACAGAAGCTCCAAAGCAGCTAGCGAAATACTCAGATCACTCTTCCAAGAAGAAATTAGACGATGGCAAACAAGATACGTTGCTCTTATAAATAAACTATTTGCTGTATCTGTTCAACAAAGGAAAAAAAAAGTATAATTCAGAAAATAATTTTAATTTCAAATACTAAAATTTAAATTTAATACTCATCTAAATGTTTTATTTTACTAACATTATTAATCAAGAGGAGGAAGGTAAGAAAAATTAATAAAGATAACAAAACAATCAAGCTAATTTTTTAAGAGTAATTGACTTATTAGACAGCGACAAACCTGCAGCATGAGTTGATGCTGCCATTGGATACTGAAATACGTCTTCGTTCTGAATCTTTTCGACAGCTGCTGTATCTTGTACCATTACCAACAGTCCACCTAAAAAAAAAAAAAATTTAAATTAATAATATAGAAAAAACAAAGGAAACTTCAAAAATATATAATCATAAAATATGTACTTATAAATTCGAAGATGGTATAAATAACAAATTAAAGATAAAAAACTTTAAATGACAGGGAAAATTTGAGTAATTTACCTAAAAGTAAATGAGTATTATGAGGATCTGTTTCTACTTGAAGAGCGTTAATAAGTAGATTCATAATCCTTGATTTCAGTTGCCCAAATGTAATTTGCGGACGATCTGTTCCACCACTGATGAGCTCTTTGATAACAAGATTCTTAAAACATAACAAAATGAATATTATCATAAAAATAATTGAAAAATAATAACAAATAAATTAATTGAATCTATATTTACTGAGAAATGAAGTGGCAATGCGAGCATTGACAGAAGGAGATGAATAGATGCTCTTCTAAGTTCAGTCATTGAAACTGAAGTGGATCTATATGGCAAAAAGATTCAAAATAAATAAAAAATAAAATATTTAAAACTTAATTCAAATGAAATTGATAAATCATAAACTCTTAAAAGAATTAATGAAATTTAAAAAAAAAATAATATTATACAAATTGTATTTTATTTTAAGAATCCAGAGGTGATACTAACTAATTATTTGAATGGAATGAACTTTTTAATAAAAAAAAACAACAAAATTTACAATTTTCATTCAAATATAAAATAACTGGTATTTAATTAAAAATAATTGTGTACTTAGTAATAAATTTAATCGCCAAATACTAAATAAAATTTGCAAACAGTAATGTTTATTGCACATTAAAATACATGAGAGAGAACCTAACTTAAACAGTGTCACATATTTACATTGAGCTTTTAATAAAGTTGGCTGATGTACATACAATTTAAAATCCATAAACAATAAAATTGCAACAAATCATTTTTAAAAAGTTTAAAACTGGCTCAATCGATGAATTAATATAATTCAGCAGTATAGATCCGTTTTTCAGCTCTAACAAACAATGGATTTTGGCAAACAAAGTATGAAAAACTTAGATAAAAGTGATTTAAAAATGTAATGTGAAATCAATAATTCTGGTGGAAAGATGGCATATCGAGGCGAGGCGTCAGAGTTTAAAGATTTCAAAGTTGAGATCCCTTGGGGAATTTGGATAATATAGAAACACTTTAATACACATATTTTGAAGACATATTATATTTTTCTTGGTTATTAATATTACATGTGACGAAGTCATTTTTAATATATTCTACTCTTAATAATAAAGAGAGCTACAAACAAATGATCTTGCTTTTCTGCATTAATCCAATAGATCTCATCATGTACTATACTTTGTTAGTACAACTTCAAAAAATAAGATAGGGATATTACTAAAAAATTAATTAATTTAAATATGAAGGTGGGAATAATTAATTAAGTTAATTGAATTAATTAAAAATAAGTTGAAATATAAGTGTTGATTTTTAAGAATGAGTTAATTCCTACTTTAGAACAAGGTCTTGGTCAGGAAGTACTCTCTCCAATGCTTCCAAAATATGTGGAACCATGATCTGTATGCCATCTAAATCTAGCCTCAGCAAGTCAAAGCAGTTGAGCAATATACTGGCCAGAGGTTCCTCCACTTCTCTTCTCTGTAATAACAATGGATTAAGTTTATTTACTATAAAATAAATTAAAGAGTCTTAAAACTACAGGAAACAGAAAACAAAATGTGAGTCTATTTTGTTAGAGGAGTTCAAGGCTGAAAAATTATACAATTAATTTTTTTTTTATTATTAATAGCTAACATTTTTTAAAAATTCAAAATAAGATTGACGAATTAACATAATGCTAAGTATCAAATTCATTTAAATGCTTCAGTTACCTCGTTCATCTTAAGGCCATGCAGCAAAACAAGATAAAATCGCGCATAGTAGACAGGAAGTATTTCTTCTCCAGTTTTCTTCGAACAAAATATCCTACATAGAGTAGCTAAAGCCATCGCTCTTCCAGCTTGGTATCTGCTATTGTCTTCAGGAGGTTCTGGAGGGTTGCTACCAACAGATCCACTCCTCCGACCAACTCCTTCCCCTGAAAATAAACAAAACTTTAAATATATATTTTAAGACAAATTAAAAGTAATAATTTTTCAAAGAGTGGATAGATTTTCATGTTATTTATTAACACCTTGTTATTATCATTATTTCATACTATTATTATCATTATATCATACTGTAGAAATACAGTATAAATCCTTTATATCAAACTTCTACCCATAAAAATTCTTCTAATTCATATTCTGTAAATTAAATTAAATTTATATCTCTATTATAAAATTAATAGAATAGTTTTTATTTAGTCAAAAAGTTTTTATTGACAGTGTCATATTTTATTTTACATATACACAGCCGGGAGAGACCGTAACAAATACAGCACACTTCTTATTCCCAGAATTATTTCTCTCTTATTACGATTAGAAATTGGCAATAAGGCACGATGTATAACATAGATTTTTAAAGAAATTAAGAAGTTGTCCAAACCGTAGTTTCATTCTGTTTATTTGGTTATACAATTTGAGCAACAAGTAGTACAATTAAATGAACAGCTGTATAATTTGTAAAATGGGGATTGGTCTGCCGTTAGGCAAACAGGGAGTCCCCCCGATAGTGTATATAAATCAAAAAGTCACATTTAAAAAATTTATAAAATATAATTGTCATTATAAAAACAACCTTAGTTTATGTCCATAAGAATAGTTAACTATTAACTTATGTTTCATTTTTTCAACACAACTTCTAAAATTATTAAGCGCAAAAGAAAAGTTTATAGTTAAAAAAAAGAAATAAAAAATACAGATGTGATATAAAAAAATATGAAGTCACTATAAATACGATAGGTACTAACACTTTAAACATTGAAATTTTTTTGGAGGAAATCATGAATCATAAACAATTTAAACCTTAAAGTTTGATAAAATTGATAAGCGGTATTGAAATGGAATACATGAAATATTCTCAAAAATTGCCTTTTATTTCTAAAAAAATAATTGTAATTGTGAATTGAATTTTTTCGAGGAACCCTCATGCTCAATCAATAGATGTTTGACTGTATATCTATAAATGTTTCTATATTTTTTATGCTAATCTTCCCAACAATCTTCTCTTTAATAGTTACTCCATTCTACTATTTAATATATAGTAAAAATATAAATGCATATAAAATAGAATTAAAATCAACTTACACAAATGTACAGACCAAGGGATAGCTAAACATAAAAAACAAAAAAAAACCTAATTAAATATTGTTCTTAAATTAATATTCTCAAATCGTTAAAAAAAAATCTTAATTGCCACTGAAGCAAAATTGAGAAAATGATCTCTTACATATTATAAAAATTTTAATTCCATTAACCTGCATATCCAAGTAATTGGAAATATTTGTTTGTTTTTTTCCTAAATATTAATTTGTACAAATAAGTATGATTATGAATACAAATAGCAAATACTCCCCACTAATCGAAATTTGCTTTTTCTTATTTATTAAAATGAAACTCAAAATTTAAATTTAAAAAAGTAACTCGAGATAAATTTTATTTCCCTTCAACTTAAGACCAGTAACATTTTGAATGTTGCAAGTTTTGACTAGACTCAGGAAATTTATGAATTTCTGCCTGACCATTGGAGAAATAAATTATCAAGGTAATTAACAGAAAAGTTTATCAATGTTAGACAAAAGCAACTAAATTATAATTTCAAAAAGAATTAAATATAAACCACTAACATAGTTTTGAAATAATTATTTTGGAGGTGATAAATAAATAAATTAAAAAAAACAAAAAAAACCGGTAACATTGCAACCCCAAAAGGATCTTGGGTTCAGCACTGCGTAAGAAAGTATTATTTCTAGGCCAATGGTTGTGCAAGCGGCTATTTAACCAAATCACGCTCAACTGTAAGGATTTTCTCCTTAATTAAGAGTACCCACTGTAAAGAGGGTGGGTGTGCTCCAGAAAAATCTCTTGAACCCAGGGTGGATCCACAGTTAATACAACAGAATAAATAATAACCAACCACAGTTGGATTCAAATCCAGGAACAAGAAATATCCTAGTGTCTTACTGAATACAAATATGATTTATTATATTTTATCTTATTTCAATGTTTCATTTTAATTTCAATGATTGTTATAATTTATTTAACATTACACTTTAATTTCAATTATTCACTTTAAGATTAATTTTTCTTTTGTTTTTGTTACTGTCTTTCATATACAGTATGAATGTGTCAAACCTAGCTTCAGTACTTACTGCCCTTAAAAGTAACAGAAATTATTATATCTCAATAAAAAATTAAGTATTAATACTTCGGTAGCTTACGTGATAAGTTAGGGTTGGCGTAAAGGGCAGTTCCTGCTTGAGCCGCTTCGAACAGCCACTCGCCGAAGAGGTGGAGGAGGCTGTTACACCTTGGCCTTCCAGGAGCAAGAGGTTGGGAGACTGTAGAAACTTCCCAAGACCCACTTACGGATGCTGCAAGTGGCGTATATAAATAATTATAAATTATATTAAAAGCATCTCTCTGTCCAACAAAAGCTAACAATGAAATAATTTTGCAATATTTGTTATTTCAAAAACACATTGTATGTTTTTTAATGTTACTAAGCACTGAAATTAGAGTTTTAATATTATTATATGGCTAGACTAAATTTTCTTTTTACACAAGAATCCAGAAAAGTAATGTGGTAGTCGACGTGTTAATGAAATAATGCATCTTAAAAATACAAAATGTCACAATAATATAACTAAGAGGCATAATTTTCAAAACTTCTTCCAAATGGAATAGTAAACAATTTATGTTCAACAGAAAAATAAACTTAAATTAATAATTTAACCTACATGCTTAGGTCAATATGTTGGCAACCATTATTATTATTATTATATCCTACAATTCCTTAGGTGGGACATAGGACCGCTACGAAGTTCTGCCAGGCATCTCGATCTTTGGACAGCTCCTTAAATTATGACAAAGTCTGTCAGGCGCTGTGCATTTCCATCTCTAGAGTCCTCCACCACATTTTTATAGGCCATCTGCGTCTTCACTGGCCTTGGGAGTTCCATTCCAGACTCTGTAGTATTACATCGCTGTGCTGCTTTTTAAGCATGTGCCCAAGCCATCTCCATTTGCGGCTTTTAACGATCTGTCGGGACTTGGTTAGATCGCGACCAGAGCTCGGCATTAGAAATTGTTTCAGGCCACCATACTCACAATATATTCCGCAGACATCTATTGAAGAATGTCTATAACCTCTTGATTACCTGCTTGATAACTTTCCAAGTCTCGCAACCATACAGCAGTACCAACATGATATTTGTTTTGAAGATGCGAAGTTGGGCCCCCCTCCTGATTTCTTGGGATTTCTAAACTGGCCAAAGCTGCGAGAATGCTTTTTGAGCTTTCCTTATACAACTCCCAACATTATCATCAGCTCGTCCATCCTGGTTCACCATACTCCCAAGGAAGCAGAATTTAGTAATCCTTACTATTGTTTGATCTTCTATAATAAGATTTTCTTGACTCTTACTATTGGCAACCATGACAAAACAAAATTAGACGAATTACCATCCTACCTACTGAAAGATTTAATCTTTTATCCTTTGACATAAATGAATAAGAACTTACTCATGGGAGTAGTACTTGTAGAAGAGGAACTTGAGGAAGTACTCATTGCCCTTCCACTTAGGCCAATGAGAGCACTTTTCGATGAACCAGCCGCTAAAAAAGAAAATAAAGAAGTTCAATAGCACATTAATATTTGTAAATTAAAACACTGTAGACCATAATTTTTTAATATACATTATTTATTTTTATGTATTTTTTTAAAGAATAATATTACATTCTGCCATTAAGAACATTAGTAAATAGTGGTGCAGGAGTTCATTCACACCGTATGTACAATAAATAAAAATAAATCAAACAGAAGAACAACAAAACAATAATACTAAAAATATATATTATTATGATTTTTATTTTGACATTTTATAAAGTGTTTCGAGGTTTTATTTAAAAGTGCTACCACAAAGGCACACAAAAAGGTTAGCTACAAGAGGAAGTAGCGAGGACACTCTTCACTTGTAAGCGGTCCACCAGCCTAAATGATATCTCTTGTAGGGTTTTTGCTGTTTTATATTAATACTATTAATATTTTTTAACATTTTAAATAAAAAGTACCTTTTTGTGCAACAGATGAAACACTAAAACTTTTAGCTGGCCTCCGATGGGGAGGAGGTGTAGGAGTTTCTTTTTTAATATCTTCTTCAATGTTCGGCAATACTAAAGGCTCACTCATAATACCTACACATACAAAACTATATTTATAATAAAGATGACAAGAATAATTGATTGGTAGTTAATTGAAATAATAATAAACAAAAGAAATATAAAGATTATCAGGAGTCAATTTCAATTTTTTTTTTTTATACATTAAAAAGACTCTTGCAATCACCTATCATTTAATAGATAATTCCATAAAGATTAGAAAAACATAATAGATCTTAAACTCAATTAAAAAAAAATTATTTAGGAAACTATAATGGAAAAAAAAAAATAGTTTCTTACCCAGAAAGGCATCAACCAACATTGATATACCCTTTATCGCAATCAAGAAATTAGTAGGAAGTGCATTTAGACAAGGATGAGAAGATGGATCTGCATCAGAGACCATTGCATACTGAAGAAATTTTGGAGTCTGGGAAATCACTTGTGGCCGAGTGAGATCTACAGGTGATCCGAGCGTATGTAAAAATCGAAACCAAGCTTGTGCAACTGCATCGTTACTCAGTTCACTAGGTACTTGATACTCTAATTCGCCTGAAAAGTCAAAGTAAAGCTTTTTGAACCAAATATCAATTTTGTTTGACACCACTATCAGCAATACAAAAGTACAATATCATCAATTTTTTTTTCTTCATAAATTTACACATCAAGGAATAATTTTTATAACAGATTGTATTCATAATAATAAACTTATAAGGTCTAACCTGATTGATGTTTTGGAAAGTCAGAAGGACACATAAAAGCTATTATTCTATGCGTCAAAGCTAGATTAAGGCGTGACCACTGTACAATGAGTGCTGTCCGATGTCTCCAAGATACAGCCATTTCACGCAAAGTTCTCCATAATGGAGGAGATGGAAAACACTTAGCACAAGCAAGAAGCCAAACTTCAAAAAGTACGCTTAGCACTCGTTCACATAACTGGTCTCCAACATCATCTAAAATCCACAATAAATCTGATTACTACAAATAATAACATACCTTGTAGGAGAGATATTAATAATTTTAGGGTATATACCTTTAATTGTCGGTGTTGCTAATAGTGTTTCATTAATAGCGAGCATAAAAATCAGAAGGGCTTCCCATGTTTCATGTGTCATAATTGTAGAGGTTTGAGAAACAAGCTGTAGTGTTCTTAGTACACGATGGCATAGAACAGCTTGTCTACGTATTGTATCAGCTCCTATAAAAGAATAAAATTTAATTCTAAGCCATATCTAGATATATTAACTAATATAATTGCAGTTTTTACAAAAAGTGCAGTTTTACAAACCCAAGTCCGAATACAGGAAAGGCCAGACTTGAAATAGAGAAAATTAGATGAAAATGAAAAAATTAATTTAGAAAGAATTAATAGATAAAAGTTATAATGAAAAATAGAACATGTTATTAAATATGTACCTTCTCCTTTTCTTGGTATGAAAAGATTGTGAAGATGGGCAATCATCTTTCGCGAGTAAAGATTGGGATCGTCCAATAGTGGTTTCGGCACACTAACATTCGGTATAGGATGTAAAACACTAAGCCAATCACAATAAATGTGAACACAATCACGTATGACATCATGTTCAACCAGAGGAAGGCTTAGACCATAGCAAATAACCTAGCAAAAGTACAAACATTAAATCTCAAATTTATTACTGATTTATATTTATGATAATAATCATGATACAATCACCTCCATACACCACAAAACATCTCTGTCTGTTGCAAGTGGACTAGGCCCTGGAGCTTGAGTGATACCGATATTCGATATCAGCTGTTTGACAACAGATAAGGCAACTTCTTTACCTGTTTCTGTTGGGAATTTGGATAAAACACTCTCTCTATCACTTGATTCGTTTCTGACAACATTGGTCAGAGAAGCCCATTCAGAGTACATTCCACCTCCGTCACACTCCTCATAAATAGAATATAATTGTATTAAAAATGTAGACCAAAAATTGATTACATACAAATATAAATTTACCTTCAGGTTGACTCTGTTAAATATACCCAAATTCATAAGGAATGAGGTCAGTCATTAATTGCGTTAAAATAACTAACTTAAATAAGCATAAATAAATGAATTAAAAGGCTCATAAGCCCATCTGGGATCAGAGGGCTTAGCCGCCAACATCAAATCCACTTTGATTCTTACATAAAAACATACCCTTTCGAGAAGGAAACAATGTACTCGTTATCGATTACGTCTATAGAGGGCAGTAAAGAGTGTTTAGATAAAGGAGGCACAAGCATCACTGGAAGGTTCTGTTGAGTTGAGTCGAGTCGGCTTGGTGTTGTTTACTGAATTACGTTTGTTGTTTTTTCTATTAAGTAACAGTTAATTTTTCCAAAATGTCTATCCGAACTTATGGTGATAAGCCGATCAGTTTCCAAGTTGAAGAAAATGGAGAATATTACTGCATTGGATCTGAAGTCGGTAATTATTTGCGAATGTTTCGAGGATCCTTATATAAAAGGTATCCTGGAATGTACCGAAGAACTCTTGGAAATGAAGAAAGGAAAAGGCTTATAGAACTTGGACTAAGCTCTCATTGTTTAGCCTCCAGTATATCTTTACTAAGAGCTTCAGAAGTCGAAGATATCATTGAGGGAAATGATGAAAAATACAAAGCTGTTTCAGTTCATTCTTCTGAAACTCCTATTACGAGTTCTTCTAAACCCAAAAAAGCTATGCCTTGGGTACCTTCGCTTCCAAATAGTTCACATTTAGATGCTGTACCACAGGCAACACCAATTAACAGAAATAGAGTTGTTAGTAAAAAAGTTAGAAGCTTTCCTCTTTGCTTTGATGACACTGATCCATCATCTATAATGGAAAATGCTTCACAAATGGAAGTACTTGTACCAATACGTCTTGATATGGAAATAGAGGGACAGAAACTTCGTGATACATTTACTTGGAATAAAAATGAAAGTTTGATAACACCAGAGCAGTTTGCAGAAATACTTTGTGATGACCTAGATTTGAATCCTCTCAGTTTCGTCCCTGCTATAGCCCAAGCTATTCGTCAGCAAATTGAAGGTTTTCCTACTGACAATATTTTAGAAGATCAGACTGATCAAAGAGTTATAGTTAAACTGAATATACATGTTGGTAATACCTCTCTCGTTGATCAAATCGAATGGGACATGAGTGAAAAAGAGAATAGTCCTGAACAGTTTGCTATGAAATTGTGTGCGGAACTTGGATTAGGAGGCGAATTTGTTACAGCTATTGCTTATTCTATTCGAGGACAGCTTAGTTGGCATCAGAAAACGTACGCTTTTAGTGAATCTCCTCTTCAAACTGTTGAAGTGCCTTTCCGACCGCAGTCAGAAGCAGATCAGTGGTGCCCGTTCCTGGAAACCTTGACTGACGCAGAGATGGAGAAGAAGATAAGAGATCAGGACAGAAATACAAGAAGAATGAGGCGATTGGCCAACACTACTCCTGGGTGGTAACAAGATAATCAGTTATTTATATGTGTTATGTGAGCTTAATGTGGTGATATAGTAGCTACTGAGAATTTATTCTTAATTCTAATTGTATAAGTAAATCCAATAATTAATTGGGGATTGACTTTAAACCTTTAATAACTTTTTTAAAAATTAAACTATCATTGTTGCTTATTTCTTGGTAAGTTACTGGCTCACGTGAGCTTCGCACGGATTAAGCATGGTTCATAATCATTTACTTCAGTCACTTGTTCATGGAATATCAGAAGTATCCAGGTTTTTCCGAAAAAGTATGGAGGCAATTGATCTCATAATCTAGCGACAAATAACTTTTCCACGATTTATATAGTTTTATATCTTAACCATGTAGTTTTATAGTGTTAACTGACTAATAGTTAACTAATTACCAAGCTAATTCATTCAATGAAATAAAATTTATGTTCCATCATGTGTCCATCGAGCTTATGCATGTATTATACAGCTCTGGGGGGAGGGGGGCACGGTAATAGATAAAATACTTTAATTATTAAATCACTGAATGCTGTTTCTTGATATATATATATTTTTTTTATTAATGATAATATCCATTATTCGTTACTATGGCATTTTTAGATAATCTTCGTCTTCTGTAATCTCAAAAATGCTTATTCCTTCCTTGGAAATAGAGATCCAAATAAACACAATTTTTGTTTTTTATGAATGACTACATTCTCTGCCCCTATTTTATGATTATTAAGCAAAATAACAATAATTACCAAGCTAATTCATTCAATATAAACAATAGTATTTTATATTTTAATAGTAGATTAAAATGACAAATAAAATATAAGTCAGTGATTTTTATCTTAACCCTTGATGCACTCATTCATCTTAAAGTCAAACTTAAAAAGTTTAGAATGAATTGTGTTGTTAACAGAAACGTGAACCTAATCATGATAACGTAATCAAGTAAAGTATGATATAATGGCATTATTTATTGATAAGAAAGTGGGTCGACTTAGAAAATTTCATGGTAGGGATACATGGATTTTTCAAACATGCATGAACAGGGAATGGGTTGTGAGGGCAAGAACAGGCAGCAAGATTCGACTGTTTTCAGCATTACATGAACAAATGTGACTGAAGCGATTGTGAACAACACCTAATCCTAGTGGAGCTCACATGAACTTGGTCGTACCCTTAGGAGTTTACATTTGATCAGTTTTTACCATTCCTTCTTCAGTTCAAACTTACTGAATGAATTATATTATTAATATTTAAATAAAACATCGGTTGCCAAAGATACTAAATATTATCCGTATGCTTTTCTTTTGAAGTAATCTATTTTCTCAAGTAGTATTATATTCAGCATTAAGTAAGGGCAAATTCCTAAACTCAGTGCTAAGCACATCGATGACATGGTGGATGAAGGCTATGCTTTTGATGAGCTCAGAGCTGAGCATAGGAACTTGACGTAATTATATAACACTTAAAACATTGTAAAACAGCCTGTTGTATATTGTTTAACAATGCATGTGTATACTATGAAGGCCTTGTATTGTAAAATATATTTTTATGTATTTTAAAATTTTACGAAAACTCCGTCCAATAATCCAGTGTTTTAAAAATAAACTTATATGTTACGTTAACATACTTGTTATAAACGGGTATAATATTATCGTAATTAAAATTATTTTAAATTTTAATATTAAACATTTTAAAAAATTTTGATTGCATATTTAATTTTTCACAAGTTATAATTCATAAATTATTATATTAAAATATTGTTTTCTGGAGTAAAATAATTTATTCTGGTCATGTTCTGGATATTGATTTTAATCTGTTTCTTTGGTTTTTTATATTATGAAAAAAATGTGGTGCATGATTCCACAGCCTTCTGATCTCAGCCTTAATCAATTGCTGTTTTGGATGCAAATTATTTTGAATAACCCTTAGCATGTTTTACGTCTAGTCAAGAATTAACATTGTTTCGTATTTATTTATTATTACCTTCTGTGTTATGTCTTAGTTATACTTGCATGGGTCTTACGGCATCCATTTAAAATTTTCTTTTAGCTGTGATTAAATACAACTGAGTTTCAGTTAATTATATTCTAGGATTTTCTGTAAAATATCTCCTTTAATACAGGGTGGCAAAAAAATAATGATAAATTTTGAAATAAAGAAAACTTCTAAGATTGTTAGATTTTTTTAATATTCAATTTGATATACAGTCATGGTCATGGAAATTGTATCGCCTCGTAAATATTTTATTTTATTTACCATTGCTATCTACAAGATCTCCAGATATTTCTTTGCCATTACATATTGCATTAAGTGGTCAAATTGTTCGTTTGTTTTTTTTTCTCATCCCAGTTCCTTTCTTCCGCTCCATGGTGCTTTTTTTTCAAAACTATTACTACTGTTGATTGGTAGTACCCTATCCTTGTTACTACATGAAATTTCCTTCCATGTGACATCAAAATTTTAATATGTTCTGACGAGAACAGTTTTTTTATATTGGCCATAATTACAGCTTTTATCCTGACATCAGTTAAAACTGAACTGAAAAACGTTAAAGTTTTCTTGTAACCTAAATAAGTAAAGAAAAACAAAATCATTCAATGAAATCAATGTTATCATCATAATAATCACAACTAATAGGTTATGCAATTTCTATGACTGCAACTGTACGTATATGAATTCTGTAGCTTACCTAATTTAGTTTAAAATAAATAAATAATAAATACAAAATAATTAACATTCTTTTTAGAAAAATCACTTTATATAATCATAACAAAAATTCACTCTTCAAAGCTTTTCATAGTTTTAAAAATATTTTATTTTCCTATAACTGCTATTATTGTACATATGGCAATATAGCAAAAAACTTGTTCAATGTTCCATAGCATCATTACTCGGCATACTGGGTCCTATGACTATCGGACATTTGATAACAGTTACTGACCTCTCTTCACTACTGACTGCCCATTTGAGAAGTGATTTTTTGTAAAAGAATTATATCGCTGCAATAATGTAAACAGCAGAATTCAGATATCTAAAATTTAATAAAATTATCTTAAAAAGATGTTTTATTTATTTCAAAAGTAACCATTCTTTTACATTATGCTGTTCAAATATAATAGTCCTTGATGCAGATCCCCTTTTTTTCAAATAATTAACATCCACCTAAAACTTCATAGCTTCATCTCATCATAAGCTGCAATTGTTTATTTAAAAAAACTCAGAATTGGGACATTTCAATAATGGAAAAAAATTGGGCCATTCAACCTGACCTCTCCTCCTCCCTCCCACCTCCAACATGTCAAATAACGAGGTTATATAGGCCAAATGGCCCAATATTTTTGTAAGCCACTTATATTTCATTGAAATTTGACTCAATTTTCATGAATTTTTCATTTTTGCCTCCCCAACTTGTTTCCATTTCTTGTTTTTAATAGGATCTGAATTCCCTATCAAATTCGTAAAACCAATACTCATGGGAGATGGTAAATTGTAATTTTTCAAATTTAATAAGACCTTCCATTTGTTTTGAAGATCAACTTGGTAAAATTTTATCAAAGACAGTATAGAACTGAAGATTACTATTGAATAAGTAAAATACCGACACTAATCTTTATAATTATATAAATAAAAATAGATTTTCTTTATGTAATGTCCTAGTATATGCATAGTTATAAAGTATGTAATACTTTTGTTCAGCATGTAATTTTATTTATTTAATTAATTTTGAATTTGTGCTTTTCTTTCTTTGCAAGGAAGTGAGCCGGTAATCATAACAGGTAAAAGAGAACTTATCATATAAGGAAGTTAAAATCAAAAGAATCCTATCTTATAATTGATTTATTTATATATTTAGTAGTTCGCTCATTTATTATTTCTTTTATATGAAATAATAATTATTCTATTCAAACAATACTATTGAAATATTCACCATTTTGGTTTAAATATAGCAAAAAAAATTGTTTTGAACATTATATGAGTCATGTACACTTGAATTATATTTGCAAAATAAAACTTAATTTATTTTCTATATTTTATAACTAATCCTGCATAATTCTTTTTATGTATATATTGTTAGAATCAATTAAACAATTATGATTAAATCTTAGTGGTAATTATAAGGTTTTAGCTGTTCCTATGGATATAAATATCGAGAAAAAAATTTTTAATTTATTGGGTTCCGATATTCGTCATCTTTGAAAAGGGTAGGGATGTTAATGCTGCATTGAAGTCTTAGGTTTATAATAACTTTATAAACAACAATTAAATATGCAAAGTACCTGTCAAAAGTTTAGACTCACTTGTATTTCATTCAAAATCTTCAAGATTAATAAAATAATTCTAACTCAAGAGATAACATATTCGACATAAACATCAACAAAAATCCTACTAATCCTCTTCCAACTTAAAACTGTTTACTTTTTCTTCAGGGTCTCTTTATTTTATGATTGATGAGGTCAACTAATAATAGTTTGCCTATAACAATTCTATTAGTTTGCACTATATTTACCATTTATTTTCTGAGATTCATTCTAAGGTAAATTCATATACATCACACATTAAAAAAATTGATTTTGATCTTTTAATTTATAATAGCTGGTAAATATTAAGAAGAAAAAAACTTGAATGATTTTTTACAGGGTTTATTATAGAAATAGGGGTCGAAAAGCAGAAGTGAGTCTTGAAACACGGGTCATTGTTATTGTATTACATAGGGAAGGCAATTCAACCAGAGGAATTGCGTCTAAGACTAAAGTTTCTCAAAAAAAAATTGAGACGGACAGGTTGCTCACAATGCACTCTGACACTCAAGCTCGAGAATTTCTTACAAGGCTGTATAATGTAAAAATAGACAGCTCAGGAAAACACAAACCCATTAGTGGGATTAATTGTTATACTGATGGGTCACTTATGACATTCGGATCTATTGCTGGTTACTGGAAAAAGGATAAACCAGAGGCTGGCATGTCAATTCCACTTGGAAATTATGCCATAGTGTTCTAATCTGAAATACTGGCGATAACTCACTGTGCCTCAAAAATGCTGCTTGACGGGTTAGTTGGAAGGAGAATTTCAATATATACTGACAGTCAAGCGGCTGTACGAGCACTGGACAACTATACAACTAGATCTAAGGCTGTTGGGGATTGTATCAGAATTCTCATTGACTTATCCAGATTTAATTAGGTAAACATTGAATGGGTTCCGGATTACTCTGGAATACATGGTTATGAGATGGTGGATGAGCTAGCTAGACTAGGCTCATAAATGATTCCTATAGCTCCTGAATCCATCTGTGGAATTAGTCAGTGTCTAATAACAAACAGAATTGGGGAGATCTATGGTGCTGAAGCTAAAAAGGACTGGTGTTTTAAAAAACAGACTCACTCTTGACTGTTTCTGGAAGGAATCTGTCAAAAAAGAAGTAACCTACAAATTAATCTGAGCAAGAGCTCACTTAAGAAAATTTCAGTGGTATATATTGGTCACTGTAAAGTGAATTATCACATATTCAATCTCCGGCTCACGGGGTCATCTCTGTAGGTTCTGTGGCCAGGAGGATGAAACAGCTTATCACTTTACTTATTGGTGCGACAGGTTCGCTGAATTAAGATTTCGATTATTCGGCATTGACAGGGTGACTGATCCCAAGGCAAACAGGTTCATCAATCCAACAACCTTATTACAGTTCATTGAGACTGCAAGAGTAATGCTCTAAACAGGATTGACTTTAATGGAGCTGTACATGGCCGCAGTGCACTCATACATCTTTTAAAAAAAAAATTTCTCAGACTATTATGATAAGAACGTTGAAGAGGTATAAAGAAACTAGGCAAAATAAGAGCTGCCGACTTTACGTAATTAATTACGGTACTTTACGATCTGAGAGACCTACAGTATCATCAAACATGAGTACAAGTTCATCTGCGTTCTTAGTAAGCGCCAGAAGTTTGCGAAGAAGTGAATGCGTTAGACAGAAGCTTGTGTCCATCAGTACTGTGCAACGATTTCCTCATTACGGTATAAAATGTAGCTGCTATAAAACTCCAATTAAGAAAAAAATACCGATAAACTATTAGAATAAGCCAAAGACATAGAAATTGGTCTGTAGAATAGTGATCGGAAGTGTTGTTCACTGACGAGTCAAAATTTGATCTTTTTGGAAGTAAACAAAAGCAAAATGTCCGTCATATTGTTGGTGAATGTGTGATAAATCAATGTATAATACTAGCTGTAAAAAAAGGTGAATTATCTATCACTTAAGGTTTGGGGGTTGTTTTGCTGGCTATAAATATGGAGATCTCTTCTGAGCGAGTGCATTATTGAAAAAAAAAAACAATACATACCTAAATACATGGTGATCTCAACTCCACTGAACTGTTGTGGGATGAGCTCGAGAGATACGCTCGGAAGATCAAATGTACCAATAAAAACAAAATTTCTCAACTAGAACATTGCAAAAATTAATAGAAAGAATGCCAAAAATATGCAATGCTCTGGTTAAGGCAAATGGGGGATATTTCGAAAAATCAGAAATTGGACAATATGCATGATTTGAAAATAAAATTATGGTTGTTATATAATAATTTTATTTATATTTATCAAAATAAAGCTGATTTTTTATTATTTGAGACATAAAAATTTTGATATATATTATTTATTACAAAATCTAAGGGTGATTCTAAGCTTTTGACAGGTAGTGTATATGTCCATAATACAAAAAAAAGTATTGCTATATTAGTACTTGTCAGTTAAATATTGAATAAATATAAATTTATTACTTCGAACTAGACCAAAAAGAGTGGAAGAATGTCGATATTGAATGAATAACAAAATATAGGTTTACAAATATTAACACTTATTATTACTAAGGACTAGAGAAAAATTGCAACTTAAAATTTAAAAAATAGAATAAGGAAGAATAAAAAGTAAATAAATAATTACTGAAACCTATCTTCATATAATTTAGTCCCCTTTTGGCACAATAATATAAAATACCGAATATCCAAATTCCTGGGATAAATAGGCTCAGCAAGATTCATAGATATCTTAGCCTTTAGTGCAAAATAAAAGGAGGCTCTGATAGTTGATCCTATAATTAGATATGAAACGAACAATGAGTATCAAGGTCTCAAAATACAAATAAAGAAAGAGAAAAAATATTAAAAATGAATTCCGTAACTAAAGGAAAAATATAGAGGAAATTGGTGAGAGAAATATTTTCCTCTTTCGACTTCTAGTTTTTGGAAAAGCTGGTTGTTGAAAGGAAGGAAATATAGAGTATGACAGAATCCGTTATTTTGGACTCACTGGAAATCCTGCACCATCTCTATTAATTCTGATTTTATGTATCCTGAGGACAGAATTGAGGAGCATTAAAATAAGGAGAGGGAGAAAACAATAACAGATGACATTTTTATGTGCAAAGCACTTGGTATTTATGATGACAGTCCCATAAACTTTCTTTCTGTATTATACTAGATATTGTCATTCAGATGGATCAGTGTGCTATGTCAGCTACTCAATGCAATTGAGCATTACAATTTTATTTTACTTTTCTTTTCTCAAAGATGCTTTTTTGTTGGTACACCATGTTTTCTTATTTATACATCCAATCCAATGATTGGACCTTCATTTTGAAGATTATCAAAAATAACTACATCCCCCAGAAAAAAAGAATTATAAAAAAAAGGAAATTTTATTTTATTCATTTACTTAACGAAATTTAACTCTTTTGGAAAAAAAAATCCCAATTATCTTATAAATGGTGCTCATGCCTCAGTATTGTGCAGGTATTGGTAATATTCTTTAACAGAGACTAAGGCAGGCTTAGCTATTACTCAGAATAATGAATGAAAATAAATCTTTTTTTTTTTAATTTAGATCATTTATTTTATTTTTTTTTTGTATTTCAAAAATGACAATTGATATTTTAGTCTACTTCTTCTACCGTTGGACCACCAGATTGATAGTTGGCGCCACTCTGCTGCCCACATCCAGCAAATCCTGGACCGCCACCGTGTAGTTTGGTCATCAATGGCGCACATTCTTTTTGAACCTCTTTAAATTTATACTCATATTCATCTTTTTCAGCAAATGAATTCTGATCGAGCCACTTAATACCATTATCACAAATGGTTTGTAATTTTTTCTTTTCTGAATCATTAAGTTTATTACCACATTCGTCAACGGCCTGTTTGACTCCATAAAGATACCCTTCCAGCTGATTCCTTGCCGCTACTTTTTCCCTTTGCCTGTCATCTTCAGCCTTATACTTTTCAGCATCACTTACCATTTTATCTATTTCTTCTTTTGAAAGCCTGCCTTTATCGTTTCTTATAACTATGTTCTTCGACTTGCCAGTACTTATCTCTTTTGCTGTAACATTAAGTATACCATTAGCATCCATGTCGAATGTTACTTCGATTTGAGGAACTCCTCTTGGTGCTGGAGGTATACCAGTCAAATCGAAAGTTCCTAAAAGATTATTGTCTTTTGTCATAGCTCTCTCACCCTCAAAGACTTGTACTGTCACTGCCGGCTGATTGTCTGAATATGTAGTGAATGTTTGTGTTTGCTTACAGGGTATTCTGTTGTTTCTTTCAACTATTTTAGTCATCACACCTCCAGCAGTTTCAATACCTAATGAAAGAGGTGCTACATCGACTAAAAGAACATCTTGGATCTGTGAACTTTCATCCCCACTTAAAATTGCCGCTTGAACTGCTGCTCCGTATGCCACTGCTTCATCGGGATTGATTGACATATTAAGTGATTTACCATTGAAAAAGTTTTGTAATAGACTTTGAATCTTTGGTATTCTGGTAGATCCACCAACCAGAACAACATCGTTGATCGAACTTTTGTCCAGCTTAGCATCGTTCAATGCTTTTTCGACTGGTTGTAGTGTAGATCTGAATAGGTCTGCATTAAGCTCTTCAAATCTGGCTCTGGTCACTTTGGTGTAGAAATCTATACCATCGAACAATGCATCTATTTCTATGCTAGCTTCAGTACTTGATGAAAGTGTTCGCTTTGCACGCTCCGCTGCAGTGCGAAGCCTCCTTAAAGCTCTTGCATTGGACTTCATATCTTTTTTATATTTTCTCTTAAATTCTTCCGTGAGATGATTGACTAATCTGTTATCAAAGTCTTCTCCACCTAAATGGGTGTCTCCTGCTGTTGATTTGACTTCAAATAATGAACCTTCATCTATCGTCAGTACTGAAACATCAAATGTACCTCCTCCTAAATCGAATATCAAAACATTTTTCTCACCCCTAAGGTTTTTGTCCAAGCCGTATGCGAGTGCAGCAGCAGTCGGTTCATTTATGATTCTGAGAACATTCAAACCTGCAATTGCACCTGCGTCTTTTGTAGCTTGCCTTTGTGAATCATTAAAATATGCAGGAACTGTAATAACTGCATCACGAACTTTATTACCCAAATATGCTTCTGCAATTTCTTTCATTTTGGTCAAAACCATAGAGCTTACTTCTTCTGGTGCGAATTTCTTCGACTCTCCTTTGTATTGTACTCTTATTTTCGGTTTGGAATTATCATTTACAACTTTGAACGGCCAGTGTCTTATGTCTTCTTGAATTTTAGGGTCTTCAAACTTACGACCAATCAACCTTTTGGCATCAAATACCGTATTTTGTGGGTTCATAGCTACTTGGTTTTTTGCAGCGTCCCCGATAAGCCTTTCTGTTTCCGTAAATGCCACATAGCTAGGGGTGGTTCTGTTACCTTGATCATTTGCTATTATTTCTACTTTTCCGTGTTGCCATACTCCGACACAAGAATACGTCGTTCCTAAATCAATTCCTACTGCTGGCATTTTATGCTTGATTTAAACTTTGATTAGTCAGCAGATCCTTCGCTATAATCTTTAAATGTTATAATTTTATTCTTGTCTTTTTTGAAAAATAATCTTTTTATTACTTTAAACAATCATACATACTTAAATAGCTCATGTGAACCTATTTTGCCATTAATATGAATTTTATTCCTGAATTGATACTTTTTAATACAAATGATATATATTACCAGCTGGTGAAATATCTGAATTATAATAAATATAGTTAAAAATATTTTTGTAATATATTTTCACTTTAGTAAAAAGTTACTATACCGCCTTAGCATATATAATAAATTTTTCTCTCTGTATTATTTATTTTGCAATTCGGTATTACTTTTTATTATTGATATATATCCTATGTTGATGTGTATCAAAAACTTTTATTGACATACAATGCTATTGGATTGACATTTATGTTATGATCAAAAGGTTTTTTTAGCTATTTCCAAGCAAAGAGATTATAATAGATTAATAGGGGTCTCTATGGGATCAATTTAACAACTATATAGAGATTTTATAATATCATGTGTTGGATTGATCAGTAAAAATTATACAAGGTTTTAAGTTTTGTTTTTTAATTAAATGAAAAGTATTGAAAGAAGTTTAAATTAAATTTACATAAAATCATATTATGCGTATATATAATTTATTATATGCAGAAACATACATAAAACAATATAAATATTTATATTTATTATTGTCTTGAAATATATTGAATTAATTCTTATTTGTATTAGATTAAAATATTTAAGTTTAATTGAGAAATTCCTTTAATAATTTCTCAATTAAACTGGTATTATTAAGTTTTAAAGTAAAATGAATTTATGATACATTAGTAAGTTTATGTTATTCTACTATAATGTTTTTATTAACAAAGTACAAATATTGGTAGATAAAAATCAATTAACAAAGTTAGTATTTACAAAAAATTATAATTGTTTATTTGAGTAAATTATTGGGTTAATTTTCCCTTTTTTTAATGTTATGTTAATCAGAAGAATTTTTCCTCTGTAAAATCAGAATAATTGTAACTATATTTGATCGTGTCATTTGTATGCACTTAAATGTGTTTTTGTATTGATAGATAAGGTTGAAATTCACTAAAAAGTATCTAAAAGTTTAACTCCATCAAAAATGTAAGTAGTAACATTTTGCAATCAATCATCAATATAGGTGTTTTTTAAATATTTATTTAGATTATTTAAAACAAAAGTAAAAATAATTTTTATTATTCTCAGGGAAAGTTATTTTCTTCAACTGGTTTTATTCATACTTTATTATTATTTTATTTAATAGTAAAATTAAAAAAAAAAAATTGTGAGGAAACTGATTAAACATGAGTTATTGGTTTGCTGATTTTAACGTTAACTGGAGGAAAATATAATTTTTATTTCATCTATTGTTTAAAACTTAACTGAAGTGTAAAGAGAAAAAAAATGTGTGAGCAACATACATCATATCACTGAGGGCATGTTTTATCTCATTTTCATTTGTATAATAAATGAAAAGTTATTTTATTGTATCATTAATGCTTACTTGAAGGAATTGAGCTATATTTCTTTCTCATGTTTTGTCCTTGAAAATTTTATAATTTATTTTCAAATTTAATTTATCGAATTGCAGTGGTGGGAGAAAATTTTTACCTAACCAAATCTATTCACTGTTTTTTTTTTAATATGTCAGAAATGATTACTTGTTTATTGATCTGTGTCACTTTGCTTTTTGTTCAGCCATTCATCTGTCAGGAAGGTAATAAGGATTATTTGTTAGGATATTTCAAACACACATGTTTATAATTTTTTTCTCAATATTGAAATATTTTTAAAGATCCATCATGAGCCATGAGGTATTAATCTTAAATTCTCAAAGTGATTCTAGTTAAGATTAACATCTATTTATTCGTTTAGAAAACTCACAATAGATGTTAAATAGGATTTGATTCTAGATTACGTTATAATAAATTGTTTTCTCTTTCATTGTAGGTGATTGAATAATTACAACTATTTTTTTATGTAATTAATAATAACGATAATTAATAATTATCGTTGTTTTATACAGAAAACATATTTATACTTAATTACCTTAACACATTAAAATTTATTGGAAAAGGATTATTTTGAACTGTAATTAAATTATTTGTTCTTTTAAATTGTGCTCCATATATTATATTTAAAATAATCCCACGTTTGGGCAATTCTGTTGTATATTTTAAAACTTTACTGCTGAATAAAAATCTGCCATCAAGTTATCAATTTGTGACTACAGTAGAGCATTGATTTGATTAAATAATTTTGATAATAAATGCAATTATAAAGAATAAAATAAGAACAAACATTAACATAGGATGTAAATAATTTATTTTATTTAAGTTAAATGTTTAACTGTTGTAATGTTGATATTTGTACATAATTATACCTGAAAAACTATACAAAACCCCTGTGTCTTATTCAATATTTAAACACAGTGGGATAAAATAAAACGAGTAGAAAGGATTGAACAAAATCCAGAAATGTCAAAGGATAACGGGAAATAGTTGTGTATAGATTTAAAACCAAGTTTAGAATTTTTGTATTCAAATCTGTACCAGTACAATCCATGGAGAGATCTTGGTTGCAATACTTTTTAAAGAAATACTGCTTTTATACCAAAGGGTGATTTGACCAAGATCATGCCCAACTTTTTTTCCCTTAAGTAATTAATGGAATTCAGCATTGAGCATGGACTTCATAGTAGCTGGGTCATACCACAGCTTATATAGGGTGTTTCAGTTTACATCCAAACTCCCTAAAAAAAACTGAGTGGTTTATTCTAGACAAAATTTCGAACATAAAAGTTCATTTGATGCATGGGTCTATTCAAAACGGAAAAGGAGTTTAAGACCAATTTTGTGTTTTTTTTAAGGTGGCCACGGGTATTTATTGCATAAGGAGGAATTGCTCAAAAACTGTTAGAGATAATTAAATTCTTTGTGCCCCATGGTAAAGTAGACAAAATATTTTTGAGAAAACAATGCTTAAATTTACTAAGGTCAATGATAAAAGGGACTTTCAGGTCTGCAGTTGGTAGGCCTTGTGTCATTATCACTAACAGTCCCTTTTATCATTAACCTAAGCAAATTTAATCAATGTTTTCTCAAAGAAAATTTTGTCTAATTTATGATGGCATACTTAAAATTTAATTAATCTTGAACAGTTTCGAGCAATTCCTTCTTATGCAATAAATAATGTGACCTTAAGAAAAACAAAAAAATGGTTTAAAATCATTTCTGTTCGGAATTGGCCCACCCATGCATCAAATGAACTTTTGTGTTCAAAATTTTGTCTAGAATCCACCCCCCAGAGTTTGGCCATTAAGAACTGAGACATCCTGATATAGCAGTGATCAACTTAATCTAGGACCCAGAGCATAAGACTACAGAGCCTTACTTACTGAGTTAACCCACTCTCTTTAATATAAAAACAGTGAATAAAAGTTAAAATATTGTCTATTTTAATTTTACTGTTTTGTTTTTTCCTCCGTTTATTCCCTACCTTGCCATTTCTGGCGTATGGGGGGAAGAGGTTGTTTTTCAGCTGGTATAACCAACCTATTCTAACCTGAGTGGGAAGGTCAGAATTGAAAAATAAAATAATTTGGGATAGATGTGAGGGAGAGTGGTGTTTCTATTTTGATTCCAATATTTATAATTCAGCGAGAAGATCCCTTAACTAGCACCTTTTCAGCCTCCGACAGGTGTTATCAGACATGTTGGTTGTGACCAGTTCTTGAATGAGTGAGTTGTTAACGTTTAATCAACATATAAACTACAGTTTATTCTACTCCAATATAGCTAGTTTGTGATAAAATTGTTTTTATTAATAAACAAACAAAGCTAGTGATAAACAGTTTAAATCGAACCTGAAACAAGTTCTTTTTGTGTAAGTAATGTATATGTGAAATAATGACTACAGTTCTTCAAATTCTGGTTTAATTTTTGAACTTTTGAAAATCTATGAAACTGATTCAAAAGAAAAATCAAGGTTAAACACAAGTTTAGTTCAAATAATTAATTTATGGTCAGGATAATCGGAGCTCCACTATATTGATTCTTAAAATAATAATAAAAAGAAATAAAATATATATAAAAATTTATTTGACATTGATTTAACTTAGTTATAAAATGCTATTTAAAAAAACAAAACAATACAAATAAAAAGATCATATTTTACAATATTTAAATATTTACAAAGAATAATTTCTTTGTTATTAAACTAACTATACAACTTAAATAATCTATATTTTAAAATGTGTTTTCAGGTACATAAAAGGTTAATTAATAAATTACAAGATTTAATTAATGTAATAAATTAATTAAGAAAATCATATCTTGTCAATGTTTAACTTACTCTATTTCTTTGTATCACAAGAAATTCTTAATTAAAAAAAATTTTTTTTTTAACTTACAATAGAAATATGATACATTTTTACAACATTAACAATTAAATTATCTAACAAACAACAATATTCTAGAGATATATTTAAACAATTTAACATTTTTACCAATCATTAGTAAAAATATACACAGCCTTAAATAAATATGACTAGTTTAAAGAGTTGATTGTCATACGACAGTACGATCATTGTTGTAAGTGACTTCGGTAAGTTTGTGAACTAGGAGGGAAGGAAGGATTCATTTGCTGAGCCGTTTGTCCTGAAGACGCTACTCTCTGAAAAAATCAAAATGAATTTGATGATATAATTACAATTTTTTCTAGCAAATTACGGAAGTGTATAAACTAGTATATTATCAAGTTTAGGTTAATTTCTTCAGTTCTCAGCAGATACCTTAGCAAATCTCAATGTACTTAAATCAATATGAACTAGATAAAACCAAAGTATTTAATCCATCCGTTCACATCCGGGTAGGAGTTAGTTAGTTACGAGGTCTCTTGACCAACAAACGCCTTAAAAGTTATCGGTGTGGGATGTACGGGTCTGTGTTGGAATTCAGTATTTTTGCTAATGGGCTCATGTAGTACGTCAGTCTCTGGTGGAAGTTTTTATAATATTGTGTTGCAGTATCTGATACTGTTTGGATGTCCAAGTCCTTGCATAACAAGTCATTTGTCACATAGAAAGGTGCATCTGTAATTTTGTTTGCTGTGCTCGATAGCTCTATTCCATTAGTAATATCAATAGCAAAAGATTTATTATTCTAAAAACAAACCACAAATATATGCATCAATAGATCCCCTAACAGAAACTGCCCTTGTCCCAGAATGGTTCTGATTATTTTATTCTCAACCTGGAAGTATTCTCTTATGATTTTTATAAATTAAATTAGATAAATTACAGAATGGAGAATAATTTTCATTTCAAGTTATAACAATATAGAATTGTTTACTTATTTTTCTTATTATAACAATCTTATTAAATTCTACTTTTTGATTATTGGACTGATACCAATCTCATGTTAAAGTTTGTTTATACTGTGGAAGAGCACAATGATTGCAAATCTTGCATCTATCTAGACTCAGTTGAGTATTATGGCTAATACTCCAGTTAACAAATTAGTTAAATTCAATTATGATAAAATAGTCCAAAACAATAGCAAAATGCTAATAAGGTTGAAATATATATCAATATTTTTATTTTGATAATAATATTTATGAAACTATAAATTATTTGGATGAATAAGACGTAATAAGTACTTTTGCACTGATTTCTTTTTTTTTTAAATTAATCGAAATAATTTGACGATCCAATTAATAATCTAGTAGAAATTTATAAATCAGTAAAAAAATTTGTTTCTTTTATAAGTAAATTATCAGCATTATTTTTTTATTTAATGTTAATCACAATACTGGCTTATCATGATATAAATAATTTATTAATTTTTCATATGAACGAGAAAACAATATCTTCAGGCTGTAAATTCTGTCTTTTTCTATTTTTTCCATAATAAATGCCATTAAGAGGATTATTAATATCTTATTAAAATTACAGGGCGGCCACCTAAACAAGCCGTAACGCCTAAGTGAATGGAACCGGAAGGAGCAGATGGTGTTGTCCAGGCACAACGGAAAACCTAGTCACGGTTTTAGGCCAAACGTTCCAATACTGAATTTTTCAGCGGATCATCTGTGAAACAAATAAGGGACGATGCCTGAGAAAACTGACATATCTTCTTAGTAGGATACTAATCTCAACATTTAATTTGTATCTAGTATATAATTTTTATACTTTCTTAATTTTTGAAAATTATCAAATGCCATAATGTATTATTTCATTATTAATATTATAGACTTTTATGTATAATGAAATGTAATAGAAGTTATATATAACTAATAAATTAAAATTTATATTATTTTAATTTGTTGATATATGAGCCTGTAATCAACCCCAATTGGACATAGTTATGCAGAAACTGAGTTATATTTTTTTCAAAATTTTTTACACATGTGTTACTTAATGAATTTCTCAATGTATTTGTATTATCTGTATTGAATGGTTAGTGACAACAGCTATTTACATTTTTGTCCAGGGCCATGCAAATCTTACTATAGAAGAAAGGAAATAATGCAGAAATTGGTTTGAATGCCTAACTGCGCTTAAAAAACAAAAGCTTTTATGTTTCTGCATAACACTCCAATCTTTCTATGAAATTTAAGTTTTAGAACTCCTTAAGCATAATTTTATTAACTTATGCAAACTTAATAAAAATGAAAGTAATAAATTGAATAACAAGATCACACCAGTTTTTTTTTTTTTTTTTAAATTTTTTATCCAAAAATAAATAAATATTTATTGCATTTATTTCCTTTCCCATAGAATTAATTCCTTAATAAATCCTTCATTTGATGTGCTACCTCTTTGTGGAATATTATTTATCATTTTTATTAATGGTTCCTCTTGTATCATATCTATCAAAAGGCACTTATTTCTTACACTACTTAATTATCAATCTACTGCATTGATTTATAAAAATTATTTTTCTGATGGACAAACCAGCATGGTAGATTACTTTAGTTTTAAATCATTTAAACATTAAATTGTCTACAAATTGCACTTTATAAACAGTATAATCTACTAAATAACCCAAACTTATCAGAAGTCTGGACACTAAAATCTGAATCTGAAATTGCCTAAAAATTATGAGTTGGAGAGGATGCAATGTTTCATTTAGAATTCAATCATTTTGGCTAAGATTGTACAGATATTTCTGTTCCATATTTAATAATTAATTGTAAAAACTAATTATTACATCTGATTAACTAACAAACTAATCATATGTCTCATTTTATATTAATTTTTCCCAGTTCAATTACGTATATTTAGTATATTCTGAATTAGATTAAAAAACTTGATTGGTTTGGTTGTAGAACCAAAAACTTGTCAACAGTTAAATAAATTTATGTATTAATAATAATATTAAAGAATTTGTATTATTACAACTATTTCTTTCAAATAACTTTCATGTTGCTCAATATAAATACAGAAGTGGATCAAAGGGAGAAAAAATAAACAACATCGGTAAATAAAAATATCAAGAGCTAAGAAGTAAATTATTTCTTGAATTGAGGCTTGACGTCACAGGATTGATAATTAAATTCAATAAAAAACATGTCTTCCTGTATAATTTTTTTATTTAATAAAAATTATTTATTTATTTTTTTCCTCAATTGAAAAGCAAGAGAGAACAGACACAAGTTAATGCCCAAAACTGGTCTCTGAAGAATAATTTGCATACGCAGGAAGACATATTTTATTTATTTATTCATTTTTGTATTATTTAACTCAAAGAAGCAAAAGAACTCAGTTATTATAAATTTTTTTTGTAAACATATATATAAATATAGAGTTATTTGTTTTGGAAATTTGGAAGGTTATCTTGGATGATAAATAATTGGGATTTTCAATCTTTATGGGATGTTCATTAAGGTAGCTGATGATTCAATCAAGCTTGTGAGTCATCAAAATAACAGTTTCTGTTTAAATCGCCAAAAGAACTTTCATAAAGTGAGTTGTTACACAAACTTGTGCCCAGATAATGACTCATAATCTTGTAAAATCGGAATTTGTTCTAAATCGAACACATTATCAGCACCTGCATTCATCATCTCTGATGCTACCTATAAATGTAAGCTACATCCATTTTGTTCCATATATACTGCTGAGATTAATACCATCGTAATGGATCTACGACATGTTTTGGGAGTCACCAGTTGTAAATGTGGCTGAGGTAGTAGATTCTTTGAGCACTCTTAAAACCATGAACAACATGCATCCAGACCATCGAGGAATATATAGTATTTTAGGGCTAATAAAACAGCTATATAATGGAAATAAAAAGGAACATCAGTACATTTTTCATTATCTCCTAGCCATTAGGCATTACTGGTAATGAAATTGCTGATAGAGCAGCAAAAGAAGCTCTTACCCTTCCAGGAGAAAGTAAAGCGTTCTTAACTGAGGCCATAAACCAAGATTGGCAGACATTGTGGAAAAACAACAGCACTACAAATAAACTGAAGGTCATAAAAAGTGAGGTGAAGCAATAGAGCAATTCTAGTTGCCATCCACTTGTTGGAGGTGAGGAGAGAGAATGACAGTAGTCCATATCTTTGAGTTGCACCTTTTACATCATAGAAAATTTTACAGAACGAAAAGGGAATACATCGAATGCTTTGTGAAATTAGGAAAAAATCTTGAATAAAGTCATATTTTTTCTCTCCGAAGAAGAAATTTTTAATATATGAAACCTTATCTCTGTTTTTTATTATTATTTTATTTATTTATGCACAACTAGCAGGTATAATATTGAATAAATATATACATAAACTTAACTATGATGTTGATAATCTACCAGTTTTATGCCTTAACAATATAACAACCAACCAACAAAATCTGGGATCATCAACCATAATAAACATTACTAAAAATCATAATTATTTATCAACCAAGAAATAAAGAAATAGATTGAAACAATAAAAACAAATAATAAAGCTTACCTGATCGTTCATTTCAGGAAAAATCGTACTGAGGTTGAAATTAGTGAGAGTAGTCGTAGTGTTGGTATTGAGCTGTGAAGCTGGCAGGTTGTAATGAATACTTTTGGAGTACGACGGGTATATTTGTGGTTGAAGTAGGTTTGAACCCTGATAATTATCATCTTTACGCCCTGATTTTTGTCTATTTTGATCTAAACTTCTCTGATTCGTACCAAATCCAAAGTCTTGGTAGTCCTCATGAGAAAAACCTGAAAAATGAGTCTGTTGGAAATAGCCGTATTGCTGATTGGAATCTATATGAGGAGTGAAATCACTCTGGAAATAATTTGAATTCTGCTGATAGTTGAAATTGGACGAGAAATCTACATCGCTCTGTTGGGCGCCAATTAATGATTCAGCGCTATAGCTACCACCCTTGTAAGAGTTATATTTCTTTTCGGTACATTGATTCTGATTCGGAGCAAAATTATTTCTTTCTTCGTAATACATGCAATGATCATCTTTACGTTTAGAACAATTGAAATTAGCTCGAGGTTTGGATGCCTTTTCTTGTCTCTTGTAGTTTCTGTCAGTTGTTTTCTGCTTTTTACTTTTTGGATCGACCAACTGACTGACTGAAAAGAAATTTGCTTGGCTTTTAGGAAATTCATTTCTTTTTTTAATTTCATCCATTTTTTCTGGAGGTTTCTTCCCGGCTTGCCCTTGAGGGGGTTGAGCTTTCGGAGTTTCAAACGTTTTATAACTTTCAGATGGTGTACTGGTACCTAATGCAAGATCTCCAACTAGAGTGGGTAGTGTTGAAGGTATCATTAAATGATTATCTAAGGCAGGTAATAGTGTTTTACTCGGAGACCAAGAATAATTGTTTGATTTCTTCGAACTACAAAAATCAGAGAAAGATTCTGTAGGAAAATCTACAGGGATACCACCATAAACAGGTTGTGACGAATGATTGGGGTAGTTATTAGTTATCTCGGTTTCTTTCTGTTGATATTCAGTCTGCTCTCGATTTTCCGGTGTAGTCATCCAATTCACTGATATCCTGTTTTGCTGTTTCCTCTTCTTATCTTTGTAATTATAATATTCTTGATAATTCTGATAGAAGTAACCTTTTTGTACAGCTTTATCTTTCTTTTTTTCATAGGTCTTCTTTTGATCTTTAGGTATATTAGAAAAGTCTTGTTGCCATTGGGAACCTTCTTTTTCACAGTATTGTTGAAAATCGTTGCATGGAAAATGAGAATAATTATACGATTGTGTAGCATAACTGTTAGTAACAGTTGTCGATGATTTTGTTTTAGATTTAGATTCTACACTTCTTTGATCTGGAAAGACATCTTTTCTTTTCTCACACGGTTTATTATAACTTGTATTTTGCTTTCCGTGTATTTCATTAACATGAAGGTAATCATTATTTAATTCAAACTGGTCGTTTGTTTTATTCCCCTTTTGAAAATCGATGGAATGAAAGAGTTCTGTATTCGGTGGTTCTATGTTTCCTATCTGTAGAATAGTAGTGGGAGTAGATGTTTGATTATCATGATTTTCACTATCTGGCAGATTTTCGTTGTTGCGGGATGTAGATACAAGCGGAAACGCTAACAAAAATGCCGCTGTAGGAGAAATTGATTCAGAATGTTGACCTCCAGTAGGAACTTGAAGAGAACTGAACAGATCAGAAGAGAAATCAGATGTCAAGCGTACATCATCTATAATGGGGATGAATGTATTCCTCTCAATATCTTTAGATTTCAAGAAATCCGTGTTCATATCTCCTTTAAAAGAAGTCCCCTCACTCGAACAAGGTTTGGTTTGATTTTCTTTCTGAGGCAAAGAATTGGGCATTACCGATACTGGTGCAGTTTTATTACTAGGATGAGGAGCAATGTGATCAGAAGTTGAAGTAGAAGTCGATGGTAATAATTGCAAAGAATTATTTTGGGATGAACAAATACCTGTGTTTCTCATATTAACGGAGGCACCGCTTTGATTAACAAACTGATTTGTCACTGAATCAAAAGGAGCGTCATTGAAATTTTTGTAATTAGTAGCCCTAATTGAATTAGTAGAAATTCTTGAAGGATTGGATGCAAAAGAATTATTTTGAGAATGTGGAAGTTTTTGATAACTATTTCCATTGTAATTAAAGACCTGAAAATCATCTGAGCTCATTTCAGTTGAAACTGATTTATGAGAAGAGGATGACAAAAGCTTGTGATTTTCTTGCAATTGTTTCTCGCCACTTGGAACATAATCTTTATAGTGGCTTTGCGTACTTTCAATTGAATCATTAATTTTACGGTTCATTGGGTTGATTTCCGAATTGCTGTTTTGAATATTTTTACCGTTGACAGATGACTTTGGGAGATAATTGTAATTATTATTTTCATGATTTCTTTCGGGTTCTACAGGAATACGTAGATTTTTCGAGGAAGCTGATTGAACACTGGTATTTGCTTGAGAAGCCTTCGTGGAATCGGATGGATTATGAGGCACGGGCGGTGCAGTCTCAGCAAACCTATTTGTTTTTGAAACCTCTTTGTCTTTTGAATATGATTTCTGAGCATCGTTTATCTTTCTTCTATCATCAGCGGAGATATTACAATTTTGATCATTGGTTTTGCCTTCAATGAATGAAGCTCCAGAACTAATAGAATTGTTAAATATAGCATGATTGGTATTGATCTGAACATTATTAGTACTTGTTACTGATCCACTGGTTTCAATACATGAAATTTTCGGTTCTATATAATTATTATGAGACATACAGTTACCGTCTGATGTTTTAGATTTGTTAATAGAACTGTTTTCGAATGAAATATTCTGAACTTTGGATTGGTTTTCTGAACATAAATTTGAATACCCTGGCGGTGGGGCAGAGACCGGATAAAAGGAACTATTTCTTGCCTTATCTTTATCGATAGCAGTTAATGAATTAGCCTTATTCATAAGAGGTTGAGAGTCTCTAAACTTCTCTTGTGGGTTCCTTCCTACATGAGATGTGTTGACATTTATTTGATTTTCATGATGAGCAGTCGTTTTAGAAGGTATGGAACTCGTAGATGGAAAATCATTAAAACCGCAAGTACCTTGAAGAACTCCAGAAGTTGAAGGAAAATTCTGAAAGAACCCATTACTATGAGATGGAGCAGATTCATTTTGAAAATTGAGATACATTAATTGGCTTTGGTTTTGTAATTCGTTCTGCTTCTCTAAACCTGGCATCTTGTTACATTGAAATGAATTGTTTTTATCTTTAATATTATTATTATCTGGCATATTATTAACCGAATTGTTGTAAAAATCTTTGCTGCAATTGGACTTCTCCCAGTTAGGTTTAGAGCCTGAATTGTGATGAAAAGACATATTCCGAGAACAAAGCTGTTTGTCGCCTAAATTCATTGATGATGTAGGATCATTATACGTACTGTAAGGAATGATTTTTTTAGAAATATTATCGCTCAGAGAAGTTTTATTCGTAGGTTTCGAATTAAAACTATTTTGTGAATATGTCACCGTAGTATTTGGATAAAAGTTGGCCGAGCAATAGCCTGTATAAATGTTAGCATTAGAGTTTGCAGATGGGTTAATTGATGAAATAGCCGATGTACTGCTGCATGGTAATTTATCGTTGGAATTGAAACTAACTGACTTGTTAACATTATCACCATAATTAGGGTTTGAATTCTTATCACTGAGAAGAGTTCCTGGAAATCTGTACGTAGGTTGATTAGTAAAAGATCCATTTGACTTGGAATAAGAAAAAGAAACATTGCTTTGTGGATAAACTGGCAAATCAGATCTTTGAGATCCAGTATAAAATGAATCGAGTGCCAATGAATCTTTCTGCTTACCATGATTCGACTGCAAATGGTCAAGTTGGAGATGGTTATTCTGTTGTTGACTAAAACTATTATCAGGTATTGAAAAGGGATTATTTTTATTTCCAGGCATAGTCAAGCTGCCGACACCAGAACCTAAACCATTAGATTGACCAGGACATTTATTTTGATGAAAAGATAGGGCCTGAGAATATATAGCTTTCTCTTGAATATTTAAAGACAATGAATGCGTGATCTCATTCAGCGAAGGATACATTGAAGTGTTTTCGACAAGGGCATTACTTCCAAGATCTGGAAAGTCCAATCTCTGCATTATTTCTCGATTCGGGAACACTTTATCATTCGAAATGGAGGAAGGTTCAGCTGTCTTGGACGTAGTAGTATCAGAATTGTTTAATTCTGTATTTGGCTTTGGATGTGGAATACTCTCCGGAAGTAAAGTACTATTAGCAAAGATGACATTTTCAGTCGCAGAAGAGCTAGGAGGTTCGGTAACTGGAAGAGGTTCACTTTCCTTAGCTATATGTGAATTCGAGTTATCTTTTTGTTGAAAAGATTTATTTTCAGAACTGCCCTGGTTTAAATCAACAGTTGAGTAGACACCGTGGTGTGTTGGACAGCTGAACGAGGCTGATGTTGGTTTATTTTCAATATTCGTCTCGTTACTAGAGGCAAATAGGGAGACTTGTACTGAACTCGAATTCACTTCCGGAAGACTTTCTGTCAGGCTCAATGTATAGCTGCTACTAGCTTCACAGCTAGCAGTAGAACAAACTGATTTCTGATTCCTTAATTCATTTGTTAACATATCATTTTTGAGAGGGCTTATTTCAGTTTCCATTGAAGATCCTTCAGAACTACAAATTGCAGTAGTACCAGCTTCTAAATTTTTTTCATTTGTATTATTTAAAACTGAATTTTCACTATTATTATCTTCCGGAACTACTGAAGATAACGTCAAGAGATTAGTAGAAATAGCTGGATTACAAGATCTTTGCCCTGTTTCACATCCTGTGGTGTCAATTGTATCTAACTCAGGAGAAACATCATTTTCTTCTTCAATTTTATCGTTCAAATCAGAATTATCAGCTGATTCTTTATCCTGTTCGCTTATAGAGGTGGATAATGGCTGCGAATAATTATCATTCAAAGTATCGATTGCATCTTTAACAGGAGATGAAGAAACTGATAAATCAGAATCGTTAAGATTTGTATCAGAAATCATACTGTTAGACTCAAACGTATTTGTCACAATTGAATTAGAAGTACTTGGAAGTACTGGATCCTCAACAGTTCTAGGCAATTTTGGCACATCAATAATTTCATCAGATTTTTCTTGCTCACCAGTATCAGTAGTGGTTGCTTCAGTAATCGTATTGCAAGTATCTACTGATACATCTTTAGAAACCTGCTCACTAGTAATAACAACGTCAATATCTGCATTTTCTACTTCTTTTGGCGAATTAATGGTATTTATATTTTCTATTTCTTTTGGTGAATTAATTGTATTTGTATTTTCAATTTCTTTTGGTGAATTAATTGTGTTTATATTTTCAATTTCTTTTGATGAATCAACAGTACTTATCATTTCTACTTCTTTTGATGAATTAACAATATTTATATTTTCTACTTCTTTTAATGAATTAAGATTATTAGTTGAAGCAGTTTTATCAATTTTTTGTTGATCAGGACAAATTGAAACATTATCTATTTTCCTTTTTTTCTTAGCCTGGTCTGATTGAGTGTCATTTTCTGTATTCTTGCTTTTCTCTGCTTTCTTTAAAGTTGTTTTGGGTTTTTTCTTTGGACGGACCCTGGGACACGACTCCAATCTGAAGGTCTGAATGGCAGGAATAGGTGCCTTGTTAGCGAATGTCGTTTTTGTAACATCTTGTTTCTTAGGAATAATTATTTTATCTTTTTTCTTGGAAGTCGGCATCAAAATCACTGTCGGTTGCGGTTTCACAAGAATCTGAGGTACGATTGGAGGTACATTTACAATTCTGCCATCAGCTAGGATTAATGTACCAGGACCTAAATTTGAGAGTATATTCTTTTCTAATACCGGTACAGTCTGAATCCCAGGAGCCATTACCGGGGCTGTGATAATATTACTTTGAGATAATGTGATAATATGCGAACTATTGACAATAGTCTGTGTAGGAATCGAACTGGAACTTGTTGTAGTAACAATATTAACAGTTTTATTACTTATTACTGTTGGCGTAACTTCTTTCACTATGTTCGGTGGTAAAATGTTGTTACTAATTATTGGAATCGTTTGAATTGAGGAAGGTGCAATCGGCAAATTACGGATTCCACTCCTTACTGTAGACAAATTTTTACCGTTACCATCTACGGAAGCTTTAATGTTCGGCAATAGTTGAGTTCCTCTTGTAATCGCAGCGAGTGAAGCTGCATTATTGACGACATTATTGTTACTAGGAAGTAATTGTCTAACCACAGGAAGACTTTGAACCCTAGTGGTCATAATTGAAGCACTTATTAAAGGCGTTGGAGTAGCAGTCAAAAGTTTTGTATTGCTAGTCCACGGGGGAGCTGAAACCGAAGAAACACATGCGACAGTCTGTACATTTCCTAACGTAACTACTGTGGGAACAGCAGTTACAGCTGGATTAGATTCTTTTAAAGGCTTCTTTTCCGGAGCTAGTTTCATACAACCACATTTAACTTTTTTTATAGTTGTGGCTTCATCTTGGGATGTTTTTGGTTCTTCTTCCTTATTGCTGCCACCTAAAATGAAAAAAAAAATGAAATTAAACATAACTTATAATTCCAGAAGCTTTCGGTGCGTAACGCCATATTCATTTGTATATCACCTAAATTGTATAAAAAAGATGTTTGCAAACTTTATTGTTGTTGTTACATTTGGAACTGTTGAGAGAAAAGAGTTTTTATAGAAAGCATGTGAAATTATAAAATAAATTAAAAAATTGTGAGACTGTTTTAAAGGGTGACAATCTTTAATGATAAACATAAGAAGTTATATGGAGAAAGAGAGGTTATTTTTGAGGTATAACCAAACCTATTCATACCAGAGTAAGGAGATTGAGATTTATTCCACGAGATTATTCCACAAAATAATATGGTAAATTTGGAATAAACTTATTTAAATTTGCCTATTTTTGGAGCTGGAGTTGCTCTTCTTTCAACATTGATCTGGTTATGACTAAAGTTAGATACTGACAATCACACCATCCCATCACATGGATGTGGAATGGAAATACTGTGTCTCCAAACCAATTAATGTGGAAAACCGTACAGTTTTTATGCTGTGCTATAATAATTATCATAAAATTGTAGGCCAGTAACTATATCATTTATTTTATGAAATTGACTGTATAAAATATGTTACAAAAATATTGATAGGGATAACAGACTTTTTTTATGCTAATTATGTTTAAAAATATAAATATTACTTAGAGATAAACAAACATTTCAAGCAGATTTCTAATTTCTAATATTCTAAAAATTTCCACTAGTTTTTAAACTATTATTTCTTTTAGACAGGTCAGAGATGATAAAGATTAAATTATTTTATTTCCTTGCTATTAATTCTCAAAAGTTACATTAATCTGTACATTGAAATATTTATAGACTGTAAACACTATAAAATATACATATTTACCAAATTTTCCCATTTTATTTAAATAAGACGTGACAATAATTCAAATTCAATTTCTGACTCTTGATAAAATATTTCTTCTAAGTAGGAACAGGAATAGTTATATCTATTTAAATAAAATTCTAAATTTTTTTACAATTTAATTATAAAACTCAAGAATTTATATCAGAATTGAAAAATTCTGTAACAATAATTAACTTATTCACAGGCATACTAAAGTAAATTTTACTCACAAGTGTTATTCTAATAAGAAAAAAATATACCTTGTGTTGCTGTTTTAGGCTTCCTCTTCCTACGTTTAGAATTGGGAATCGGTACTCCAGCACATCTCAGCGCTTCAACCAATTCTTTGGTTTTTAACAACAAATGAGCAACTCTTTTTCTCAACTTCTCACTCTCATTTTCTGGAAATAAAACAATACTTATGACATCACAAAATCAATATAGATAACACAATATTTGAAATGAAAACATACTGAGTGCTAAGTCTTCACCGAGTTTCATGATTTCCTCATTTTGTCCTTGTAAGTACTTGATGTATTCGGCAGCTTTTCTTAAAATTTCCACCTTGCTAAGATTTACTGATGGATCATGATGTGGTAAGAGCTTACCTAGCTCCATAAAAGCATTGTTTAGCTTATCTCTCCTGTCTTTTTCAAATCTCCGAGAGTTTCTGAATCAATCACGAATGCCAAGAAAAAATTACATTATATCATAAGAAAATCAAACAATAAACAAGACATCAACACTTAATAAATACATACTCGACTGTCTTTTTCCCACCCATCTCTTAGTATTAAAACAGCAACACGTGGTTTTATGTAATAGTAATAATCATTTAAAATTAAATAAAATCAATAACTATCACATATTTAAACTCAAACAAACTAAAATTAATCAGCTGTAGAACCAAATTCTTTGAGGTTACACATTGGTGCTGCCATCTCTTGGCGTTGGTGACATTAACAAGGTCTGTTACGCATAATACAGATAGCGCCATCTACAATAACGCTGTGAATTTGTGAAGGCATAGAGAAATTACTTTATTTCACTGGTGTATCTTCCGGGAGGGGAAGCTTTCGGGATGAACCCCCCCGAAAATGGTAAAATGTTACCATATTTTATGGAAAACATATAAACAAATTTCTCTTAGTTACTAGTTCACAGTAATAACCATTATAATAAAAATTAATAATTAACAAATTAGTAAATACACAATTCGTTAATAAATTGTTAGTAATGAAGTTCCATGAAGAGAATACGTTTTTTTTTTTTTCAAAAATGCATGAAAAGGGATTGTGTGATGGGGCAATAGCGGACGTCATAAAAGACGACAACGTTCGGCTGTTTTCTGGATTCCTTAAACAAGTGTGATCGATGTGATAGTGAACCACGCGTAATCCGTGTGGAACTGATGTGAACTAGTACCGGAAATAGAAACCCATTTCACCTTTTTTTTTCCAAAATAATTATCGTTATATATATATAACAATAGGAGCAATAGCAGACCTCAATAGCTGCAAAAAAGTTCATAGAAACAATGGGCCAATTTTCAGCAGAAAATTAGCAAATACAACTTTTGTTGTTTATTATGTGGTATTTTATTTCAGCAAGAATGACTATAATTAACTGTTGAAAAGTTTTTATTTCTTGTTTTTCCATGATCTTGGATGTATTATAATAAACCCAATTGCATAAACACACATTTTATTTATTAAATAAATTCATTTGAAAAATACTTCTTACTATAGCAATATGATTTATGAAATATTCATAGAGTTATATGATTAAATAAATCAAGTCCTATTTCGTTTTTAATGAACGTATTGTACAGAAAACACATTAGAAAAGAGATGCTCCAGAGTAGAGGTCATCAAATAAATAAATAAAAGTTGTGGAAAATATAGTTTGCCTTTTTTTTTATTGTATACAAAAGAATTTTTATAAACTTATGGTTGGAACTTTCGGGCTGAAGTCCCCCCTCCCTCCAAATGGTAAAATATGACCATTTTTTATAGAAAAAAATATTAAAAACTATCTCTTAAAGTATTATTGTTCGTGTAATTACATTTAATAGGACTTCAAGAATCACTTAAACACCACGTCATATAGGTAGTTAGTTTATTTCATTTTTTTTTTTAATTATTATCGTTATATATATATATATATATATATATATATATATATATATATATAAGGTGTCGGGCTGAAGCCCTTCCCAAAAATTAAATCTTGGGTCTGTAGTGCCTTGCTTCATATTAGTTCAAACACACACACACATATATTCAGATTAGTGAAAGTAAAAAATATTGAATTGAAGAGAAGGTGACTAATTTGAACTATTTCCATGTGAGTGACTTTGACGACATAAGTTTTCAATACGTAACAAGATATTCAAGGCGAATTCTTTTTTAGAAACAAAAAAAATATCTCCCATAAGACTTTAAGCTGTCATTTTTCAAATGAACCGTCAAATTATGCCTCAGCTCCACAAATATATTTAACAATAATATTTTAGGTAAAATATTTTGCAATAAATATCTTCATATGAGTCGTTTACTTGCAAAGTGAATTTTAATCGATTTTTATGGAAATTGAAATCGGTATAGATTTCCCTTTGAAAACAACCAATGAATCCAATGGTGCAATCATTTTTTTTTTTTTTTTTCAAAAACGAATCTAAATATTAAAAAAAGTGTGAGAAAAGTTTATTTCTAAAACAGTCCATTTTTTTCAAGGAGTAATTTCTTAAGTGTTCTTTAACAACAAGAAACTTTATTCATCGTTATATTCAAATGAAAATAAAAAATATATATATATTATTGTACAATTATTGTAAACAAAAAGTAAAATTTTTATTTTATTTTTTTCCTCCCAAATCATACAACATACGCCATTTTGTATCTTCAAAAGAAACACCCATCAACTTTTATTTTGTTAAAAACAGGCCTTGAAGTTTATTTCTTTCCAAAAGGGACCCTATTCAAGTTTCAATATTTTTTAATTACTACTGGAAAATAAATGATTTCCGGAAACACATTCATAAAATAAGGAATTCCTTAATATATTTGTTTTTAAATATTGTTTTTTATAGAATAATTAGGGGGTCACTTTGAAAATAAACGACTCAAATTTAAACAAAAATATCCTGCATAAAAAGCTTTATTCTTTCCATAAAAATAGATTTTTTTTATAGGCCTCTAAGAACCACTTAAAAATTATTTTAAGTAGCTTTATTTTTGTTCCTGAGTAAATTCTGTTGTTTAAAAAAAAATGAAATATACGAAACATTTGAAGGTCATCGTTTATTACTATTTACTCTTTGCGTTGATAACCTTCACATTTCGCCATTGAGCACTTCTCGCACGTCTTTGAAAATCACGTGGATTAAGGTTGGCGTGAATCACACGGTTCATACCGTGAAAAACATTTGCTTGACACACGATAATATGAAGTTAGTCCTTGTGTTGTAGATAACGAAATATTTTGTACCTTAATACAAACTTTTTACCGTTAATTTGAGTTTTTCACAAAAATTCTCTCCCTTCCCTCTCCCACATAAAAATTGTATTTGAACGTGAAACAGATGTTAACACAATTATAAGATTTTTAATTTAATGTAATTAATTCAATTAATACCATTTTTAATATAACTCTATTTCCCATATATATAAAAGAATACATAAGAGCTACAATGATGCCAGATCAGTTTTATGCAATATTATCAAATTAAATTTAGAAAATTACAATAATGTTAGAAGGATATATGCATTTCTCTCAAATAATCCTTTTTTTTTATAGTAGTTGAAACAGTACTATAAATAGATATAGTAGTTTCTTCATTAAATATAACATTCATGAATATGGTCATCTATTTTTCTACACAAATGTATTTTCCTTTGAATAAAGTTTTCAATTGTTCTTTTGATTAATTTTTTTTAGTGTTCATACTAACATAAATCTTCAAGAATGCATCTGACTTAAATAAATGTCAGTGTTAATCAGGGCTGCACAGAAGAGGATTTCATGGTGCAAGTTGCCCCATCAAAATTTTTGAGAGGGCACATTTTGATGGGGTTTTCAATTTTTGAGGGGGGCAAATTTCGACAGGGCTATGAATTTTTGAAGTAACAAGTTTCAAAACAGAGAACTAGGAGTTGTCTAATACTACTTTCGCTTGCACTGTTTTTAAGATGAGAAGAGAAATACAATTTTTGGAGAGAGGGGATGATTCATGCTCCATCAACCTTGGGGGGGAGGAAAGGAGATGGGCATCCCTGATGTTAATTATTATGATGAAATTTTAACATTTTAATGCAAGTAACAACAACATGGAGTTAAAATAAACCTTCCTGGAGTCTATGGGGTGAACTTACAAAGTTATCAATAATGAGAAACTATCAACTATCACCTACACCTAAACCCAATTAGACAAACAACATTTTTATTACAACTCAATTAATATCAGAAACAGTACAATCATAGAACAATGACACATACACCATTTTTTTTCTCAAAACTTCATTTTAAAAATTAAATTAAATTGAATGAAAAATAATTGACTGTAGATAATATGATTAGAAGTTAGAATGGATAGAATAAAATATAACTATGACTTATGACAAAAAATATCTCTTAAAGTATTATAGCTCATGTAATTACATTTAATAAGACTTCAAAAATCACTTAAACACCATTTCATATTGGTAGTTTCTTTCTTTCAAAGAAATTATCATTATATATAGATAAATATATAAAAAGATTTTGTAGATATAAAAAGCCCTCCCCCAAAAAAATTAAATCCTGTGGTTGGAGATTGCAGTAACAGAGAAATGTAATTTAATTTTCTTTTTTTTTTATCTGTAATTGCAATCCCTAATGAATTGCTCAGCCATGAAATTACTTTCAATAATATATATTTTATATTGACAAAACATTCTCTATAATTTGGCTGTAAATTACTTCAACTAAGTGGCTATTATTATTTTAATTTTATATAAAAAAAAATATTTGTTATATATTTTAAAGATGAATCTGCTGGGCAAACCGAAAAAATTCTGTTTTCAATTTTTTAAAGCATATATTTCCTAGATAATTTGCCAAGAAACAATGAAAACTTGATCTCTTTAAAACACTGCACTCCCAACATCAATGTTTTACTTTTTCTTGATCCGTTTATGTAATTAGGCATAAAAATATATATTCTTCAAATAGATTAACCATTGAAATTTTGCTAATTCTCTTGGCAATTTTATTTATTTAGGAGGAAAGCTGGTGCACCATTCAAATTCAGAAAATCGGAATTCAAAAGATCTCTTAACATCAGAACTGTTTTTTACTGAATGAGATTAGTAATATTGCACTTCAATATGGTCAATTATTTTAAATATTCATATAGAACTGCTTCAAAGAAAGTAATTCTAAAATAATTATAAATAAATAAAAATAAACAATCTTTCTCCAATTTCGAAGGAATGTGGTTCTATTGTTAGGAATTCATAGCCAGGTATTCTTCCATTGGAAAATGTACAAGTTTTCTATTTGTAATTCGGTTTAGTTGAGAAAACCCCAATGCCTTGTGAAATTAAATACTTTCAAGCATATTTCATTATGATATTATTTTTGCTCACAAACTCTGTAATAAAGTTATATGAGAAGGAGTTAGTCGAGGGTGCGGTCAAATAAATAAAAAATTAAAATATATTAATTATTTTAAAAAAGTTTTGTATCTTTTGTAGCCCTGAAGACGACCTGCAAAGTGGGTCGAAATGTCGGAAAAAATTAAAATAATTAATATATTTTAATTTTTTATTTATTTGACCGCACCCTCGACTAACTCCTTCTCATATTATATCAACGGTCAACCATCTCTACATCATTATAATAAAGTTATAGATTAAGATATTTGTCCTGAGCAATCTAAATATTTTGATATCCACGTACCTCCTCATCAAACAAGGCAATATTTTATTTTTTCCTAAGTTATAATAAACAAAATTGTATAAAGTTTTAAAGCAAAGCATAAATGATGCATACCATTAACATATTGCCAGATCATAAAGATTAGTTACATTTTGTTTATCACAACTAAATTTTCATCAATCGAATACATTAATATTCAACTTCTATTAAAATATTGTTTGTTTTTTTCAACATTATACTGTTATAATATAGCTTGTTCTTTTTTTTATTTTATTTTTTTTTATTTAAGGTATCTTATCTGTACATTAAGTTTTATTTTATTCTTTATAATTTTTGTTTTTGTCAATAAATTACCTAAATACAACTTTTGTATTATATTAAATAATGTAATATGATAAATTGAGTTGTTGTTCAGCCTTCAAACCTTTGCCCAGGTTATGACTATATGTTTATAAGTTCAAATTATCTTGTATATAGGTAACTGGGTGAACAATAACATGATATGCCTAGAAAGAGAACGGATCAGGTTATTACAGAAAATACTTTTTAGACTTTAGAACTTTTTATTGTGATTGGTGAAAAAATATCAGAACTATATTATTTCTGGCATTGAAAAATAAAACCCATCATGAGGTTATTATACACATGAGGGAAAACGGAATTTTCTGCCAGCATACTTGGCACTACTTCCAAGTTCTTCTTCTATACGCAACAGTTGGTTATATTTAGCACACCGTTCTGAACGGCAAGGTGCTCCAGTCTTAATTTGTCCAGTGCCGAGGCCGACGACAAGATCAGCAATGAATGTATCTTCGGTTTCCCCAGACCTTAAAAATCAAATAACAACAATAATGAACGATAGATGATATAATTTCAAGGTAATGGAAAATTAATTTTAAAGCATACCTGTGAGATACCATAGTTCCCCAACCATTGGCTTTTGCAAGATTATGAGCATCAATGGCTTCTGTAATACTTCCAATTTGGTTAACTTTAAGAAGAAGGCAGTTACATGCTTTCTTTTCAACGGCAGTATAGATACGTTTAGGATTGGTCACGGTCAAATCATCACCAACAATCTAAAATGGATGGGACAAATTTCAAAATGGAACTTGAAACTTAACCTATATATTTAATATTGAATTAAATTTATTTATTTTTAAAAAATATTATTTTATTATTCAACCTAAATAAACACACCTGAATATTTGACTGTCCAGTGAAATTACTCCATGCTGCCCAATCGTCTTGGTCAAATGGATCTTCTATTGAAACAATTGGGTAATCTTTGACAAATGAATGATAAAGTTCCGTAAGCTTGTCGGCAGGGATCTTCAGACTGGCATCTCCTTGAGGGTTTTTGAAGTCCAAATCATATACACCATCTCTGTTGGATAAAATAATATTACCACATGATAAGAAAATATAGATTAAATAAAACCTAAAATAAATCTTGATAAAATATTTTTCACATACTTGAAAAACTCTGAGGCAGCCACATCCATTCCAATTTCAATCCTTCCGGTGTAACCAGCTTTTTCAATAGCAGTCTTAATAAGTTCCAAACCTTGTTTATTGTCAAGTATATTTGGAGCAAAACCACCCTCATCACCAACAGCGGTCGCATCTAATCCAAACTGGGACTTGATGACGGCTTTCAAGTGATGGTATACTTCAGTTCCCATTTTCATTGCTTCCGTGAAATTGCAAGCGCCTAAAATAAAATATCAAATCTGATTAAAAATGGAATCATAAAATTGATTTATGTCAGAGTAATATGAATAACCGAATGACTGAACAAGTACTTCTCCAAGTTAGAGATGGGCAGATGAATCTTGAATGAATGAATTTTGTGTGACAATTGAATCAAACAATCGATCACACAAAAGAATCATGATTCACTTGGAATCGGTTGATTCACTGAAATTCTCGATCACACTGCTACATCACTCTCAGTTCTTCCCTAATGTTCACCGAGTTTACTCTAGGAAATCTTCCAGTTGTGTTTCATTATTTACTGGTTTTTTTTTTTTACTTCCACTTACCTATACATGTAATATATAGTAATGGTAAGTATTGAGATCATGAAAATTTTTTCAACGGAGTTTTCAATGGAAATACACGTTTTGAGGTCCAAATAACCAAGTCCCGCAAAATGGTGTGTGTGTTAACAGTCTAGCTCATAAACAAATAGTCATACGGTAGTGAAATTGCATATTTAAGGTTTTTATATGCTAGGGATGTTACAGCAACTTTTTCGTCGAAATTGGCTAACCGGAAGTGACACAATGGACTAAACATATTTTTATGATTATCATGAAAACTGCTCTAACAGTTTTGATTAAATTCATCATACCAGTGTAAAATTAAGCAGTTTTAAATAAAATATAGTTATTATTCTGATTGATGTACTCTAACAGGGCTTAACTGGCTAATTTTCAATATTAGCTTCCTCTAAAGTACCTTTAATTTTTTTTTTAATTGAAACAATTGACCATTTCACATTAATTTCTAATATCATGGTTAAATATAAAATATCAATGAATTTGATAAATAACTAAAGGAGAAATAAGAGATTGTAACAGAGAATAGTTGTAATTGAGGAACCCAAGTTCGCCCGAAAGATTAGAACACGCTTCCATACGTAGTAATATAATATGGACTCCGACAATATTATATAAATATACATATGTGGTTTTCATAAATTCTATTGTCGATATTATTTAATATTTAATTTTATAGATTATAGCGATATAAATATTAACATTTGTATATATGAGGGTACTTATACAAACAAAAATACTCACGATGAAGTATAAATAAATATAGTCTATAATTTTTACTTTCACTTTGCTTTGTCTGAAAATACTTATTTCTGCTAAGAAGAGGGTGGTAAGTGATAGTTGTGTGATGCGCGAATCGCACCAGATTTTTTACTTAGGGAATCAACTCTTCCATGAGCATTTCGCACTTCAGACATTTATAACCTATGCTTACTTACATTACTATTTTTGTTTACTTTTTTTTCTGTTTGTTTTATTTATAAATGATAAATCTCTCTTTCACTTCTACTTTCAATTATCTATTATTTTGTAAATATTAAATTTAATGCGTAGTCACACTGTCATGTTTTATTTACTTTGAATTTATAATGTGTTCTAAATGAACATCAGCCCAATGATCAATTTATATATACAGACCAAATCTAATATGTAAAATTAAAAAAAAAAAAATAAACACTTTTTCTGTCAAATTTAAACTTCCTTCCAACTTATAAAAGTCATAAATTTTTATTTATTTGAACCAGGACTTTTAATTTAAATCAGTCAAAAAAGAAAAAAAAAAATTTTTATGTCTGAATAACCATAAGGTTTGAGAATTTTTTTTTTCAATATAAAGCCCATTTTTTATTTAAAAAAATAAGGAAAACAATCAATCTAAGAATCGATTCACGACAATGATTGAATCGTAACGAATCGATTCAGTTGAAAGAATCGAATTTGCCATTTTAACCCGTAGTAGTAGTAGTACTCCACAATGATGGATGGGCACAAGACTTTATACTATAAAAAATGGCCTAGGGAATGAAAAGTTGATGAAGGTGACTGAACCGTCTACTAAGGCCCTGACCTCAACTGAAAACGAGAGAGCGTAGTAAATGTTAGTTGAAAGCAACAATGTAATCAAAGCACCAAAATTAACTAAAAAGGACCAGTTGGTATATTGTGAAAGCCATCATTATCACGATCTTAATAAAGAGAGGTTACTTTGTTTGTTGAATACACTTACCAGTAGGTAAAATCATGAATTCCTGCATGGCAAGCTTGTTACCAGCATGAGAACCTCCATTGATTACATTAAAAGCTGGCACAGGTAATATTAGATTAGTATTACAAGACAGTTCAGCAATGTATCTAAAATGAATACAAGCCTGATTAAAGAAAATAAAAAATTCATAACAATATAATTAGCTTAAATAAAGGTAGGTACACATGGTTAATTTCCTTGATCAAAGTCTTAAAGAAATGCACTTTGGCCAAGATATTAAACTAATGGGTTTTGATAAATCATAAGAATTGATTGCTTCAATATGTTAGAAATTTATTTCTAATTTATTAGAAATCTATTTCTTATTAGTAGTTTAATTTTTCCCCTCATTTATTGTTTTATGAAAATTGTTTTAATAAATGGAGGATTGATCTATATTAAATTAAGATAAATAAAGTAACGAAATAATATTATAAAAATAGTTTTATGAAACAATAATATTTAAAAATAAAACAACGAACTTGTATAATGGAATGCCTTTCTCAGCTGCTCCAGCTTTACAAACTGCCAGTGAAACTCCCAAGATGGCGTTGGCACCCAAATTCTTTTTATTTTCTGTTCCATCAAGTTGCAGAAGGAAACAATCGATATCTTTTTGTTGAACAACACTCAAACCCTAAACAATTCAGTTAATTACTATACGATTGTACTGAAATACTATAGATCAATATTATACAGCAATTTATATTACTCTGTGGTACAGACCCCCTTTTTTTTTTTTTTTAAATTATTAACATCCACCTGAAACTTCATAAATAGTTTCATCTCATTGCAATCGACAACTATTTTATTTATGAAAACTCTTGGAATTGGGGCATTTTCAATCTGGTCAGCGGCAAACTTCATCTATTTAATTAGGTATTATTTATATATTTTAATTTTTTTTTTAATTATTTGACCGCACCCTCAACTAACTCCTTCTCATATTTAATTAGGTACTACAAACTCGTAAATACCCATTTGCTTCCCACTTGGATCGTAAGATAATTTGAACAAAAATTGAGAAAAAAGGTGGCCTACAAAAATATTGGGCTGTTTGGCCTATATAACCTCCTTATTTTGACATTTTGGGTGTGTACATCATGCCAAATGGTTCAATATTTTTGAAGGCCACCATTTTCCTCGATTTTGTGCTCAAATTATTTTATAATTCTAATGGAAAGCCGTATACTTCCCAATACGGCTGGTCCCCGCGGGAAGTTAGACCATTACCCTCTTAATTGGGAAGGCCTACAAGTTGTAAGACTTGTAAAAACAGGCTATACAAAAAAAAAAAAAAAAAAAAAAATGGAAAGCATATGGGTATTTACCAATTTTTAATATCTAATTAAAAAAAATGAAGTTTTGCCGATCTCCAGATTGAAAATGCCCCAATTCCAAGAATTTTCATAAATAAAATAGTAGTCGGTTATGATGAGATGAAGCTATTTACAAAGTTTCAGGCGGATGTTAATAATTTGATAAAAAGGGATCTGTACCACAGATTATATGGTTTTAAGTTACACAGCTAAATAATTGCTTCATTTTTAAGGTTTATAATTTTTAATCGTAAATCCATAATTGGCTTTAGTTTTACTCCATCACCCACAGTTACAATATTACTTTACAATAAGTAAAAAAATAACAAGACAAGATCAAAATATAATCAAACAAATGATAGACAATTTCTTTTGAAGAGTTGTCACTGTTAAGGTTAGTGTCAATTACATTTTTAGATGAAAAATTATAAACAGTGTAAATAGAAAATATATAAAAGTATTAAGAACATTAAAATATAAACAGACTAAATTAAGTTTAAATCTGTACCCTGGAGGTATAGAACACTATATCCATTTTTGTATTTCTTCAGGGGGGACAATATTTCATAATTTTGAGCTATTAAAATTTGTTTCTTCATTACTAAATCTGCACTTCAGTGGTAAAAGACATGATGGCACATTTTTTTATTTGTTGAGAAAGTCAATTATCCATATCTTTGAAATATTAAAATTTTTTGAGTTACTAAATTATTCAATACAAAAATGGAAACAGCTTCTTTTACCTCTGGGGCACAGATATTTTAATGTTCTTGATACTTTTGTATACATTCTATTCACACAAATTATATTTTTATGGGTGTTAAATACAAAACCTGTAGTAAGGATAATTTAAAAAAGAATAAATTAAATTTTAATTCATTGATAAGAAAACGAATAAATTGTTCAATTTAGTTGTTTTTAATCAAAACTGCTAAAATATAAGGTGTCCTACAAAATTTTGGGTCATTTGGCCTATATAACCTCATTATTTTGGCATGTTAGAGGTGGAGGTCACACCAAACAGTCTTATATTTTTGTAGGCCTCCTTTTTTCTTGATTTTGTGATTTTTTTTTTTTATTCTTCCCTACCTTGCATGTTAGGCTATACGGGGGTTTTCCTGGGCCAGGGGGTGAGGGCGGAGAATTTAAAAGATCCTCAAGGCACTGGGATGCGAACTCGTAATTTTACTGTCTCCAACTTCTGTTATCAGGTTGTCAGGCAACGTGAGGTGCTGTGACACACATTAGTCCGTTCCCTTGATTTCGTGATCAAATTATCTTACAATTAAAGTGGAAAGCTAATGATTGTTCATTAGTTTTTGGTACCTAATTAAATAAGAGAAATTTTTGTTATGTCTAGGTTAAAAACGCATCGATTTTGAGAATTTTTGTAATAGTTGTAGGTTAAGGCGAGACAAATTTGCTCATACAGTTTCAAGCAGATACTAATAATTTGATAAAGAAAAGGGTTTGTACCACGAAGTATATCTTAAAACATAAATCCTTCTAATTTTGAGGAGAATTAATTTTTGTTACTTGGTTTAAAAGGGTTTAAGTTTGGTTTAAATTGATGAAAATAATAAACCATCATGGTTATTTATAACTCATCAATCCTTTCCCTCCCATCATTCTTTATATATTTCCTCTCTCATCTACCATTATAAAGATAATAAATTAATAAAATAAATAATTACACTTTTGATGAGCTGAGGGGCTATGGTTTCATTGATATTACAAACTGCCTTAAATACACTTTTTCCATGGTATTGACCTTTATCTCCATCTCTAAGTTCGAGCGCTTCATGAACACCAGTTGAAGCTCCTGAAGGCACAGCAGCACGGAAGAGACCTTTGCTAGTAACTAAGTCAACCTTTGAAAATAAAAAACACAAAGTTGTAACAATTATTATTCATAGAATATTTTCAGTGAAAATCTTTCTGAATCATCAATAAAATATAAAACACCTTCAATTACACATAATTATGCAATTATATATGTATTTTTTAATTCTAACTTAGTATTTGTAACTGGTATTAGACATTTTTATTTTTGGTTTCTAAGAAGATTAATTGTTAAAAATAAGCTTATGATTGAAAATAAAATATCATTGATCAACTTATGTACTAATTTTTTTTACATAAGCCAGTTATGAATGAATATATCTTGTATTTAAAATAACAGAGTAAAAACATAAAAGAATTCACCAGTTGCAGAATGAAAATATTTGAAATAATTTAAAATTATTTATAAATAAATTAATTGGAAATAAATATTGAAATAGAAGATACTAAAATAGAAAAGATAAAAAACAGAGTGTACTAATAATGACCAATATGATAAGGAAGTCCAAGGTTAAAAAAAATGGTTTTATTCAATGAATAGATTCAGTTTAAATTAAAAAGTTGTTTCCGTTCCAAACTAGCTTCAAAATTTTCAAACATTAAAAATATTTTTTAACAATTAGTTATTTGAAAAAATTCATTTATTCCTAATATATATGAAGTAAATACAATAACAATAAATCTAATGGAATGTATTAACATATGTAAATTAATAATAATATAAGAGGATAATTAATGGTATTCAGGGCTAAAATTGCAAAGAAGTGACCTTGAATAAGTCAAGGGCATAAAAAGCTTTTTGAAAAAAATATACAGCCTTTAAAACCGGTCAAAATCTTCTTATTTTCAATGTACCAAGTAAAATATCAGAAGAACTAGTTTGAAAAGATAAATCCTTTAATAAATAACAATAAAGCCATATGAATTCGTTAATGTTAATTATAAAATTTAATAGTGTTGTATGAAATATAACACCTTGATAGAAAATTTGGTACAAATTAATTAAATTTCTAGTAGTTATGGTAATGTTAAATATAAAATTATTTTCAAACCATGATTTTATATTATAATAAAATAAGTGTAACAATAATTATGAATAATATTGAGAATAATTCAATGATAAACAATCTAAATATATCCGTATGTATAAGTTATAACTGAAGTGAAATTAAATAAAAATAATTTACAATGGCAATACACTTTCCGTTAATCAATTGAAAAATCAATATTTGATTTAATACAGAGAATAGGTTATATTATTAATGTTACATACATAATGTCATATTCAAAAAGAAAGTGAACTGATTTCTAAATTGAAGTCACACCAAATGGGTGTGACTCCTATTAACTTGATTGAGTAATAAGCAATAACTTACTTCAACAGTTGGGTTTCCTCTGGAATCAAAAATTTGTCTGGCGAGAAGTTTCTGAATTGACATGATTATTTTAGTATCCTTCTTTACCTTTCTATTTCATGGACACAAAAATTATAAAAGTTAAAAAAATTGCACAACAAAAATATCAAGTTAGGAAATAGAATAACAATCCAATAATTCAATTACTTAAAAAAGCAGAACTTGGACATGCTTCACTTCTATTCTACAACTGATATTACAAATATTAAATCAGAAAATTTAAAAATAACTCAATAATGTAAATTACTTAAAAAAAGAGAACTTGGGACATTTTTCACTTCTATTCTACAATTGATACAAAAAACACTGTGATTTTGGGTTGGTATTCTATTTAGGGGCCTGAAAAATACATGTAGAGTAAGTGTAACATATTACTTAGATCATTCTAATAAAACTAAAATAAATATAATAATGATAATAAAAATACAAATGAGACCAGGTGTTAATGAACAAAAATAAATTTATAAAACCGGTAAGGAAGTTGATAAGTTATCAGAATTGAAGAAACGTGAAAAATGTATTCATTGTATTGAAAATTATTATAAATGAAGTTGTTAACAACTTAATATATCAAATAATGATTACCAAAAAGTTTAAGTTGAGATATAATAAGTATCAAAAGCTATATATTGTTGAAGAGAAGAACGCAGAGTGGAGCTGCCGGACTACTGATTGAAGGGGGGAGTTGGTCGTGCCATCAGTTCAACTCATGATAAATTTCCTTTGATAACAATACCTATTATCAATATCTGTCAATCTATCCTCGAGTATATTTAGAAATTGAGAAATCGATGCCTCAGAGGATATGAAATATTCATATTTCGAAAAATATTTATCAAGATTTATAATTATTATTTCTTATTCTTATAGAGTTATGGATTAATAATATTTAATAAAACGGGATAGTAATTTAATAATAAAAAGGGATAGTAAAAAGAAGATAAAACGTCCTTTATTGCCTAATATACAATGAATAAGTTAGAAATTTAAAAAAAAAAAGATTTCTTAATTAATTTTTATTTCTGAAGTTAACCTATAACAATATGTCAATCCATAACTAATTTAAGCCTTCTCGGATATACTATAACATTCCCTTAATATTACGGACTTTTAATTCCTTTAAAACAAGTTTTAATTTTATTTACATCGCATCTATTCCATTTGACGCAAGCAGGAAGAAATTGTAAACAATAAGTTGCAAGGTTAATCGATTAATCAGCTGATCACTCAGATGTTATTTACCTCCCTGAGTAGATGTAGTTTTTAAGCTTCTTCATTAAATTTAAATTGACCAAATCATATCTTATAGTTTTTGTATTTTAACTTTTAAATATGATGTCCCCTGCGACTGTCGATTCTAAAAGATGTGTTGTCTTTCCAGGAATACTGTGAGGTGAGCGTTTCCTTTGTGTTCTTATCATTTCACTCAGTTATTTCTTATTGAAAGTTATGTGTCATTTCTTAAAATTAAATAGTTTTTTAAAAGTACATTTGTATGTAATGGTTATTTTACTTTTTATCGATATCGAAATCGTTTAATATTATTAATTACTTCATGCTCTTTATAAATCGTTTCAAAACACTTATTTTCTGCATTTAATATTGTTCTGTGTAGTTATTGTAATGATTAACCCAAATATTCTTTATAATTTAGATATTAAAAGTCATTTCTTCAAGCTGGAAGAATCAGTTCCTTATATAGCCAACATTAATTCCTGATGCCAACCTCTCTCTTAATGTGTGGATTGAATTCAAATTAGCTCCCCATACTTTTGTGGTGCAGATGAAAAGAAAAAGGTAATATGCAGTGATTGGCTTTATATTCAATTTTATTTTTGGCCTATATTCAATTTATATTTTGCCTTTCTCTGTTTAGGATATATCAAAATGGTTAGCATGAGTTCAACTCTAGTCGAAACAGTTTCAATTAACTATGAAGACTTCAATGAAAGTTTCCTCACTTGTGGAACCTGTTTATGTAAGTATACCGATTTAAGTTGATACTTGACAGCATATAAATTAATTTGTTTCTGATGCATTATAAATATTAAACACTTGTTATTGTCTTATACCAGATTTAAAATATTTTTATAGGTAGAATTTATGTTTTCGCTTATCATTTACCCTTTAATTGTTCCATTCTTCTCTAAAGTCTATTAAATGTTTTTGTTTCTCTTTCTGTTATCTGTTACTTTACATTATCTTTTTTTTATATCAAAATATTCTATTCATAGAATATATTTAAAACACTCCATTATAAATGTTTAACAGCGTCATCATTTAGCTTTATAATGTCCTAGTGATAACATAAAAGTTCATATTTATTTTATTGTTTATGTAACTATAAAAATGTTGGGATTATAACCAAATGATTTATAAAATTTATTTAATTAAAAAAAAATCATTTTTTAATTATATTTCCATATGTTTTATTGTTGTTTGTGATGATTAAAAGAAAAAAAATAATAATATCTGGTTCTGATAATATAGTAGTAAAAATCTTTATAATTTTTTTTTATTTCATACAAATCAGTATTCATTTATTTGTTAATATTTTTAGTAAATGAAAGTATGAAGTAATATTAAGAGTTCTTGACTTGTTTTTTTATTCATTGCTATGAATTATTGCTTCTTACGAATAGAAATATTAAAATTATCGCTAAAAACTTTTTTTTAAATGCTTAGTGGATGCTTGGCTTCAGTAGACATTGCAGACCTTGAAACATTATTTTTGTAATGTTGCAGTTAGAACTTTATATTCATATTTTCTCTTTCAAATTTTTATCCTTATCATTTCTCTGTTTTTATTACACCTTTCAAATTTCTTATTTATATTTAATTTAATGGATAAACAGTTTTAATTTATTTTTATTTTAAATTCAATTAATGCATTAATAAAAAAGAATAGTGGGACAATTTTATGTTTATTTTTATCTGTGGAAAATGGTTTTAATTCTTATGCTGACTGCCAACTACTCATTGATTAGTTGAATGTGTTATAAACTTTTATCAATATGCACAAATTACCTTGTATTTCCCTTATACAAACAGTTTCTTGTTAATTTATAATTTAAACTTCGCTTCAAAATAATCTGTAATATTTGTTTTGTGTTTTTTAAAAGAAAATATCCCATATGATTTTTGATCATTAATATGTACTATAGAAGGCCTTGATGCAAGATCGAGATAAGTCCAGAATTACTAATTATTGCAGAATACCTTATAAAATTAAATAAGAAAACAAGGTCAGTTAGGAATTAGGCTTTGAATAAATACACAAGTCTACAACTAATCTTATTGTTGCCATAAGTGTAACATCCATTCATTAAATTGTCGAAAACAAGATGAATCCAGACATAACTGATTTTGGACCGAAGTGTAACAGAGTTTCTATTGGTCAATGATGTATTCTTTCCCTCATTTTTTACATAATTGGAGAGGACTGGCGTTTCTGGTTCTTCCACCAATTGAAACAGTAATATTGTTTACAGACAAACATGTATTAAACAAGAAATTGGAATATTTGGGCTTCTTTTATTAAGGCTCTCACTTACAATATACAATTTAGCTATACTATATATGAACCTTTCAGTTGCCAGAATGACTTACTTTAATTTCAACAATTTTCGATTATTAGTTTTAGTGATATTTCTAGTGAGTTTATAACTTTATTCACAATTCTCTCTGTAATCAACTTAATCACTGTCTGTACAGATATTATAAATTTTCTAACTAGAAATATCACTAAAATGACTTTACTAAAAAATGTTGAAATTGGAGTTAGCCATTCTGTCAACTGAAAGGCTCAATTGTATACTGCTAAAATAATATGTGAAGTTTCCTTTTCTTCTAAACATTTTTAAAGACTTTTCTGAGGGATGTTCTTATTTTTTACATGTGAATAATATAATCTTCAAAATGATACCTCATTAATTGAATTTAATGAAGAATTAACTAAGAAGCAGCCTGTCCAAAGAGAAACGTATCATTTCTTTTGATGGACAGGAGCGCTATTAAATGTATACGTGTCACTGTGGACTCAATAAGCATCTTTTAACCTGGGCTTAACTGTGGCACCTACCTGTAGGCTTTGTGGCCTGGAGGTCGAGACTGCTTATCATATTATATTAGTGGCTTAATATCGAAGATGGACATCTGTGATTTTTAAAAAACTGAGAAAAAGTCCATTTTCTGTAACACAGCTTCAATTTTAACTAATTCTAATGATTTTTTTTTTTTCATGATTCAACTTGAACATTCTTAATTAAAATCATCAGGTGAATACTACTTATGCGATGAAGTGTGGGCACCGGCTGGGGTCGTACCTAACACAAAGGTCTTAACCAACCCCAACCTAGCCTCATACTCCGGGCAGGTATTAAAGATGTGAGCACACAACCAGTGCTCACGGAATGGCCAAGCTCTACTATCAAAGCTTTCCACATCAGAAACATTTAGTGTTAAACCTATAAAACAAAAACTGACTTTTTCTCCTCTTTCTGAAAATGACAGATGTCTGTCTTTGATATGAAGCTGCTCATATGCGTATATGGAGACTTTGCTAGGCTGCGGTATTTTCATTGTGGAAATAACTCTATTACTGATCCCAAACTTCACTAATTGATTATTCCATCACCTTAATGAAGTTCACAAAGGCCTCTGGTATATTGTAACAAAGAATATGCCTCAATACACCTTTGTCGGGTTAAAAAAGAAGATATGGAGTAAAAAAAAAAAAAAAAAAAAAAAAAAAGAAAGAACCTTTGAGAAATAATATATAAAGATTTTACTAAAGGTGCCGATGATCTAGATGTTGAGGAGTTGTTGGCCAATCGTTATTTTCTTTAACGTCAAAGGAAATTTATTTATTGAACTTATTCTCTTAATAGATTAGAAAATAATATGAGCTCACCTAGTTGATAGTTTGAAAAAATACCGTTGAACACATGTTAAATGCATGGAGATCAATCTTGAGCTGATAAGTATTATAGCAGCTGTTAATATTATTATGATAAGGTGAACATGTCAATTGTTTTAACAAAACAATTTCTCTTATTTACCATGTGGGAAAGAAAACAAAAATTTGAAATATAAAGAAAATAAATCTGTTGTTGTCATTTGGTTGCTGCTATTTGGTGAACATAATAAATTTGATGTTATCTTTAAATATATTCACTCTTTGATATAAATTTCAAATTATCTTTACAATTATAAAATGAATGAGTTATTTTTAGTGTGTGAGTAACTCAATAGTGCTTACTAAAAAAAACAAATACAATACATTCCCAGATCTTTCAGTGATTTTTCTAATTGGATTAAAGAAATAGCAAACCTTTCAATCATAGAAAATTATTTATATTTGGAATGGATCATGTATTCCATCTCTCTCTCTCTTTTTTTTCCTGTAACATAGCTTTGAAACGTTTTGCAGGATTTTTCTCTGGCCAGGGGAGAGGGCGAGGGATTAATACAGAGTTGAAAGCCCTATCCTCTCCCGCCACTGGGATGTGAACTCGTAATTATTTTGTCATCTTATCTTGTTAATTTATACATGCATTAGTTCCCCTCTCCCCTCCCCGACCACCCAGCCCCCTTAAATTCCATTTTACATAGATACAAGGATTCTCTGATAACTGGGAAATGTTCATGAAGAACTTTTGACTTCACTCAAATATTGTTTTAAATACATACACCCTCTAGCAACAATCTAGCTAATCTTTATAAATGAGCAAGAATTTTTTTTTTTTTGTAGCAAATTTTAAATTTTAAATGTTCTAATTAATTTAAGATTGGCAACTAAATAATTGCAGATTTAATGAATAGGGACTTTAACAATAATGTTGTCTTTGTATACTTACTGAAATTTTGATCCTCTGATTGTTATTTGACCTTTAATATCTTCTTTATAATTCCATATAAATATTTTAATGACCAAATGTTTAGTTTAGTATTCAAATTCTGTTTGAAATGGAAGCTGATATATTCTTTTCTTTATTTTTGGAAAGGAAAAAATGCTTGACAATCATACAAAAAGTTATGTGCTGTGTATGGTGCCTTAAAAAACTTTTTAAAAAAATGTATTGTGAATATTGGTTTGTGAAATCAAATCAAAGAGAGGTTATCAATAAAAATTGTCATAGCTCTACTCATGAGATTGCAGAGAAGCTTGGTGTATCTCATATGTGCATTCAAAAGTGAATTAAAATCATCTACTCATAAAATCGACAATTATTTAGTTGCCAACCCTATAGAACATTTTACTTATTTTTAAGATCTAGGGAATAGGAAATGAGTGAAATTAGATAAAAAATAATTTTATTCATTAGAGCTCACATTGTATAAAAAATAAATATCTATAATATAAATAAACTAATGAATGGTTAGGAGCGGGATGGCCGAGCTGACTAACGTCTGTGTACAGCACCCTGCGTTGCTGGGCAGCCTGATAACGAAGTTACAGACGACAAAATAATTACAAGTTCGCGTCCCGGTGCCAGGGGATCTTTTAACTCTGTCATTAATCCCTCGCCCTCATCCCCTAACCCGGGAAAACCCCTTTATAACCTAAAAGGCGAGGAAGAAAAAAAATAAACTAATAGATAATTGAAACACATATTATAATTAATAACGTTTTTATTAATGAAACATTAGTTATTGGAATTTTTATTTCAGGTATGTATGATGGTGGTGAACACACTCCGAAACTGTTGGCATGCTCTCATACTGTTTGCCTTCATTGCCTGTCTCGAATTGCTGGACAAAACCCAGCATCACCTACTTTCCGCTGCCCGATATGCAGAGATAACATTACCGTTCCTCGAGGTGGAGTTGCTGCTCTGCCTCCGAGTTTTCTAGTCAATCAACTATTGGACTTAATGGCTTCCCAAAGAAGGGAAGTTGTGCCGAAATGTTCTGTCCATTTTAATCAGGTAATTAAAAATGGTCATTAAAATTTCCTACAACTTTGTTGATTGATTTAATTAAAACTGACACATGAATTTGTAAGTTTTTTAAATAGGATAAAAAATTAATATGTGTAGCACAATCATCAATATGACCAAGTCAAAATAAAATAGGTCAGAGAAATCAGTAGTTTAGGCAGGTAATAAAGAGAAGTGCAGCTGGGGTGTATCATTCCTGACAATATGAAATAGCTAATAATCTGTAATAATTTATATTATTTGTTATTTAAATAAAACAAGAAATGATAAATTAGAACACAGTGCATTAAAAAATATGTTAATAATCTACTATATGTTATATAGGGAAAAGGGAGGGGGAACAGAGTAGCTCAGTGACTAGCACTGGACTATTATTATTAAATATTAAAATATTCATAATGGTGTGGAGATTGTTGGCTGTGATAAAAATTGAGAAGGTTGGTCGGGGGTACGGTCAATATAGATAATACTATAGTAGTATTTTGTTGCATTTGATGACGTTTCGACGTATGTTGCTGGTCTTCATGAGGGCATTACATCTGGCACTGCTGGAAGCTGTTGGGGGACTGAGTCTGAGAAGGCTCCTAACTACATCCAGCAGAGCAGTGCTAGAGATAAAGCCCTGATAAAGACCTACTACTTCGAAACGTCAGCATGCTATAAAATACTACTATAAAATATAGTATTACATACATATATTGACCGTACATTCGACCTACTGCTTCTTAAATATTCATAGATGCCAATTTCACTAAGAATCTACCAATGTGTTTAAATAGATATATAAGTATATTCATTGAAATTTATAGTGTTATTTCTCTATTTAAAATTTTTTTAAATAATTTTTTTTCAATTAAACCTTTATCTTATAGGAGTTATTGTTTTGCGAAACCTGTGATACCGTATTCTGTTCTCAATGTACGTCTGGCTCTCATTCTTCTGCGGCCTCAGCAAGTATGTCATCATGTGAACATACAGTGATTCCTTTCAGCATCGCCATCAAGAGAATGTCTGAAATTTTACTCTACAAAGCCAACGAATGTATTTCTAAGGTGATTTTATTATTTTATTTTTTTTTTACAGTTTTCATGTGACATGGAACACTTATTTTATCAAATAGTAGTTTAAAAAAAAAATCAAAGTTTTGAATTCAATTGAATTAATCAGAAGTGTAAATGATAGAGATAAAGTTCCTGTTCAATTTATCATGCAAGACTTTTTTTTAAATACTACTTATATACTCTTAGTATTTTAATGCTAACTATAATGTTTAATACTAATAATAAATTCAGCCCTTAGATCATTTTCAATTATTAGGGAAGAAATCTTATACAAACGAAAACAACCATTACAGCCTTATTACTTTTGCTCACATATAATTTATTTTAATATAAAAATAAAATCATTTGGAAACAATTGCTCCTTATCACAATACTTAGGGTCTGTTCCAACAAAAAATCCAGGACTGCTTGTTGAAGACCATTAATTATCTATTATTAAGGTTATGTTTATTTAAACATTTTCCATTGTCATTTTAATTCATTTAAAAAAAAAATTACACTAATAAATGATCCCTTTGTATTGTTAAACTAGTTCAAAAACTTTATATAATAAATAATAACAATTTATTTAGAGCCATATTATTAATTAAATTCATGTTCAATGTCGTTCTTAAAAATCATAATTTTTATTTATATTTCTTAAATTTAGTTTTGCTATTAAATAAAAAAAAAATTATCTTTTAACATAATTTTTTTTTAAATATCTAAAATCAGTGCAAAACTCCTTATATTTGTATATCAGTATATTAACAAATTAATTTTACTAATTACCTCTGCTTAATGTTGACTTAATTTCCTTGAATCCGATTTGAAATAATATATAGTGTTTCCCAAATTTTTCTTTTGCTTGTATTTTTCTCTGTTTGTAGGATTTGAATATTTTCAAAATCAAAATTATGATCATTATTGAAAATATTTTGTACCGATGCTCTTTTTTCAACTTTTTTATGTCATTCTTATGCATTAATACTAAGTTGAGGGTAGGGCATTTTTTATTACGTTCAGGCTTTTGCTAATCCGTGGTTTAGCTTACAGAGGCTGAAGAGGCTGTGAGAGGAGAAGTAGAAAGGCTTGAAGGTGCAGCAAGAGCTTGTCTTGAGAGAGTTGAGGCTTTGTTTTCCGAGGCCCACGCAGCTGTTGAAGCTAGACGTCAGGCTGTTGTTGAACAAATCAATTGTGTTCGAGATGCGAAACTAAAAGTTCTCAGAGCTCAACTTGATACAATTCAGGCCGAAAAAGATAAGGTAGGAACTTTTATTAATTTCCTTATTATAATACATCTTATAAATAAATAGTTGTCTATGAGTAAATAGCTCATCTCCTCAGTACTGGAGTCTATAATAATATTAAAGAAATATAAATTTTTTAATACTTTTATTCTTAAATTGTAAAGGTTACTTCAGAATGTGATGGGCTACAGTATCAAGTTGAAGTCAGAAATATATCTCAAAGGATATGTTCACTTTCGCAGAAGTTAGAAAGTGTCTCTGTTCTTTCCGAGCCGAGAGAAAATTCTTTCATAGAATGTAATCTTGTGCAAGGATGCCTTACAAGCTTGGAGCAAGGTCTTAAAGCTACGGTCAGAACGACAACGACATTCCCAAGCTTTTCTACGTTGTCATCCTTAGGTAAATTTTTTAATGTTTAAGTTTAATAATCTTTAATGCAGAGGATCACTTTTAATTTTATGAATTTTTAAAATTAATTTAGCTAGACCTTTACTAGTTGACATTCTGGAGGCAGGAGGTGGGAGAATAATAATAATTAATAATAAATAATTTATAATTAAAAATTTTATTTTTTATTTTATTAATTGAAAATTAACACATTCTGCCACATTGGAGGGCATTAATATTAGGGCTACATTAATCATTCACTCAATACGTACATTCAAATTATTACTAAAATATGGATAATAAAGAAAAATAAATATTGCAAATAAAATAAGAAAGTTAATATACATATGTACAAAAAAATGAAATAATAGATAGAAACTAAATTAAATCAAAATAGATAAGACATATTCACACCTATATACAATATTTAAATTCACCCAGGGGACTCTGAGTCATGCTTTGTTTCCCAAATGTGGAAGCCAAAGCAGGACTCCAGGAGATTCCAGTGCTTCTCTCCCAGCCATGTCACTGGTATTGGAAACCAGTGGAGATTGATGGAGGGCAATAGAGCAACAGATGCTCAGGACTTGAGTGGAGAATATGGCCATTGCCAGTACTCCAATATATACATATTTACAAAAGGTTGCGGTTTTAACCTCCGAGGAGGATTGTAGGGATGGCTGGACCTATATAGGGACGGTGCTGCAGGATTTGGATGATGAGTGAGGTTCTAGTGAAATTTGAAAAATTTGTCCGGGATCAGATGAAGAACAAATGGAATACGAAGGTAATTATAAAAAAAAATAAAATTACTTACATAGTATTCCCCTGTGTTGGGTCAGTCTGCAGAATAAGTTTGGTCAATGACTAAACATTCGCTCCACTAAAAAGATCATACGTAGGGTTGGGGTGGGTAAATATTAATTTTTGTTTATAGTTTGATTTTAAGTATTTAGAATAAACTTCTGTTCTTATTTCATGTGTAATCATTATTTCAGATATTTTTTTACAAATAAAATTTATTTTATTTTTATTTTATAAATTACAAGTATTCATTTTAATAAATTAGACCTAGAGGCAAGATATATTTGTAAATATTTTGTAATTCAAAGATTAAGGGGAAAAAAAAAAAAATTTTAGTTTTACCTTTGTGCCACATGATTTCGCCTTCGAATGCCTACTTATTTTGGTCGAGCTATAAAATTATCCATGTTATTTTTAATCGTATACACTTTTTTCTTCTTTAAGAAAAATTATTTTTTTAGTGAGTTTAAATTATTGTCCTTTTGTTACATTAAAGTTTTCCAACTTTTCCCTCAGGTTATAATAAAATGCAATTAGTGTTCAAATTTTTTCTATTTGAACTCTTCAGTGATGCTATGTCCCCTCTCTTCAGCATCTAATTTGTCGCAGTATTGTGAAGTGCTGGGACACATATGTTGAAGGAGGCGGTACACCATCCCTAAAATGTTCAAATTTAAAGAATTTGATCTCTTAATCTGTTTTAGGAAGTAATATACGCATCCACAGCTACATTAAAAATGCTATATTATTATTTTTTTTTTCCCCGAGTTGGTGAAAGATATACATTATTTTCTGTATGTATGTTATAGGTGAGCATGTTGTGAATTTGGAATGTTCCATTGTTCTGACCACCATAGATTACGATGGTAACGTCAGACTTACTGGTGGGGATCCTGTAGTTGGTGAAATAACTTCACCAGCTGGAGAAACTTTCGAAGTTTTGGTTGACGATAGGGGGGATGGTACATATCACTTAAAATTTAGACCTCCTGTACCTGGAAGGTAATAATTTTGGCTTATTAATTGTCATTAGCTGTTTGTATATAATTTTTAATTACTTCTTTCCTAGTAAAAAAAAAAAAAAAATTGGTTGCCATTATAACTTTTTAAAATTACATTTCAGTTATATTTTTTGCAGTTAATAATTATTAAATAGTAATTAATTAATAATTAATAATAGTAATATTAAATTATTTATTTAAATGGTATAGTTTAAATTATTTTTATCGATGTATTTTTGATACTGATGTGGGGAAATGGAATAGAATGTATATTTCTGATTGTTAACGAGGTTCAAATGGGAATCATTTTAGTTTGTATTTGTCAAGATTTTATCACAGAAATTACTAAACTGTTGAAAAAAATTGAATGAAAATTTGTATAGTCATTTTGTAAAATAAACTTATGAACTTAAATTTTGCAGACAAAATAATGTTTGATGTACAACAAATGACATTTCTAGGTATGAAATGAAAGTGAGCGTCGTAGATAGACCTGTTAAACAGTGCCCTTATGTTTTGGAAGTAAGCGAACATAATAATCCGATCACAACTTACGGTTCCAGAGGATCAGGGAAGGATCAGCTCTTACAGCCAGTTGCTATCACATACGATCCTTCAACACAGCAGGCATGTTTATTATTTTTATTAATTTATGTATGAATCATCTAATTTTAATTGATTTTATTGAAACTGATTTACAAACTTGATTTATTAACTGTCTTGGCAAAGAATCTGGTATATATTCTATACATCATAATATGAAATATATATAATACGTTTTAAAGAATTACTCCTATAATTATTATTTCTTTTCTAATTTTAGGTCTTTGTAGTAGACACTGGAAATTCTCGTATTAAAGTCCTGAATAAAGATCTTTCATTGATAAAGCATTTGGATAATCCAGGTCTTCAGGGACGTTCTTGTACTGGGATTTCCTGTTTTACCTCGGCTGCGAGTGATCCTTGGTTGGTTGTTGTTAACTGGAGAACGCAAGCAATTACGAGGTATTAGCAGAATTATTTTTAAATAACAATAATAATTTCCTATCATTAAAAAATTATAATTTTTGTAACATTAAATTTAATACTATAATGGTTTTATATTTCGAAAGTTATAAAAAATAGTGGGTATTCTAAAAAATCTAGAGAGCACTGAATCCAGAAGGTAATATGATACAGTTTAGGCATGGTATGTGATCTATATAAAGGAAGAGTAAATATTGAGTTAGCAGTGGTCTGATTAAAACTAAAAGACATTTCTATAAAATATATAAAGAACACCTAAATAATTTGTAGATTACTAAGCATTATTAGACCAGCACCTTGTTATTTATTTATTTCAGAATGTCATTGGAAGGAGAATCTTTATCGAGTTTTACTCATTGTGGATTTCAAGAACCGATAGACATTGCTGTTGACTCAACTTATGGCCACATACTGGTCGCTGATAATGGCCCTTCATGTGTTTTCGTTTTTGATACTGAAGGAAAGTTTTTGTTTGAGGTAAGAAATATATATTACTTGACCATAATTTTTGAGGAAACTGTCACAATTAAAAAATAGTCCTTTAATTTTTATGGTAGAAAGATAATTCTAAAAATATTCCAGAAAAAGTATTGTTTTAAGTATACTACAAAAGATATGAAGGTTGATTGATTTGTATTATTTAAGTGTGTTAATCTCTTTGTTGGAGAAACTATCCTTAATTCCAAAATTAGATTTATTTGAGGATAATATTGAATAATTAAAGCTTTATGTGATTTCATAAAAATATTTTATTTTTCATTGTTCATTTTTTTTACTTTGGCTTACCTATATATGTAATATATAGTAAGAGTAAGTATTTCGATCATGAAAAATTTTTAATCTGAGTTTTCAACGGAAATTCATGTTTTGAGAGTCTAAATAAGCTAGTCCCATAAAATAGTCTGTGTGTCTTTGTGTATGTGAACAGTCTAGCTCAAAAAGGAAAAGTCGTACGAAACTGATATTACATATTTAAGATAGGTATATGCTTTGGATGTGGCAGCAACTTTTTCCTTAAAATCAGCTAACCGGAAGTGCCACTTTATATCAACGGTGAAACACATTTTTACAATTTTCTCAAAAACGGCTCTAACGATTTTGATTTAACTCAGTGAATCATTGTATAATTAAGTGGTATTTAATATCAATTAGGTCTTATCCCCATTGATGCTACTTTACACGCTTTAAATGCCCAATGTTCATATGCGTCTTCCTCTAATGTATCTTTATATGGTTTATTTAAAAAAAAATTACTCTCTTTTTATTGATAGTAACTATAAAAAATGGCTAAATATGAAGTTTGGAAGAATATGATAATTGGAAACTGAAGAAAAAAGAAAAATGCTTATCCAGGTTAAAAATGAATCTCCGGAAATAACAATCAGAATGTATACGTATAATATACCGTTGGAAAGCAGAAAATTTTAGAAAATATAATATCAAATAAATAAAGTGGTAGAAGGTAACAGAGAGCGGAAAAAAAATATAAATAATAATTTCAGAAAACTATCAATATTTAAATTAATCACATGTTTACAAGAAAATTAAATGAAATTTTCTTACTGTGTAAAAGTTAATTTTTTTTTTTTTTAATTTGAAAAAAGTATTAAAAATCCACCGAATCAAGCCAAAGCCATTGTTTAAAATACTATTTCATTGTACTTGTGTGAAAGAAGAAGTGAAATATAAAAATATTTCATGGATATATTTATAACCTTAACCTTAAATACATTTACTGTAGTTTAATAACTAGATATAATGTTATATTTGAATAATTAGTTACCTATCGGCCGTTTATCCCAAAAAATCATCAAGTAACCTTTTAGATAATTAAATTAGTGAATAATTTGATGAATTTTCCCTTTGTGAAATCCCAACGTTATTCACTTACAATCAGTGTGACAACTTTTGACCTATCCATGGTAGGCAATGAAAATCTCATAATTTCATTTTAGTATACTTGACAATGAAAAAGGTGACACATTACATCCTAGGTTGAATTGGCTCCCAATCTGGGCAGAAGAAGCATAATTTCTTGAGATTTCTCACAAGAAATTTGTCATTTATTTCATAAGATCATCAAATCTTTTTTTTTTTAATATAATTTTTTGTACTGTAATTCAAAAAGTATAGTTCTTCCTACTATGATTCTTGTAACTATCCATATTGGCAGTACTTCCCCCAGAAAAAGCTGGAAATAAACTTATAAAGGAAAGATTGAATTATTTTATTTATTTAAAATGGTTGACTACATTCATGACAGTTTGAAAAGTTATAAAATTCTCTACAAAATTAAATTAAAAAATCTTCAAAATTGGGCAATTATTTGCAAAAATACAACCTATTGTTCTTTGCGCACATTTTTTGGTTTATGATTTTTAATGAAAAATCTTTTGGATCGACATTGCTTTAATTCTATAAACAAATCACAAAAATGAAATTATTTTGTAATTTTAGTAGAAATTTAGATCTTTAAGCAATCTTAATCTGCAGGAAACACTGTATTTTATTTATAAAATTTTTATTACTAATTGAAAATTTTGTTTTTAGGTTGGTAAAAAAGGGAGTTCTAAAGGCTGCTTCAATCTGATATCAGGTGTAACAGTTGGTCCTGAAGGGGAAATCGTCGTTGCAGATTCAAGAATTCAGGTATTTTCTGCAAAAGGAGACTTCTTGCAAGAAATATATCCTCAAGGGAAAGGTAGATATTCTGAATTTCTTTATTATTAATTTTTTCGGTGAGTACATGATACTTAGGAATAGTCTCGAGAAGCAGGGTGACCGAGCAAAATACACATTGCCTGGAAAGTGATAAACTTTTTTTATTGTATTTCTCACCCTTAATTAACCATTCTTGTTATAAGCTGAGTTTTTTTTTCTAAAGGTACAACCAAACCTAATCTAACCAGAGTACTAAAAAACTTAATCTAAAGGTCGTGGTTCATTCCATGGGTCCACCACCAAATAAATTTCAACCCATCAAAATGGGATTTTAACCAGCATTGCGAGACCCGAAAATGAAAAAATTCATGACGTCGGCAACCTGATAAACTGAAGATTATGAGTTTGAGTCCCGATGCTGGGGACTTTTAGCACTGCCATTAATCCCTTGCTCTCTCCTCTAGCCCGGTAAAAATCCCATGTGGCTGAAAAGATGAGGTAGGAGAGAAAAAAAAACTTAGAAATTAAAGTTTTTTACTATATCAATAATTAAGGAATTCTCACTAAATGGCTGCTGGGTATAGTGTGTCTAACATAAATTTGCCTGTAAGGGAAGGGAGCTCGCGCAGACTTTCCTGTCTCAAGATCCACCTTCTCTTCTAACCCTAGCAATCTTCTTATTTTTCGATGTTTGATTTTCTTCTAAATTCTATTTTTGTAAAAAAAAAAATGGTGAAAGAAATTTAAAATTTTACAAAAATCCTAGAAATACGTACAAATGAGTAGAGATGAAAGAGTGGGGGATCGGCAGGGAAATGTTTTGCCGCTACATATCTCGCTCCTCTATCCGCCAGCAAATTTATCTTAGACGGACTCTATGAAGAGTCTGCTTGATGATTCAAGTATTAACAAGTCAATCTTAGATGATATCTCAATATGTGGGCCTTAGACTATTGGGTTTGCTATTTATTTAGCAAGCTCCAGAAACATGCTGTACTCTATACTTTAACCAATAGGTAGTCCAAAATATGGCATCGTTGGCTCACAGAGAACCAAAGGTTATGTTTCCTCCATTCAGAGGTCAGCATTCTTTCATTTGATCAGGTAAACTCTAGTCCTCTTCCTCAATACATAGGAAGTATATATTACCACTATTTCCATGACCTCTTATTAGAAAATTAGTTATTAGTTACAGTTTAACTCTTTAACGACGATGGGCTCATATATGAGTTGAGAGAGAATCAGACCCAGGCGACAGTGGACTCATTTATGAGTCGTGAGTCTGTCGGGCTCTTTCTCGTTAAACGGCAGGGTACTCAGTGATCAATTCTACTTTTAAACTATCCCACACCCTTCTTATGAGGCATTAGGTAATTTTTCTGTGGCTGGAGATTATGGAAATTTTTGAATGAGGCCTTAAATAAAATACTTGTAAGTGGTCAGTCAGCGTAGGTGATGAAAAAGGATTCTCTACAACATAAGCCTACTTGTTATATGATGAAGTTTTATTGAATTCTGTATGATGAAATTTTAGTGTATTTAGATTTCACTCATGTGACATCTAGCCTCAATTCAAGAATAAAATTTTGTTTTAAATGGTAAAAAGTTGGTGGTACTCATATAGTTTTCACCATATCACTGTACACTTGGTTGACAATGGTAAATGGTATTATTAAGCGGAAGAAGAATGTCCCTTTATTTTCTACCCTTTGACATGATTACTGCATAAGTACATCTATATTTTTTTCCCGCTGTTGTACAGTGCTACTAGTATATGTGTGTGTTGGATTAAAATCTAGTAGGCTCTTAAAGGGAATGCCATCCTGATTATGAATATTACCCCATACAAAGGATAAAAAATATGTTATTTGACAAATTATAGCAACATAAAAGTTTATGATAGATATTTTATTTTATGATAGATATGACCCTATCCCCTTGTACTTAAATTAGGAATCAGGATGTGGTCTAGAAGACATCTCGCGGTCAAAGATCTACAAGGTCTGCAGCTCCAAAAAAAAAAAAAAAAAAAAAAAAAAAAAAAATTATATATAAATAAAAACTTTTTTTTTTTTTCATCAATGAGTTTAAATATGACAGCATGTTTACAATATTATCAAAACTAGGTTAAAAAAAAAATCAAAATAATTTCTATAGGTTACAATAATGATGTGTCGACACTGATGCCATTAACTTATATAAGTTTTCTGTTCGATTTTCATGGAAAATATTTTTGAAAAAATTATTGTTCACACAGTTTTAATTTTTTAGGTAAAGGGCGTTACGGTGGAATAACAGTTGATTCTCAGGGCCATATACTTGGCTCGCGTACAGAAAAAGGTAAGAATTTCATACAGGTGTTTTCTCTTGCTGATGGGAACCTACTTGAAACTATTGATTCAGACTCATCGAAGCTTAAAAGACCTTCGGGGCTGGTGGATATAGAGGATAAGTATGTTATTGTCGTAGACCTTGGCAACGACACTCTTAAGAAATATTGTTATTGGTGAATTTTTGAGGTTAAATCGTTGTTATCTAATAAGGTTAAGCTGTAACACTTTCTCTAAATCTGCTTCTGTTAGCGCTAAGCACGTGTATGATCTTACTGAGAGGTTATTCTTTCCTTAGAGTTTTGCCTCAGATAGTAGAAAAATGTTATTCAAACCACCGCTATGACAGTCACTATTACGGTAGCGAGTGTGAATGATGTATATGACAGTTGAAATGAGTACTAAACAATTAGAAAGTATGTTAATCAATACAGTTTATATAGTTCTTATATTTTTAAGAAATTGGTTTTGTTTATTGTCAGGTATCTGAATAGAAGTTATATGTTTATTAGATTCTTTAACTGTTATAATTTTTTATGATTCTGTTATCTTAAATAGATTAAATCGTAATTCGCATTTCAAATTAAACTTATTTAAAATCATCCCTCATAATTGATAAAACAAAAAATAAATTGCTCTCCCATGACGGAACAGTATGTTGATTGAGTGACAAATTTCTAAGATTTTTTTTTATTTTTTATTGCTGTTATAGTTTTACTCGTTTTATTGATTTAATTAACTTCTATATCATTATGAATAATTGTTGTAAATTGTTAATGTTGATGTTTTCTTTCTGCTATGCTTCGTCATTCTTTTCTGGATTGTTCCTATTTTCTTGAATTAAGATATTAAATTTCTTTAGGTTTTAACATTATTTAATGTGCCTAAGAAATGTCTGAACATAATTTATGATCTATTTTGTTTTGATTCACCATGCAAGTACTTCTTAATAGAATATTTTAAAAATAAATAATTTTTTTACTATGCATTTTTATATCGGTTTATTAGGCTTCATTATTTGCTCATGAATTCTTTAATTATATTTTAAATTTAATTTTTTTTCTTTTACATATTAACTGGATTAAGAAATTATTTTGGTTTCATTAAAGAACAATTAGTTATGTTATGTTGTGCCATCAAAAATGTAAAATTGATTTTTTCTTTTAAGTTATGAATTTTTAACTATTTTAATAAGTCATTAGAAATTATCTATATTTGTAAACATCACGAAGTTTTACGGTTAAGGTTGAAAACATAGTTTCGTTCGTTTTTTTTTTTTTTTTTTTTAAATCTGTTAATTTAAGTATTTCCATAATGATAGTTACTAAGCAATATAGAAATTATTGAGGTAAATAGTTTTAGTTCTTAATAAAATAAAAATAAATTTATATTTAAAGTGTGTTTTACATTGTTAAACTATGCAGTTGTTTTTGTGATAGATTGTATGTCGCATTTAAATGTTTTTAATAACAAAAATAGTTAAACTGCCATTTATCTTGAATACATATCAATTTGAAAAATGCCACTTAACATTTTATCGTAGAAATCAATCTGGGAAATGTTACAAAGTATATCGTTAATCTTATCAAAAGATTTTCGGAATAAATTTATCAGTTTGCTATAATCAAAGTAAGCTTGGTTTTTACTTGGTGTATCTCATCCTAATCATTAGTAATCGACGATTCAGGATTCGTAATTTAACTGTAATATTTTTAATGAGATAAGTATGCTAAATCAGTATCTGTACTCATATTTATTTTTGTTTTAAAATTTTGAGCTGTGATAGCAACCTATTGATGGTACATATGTCTACATAAATTTTAGTTGACCCGTGATAAAATTTGTATCCCAGATAGTTGAATGAAAGATCATAAACAATAATATATGTACATACATTAAATTGGATCTTTGAAGGTATCATTCCTTCTGTATTTGTTCAATACTTTCAAATCATACTAATGTTATTGATAAAAGGCGTACATGCAGTAAAAACATTTTCCCACTTGAATGAAGAATGGCAGCAATTTATTCTTAGTGCTTATTATATTCACTTCTTTATCGAATAAAAATAAAATTTTATGAATATTTCTTTTTAAAACTTTTAATTTACTATCAATTCTGATAATGGCATAACTTATCTTTTTAATGCGTGTTTAAAAGATAAACCTATAAGTAAGGTAAAAACTTATTTAGTGTATTGTATTATTGTAATACCGGAGAAATCTACAAGTTAATAAATGATTAAGCCTGTAGGTTCTGAATAAACTAGTTGGAGACTTATCTTAGAACTTAACGTGAATGAAATATCAGCTCAGCTGTCAATTACAGATGTATTTAGATTCCTATAATATTCAAGAGAGAGTGCTAGTTAGTTGTAAGACTTTTTTTCTCCCCTTTTTTTATGTGAAAAATAAAAGTGTATATTTTAATTAGAAAAAAAAAAATGCCTAAGTCTCCTTTAGATAATGCTATTTGTATACCATATTTTCTTTACATTGTATGTATATAGTGTATATATCTATTTCTTCTGTATATCACTAAACACTGGCATGTTAATTTTTATTTTATTTTCGTGAATTGTTACATTTGACATTTTTAGTTTCCCAAATGACAATCAGATAAATTTGTACTAATTATTTTGGTTCAGATAAGAAGTAAGATTTTTTTTTTTTGTAATATTTATTAAAATATTGCGAATTGCTGTTTGAAAAGAGTGTTTATGTTTTTAAGTGACAACATAGTTTATTTTATTGTACAAGGCATTACTAGTGTATCAGTTAACAATATCTCCGTATTTCATAACATTTATATTGAAGAAAAAAAATGAACTCTTTTTTAGATATTTAATATATTTTTACATTAAATATCTTTTAAAAAGTACAGAAATACCTACATTTTAATATTTTTATCCCTCACTGTGATATTGTTGGATGGCTTGTTAGAACAAGATTCCTAATTAAAGAAATGACCAACAGCCTTTATATATTTGATTACTCGATATTAATCTAGATCTATCCTTCTTGAGGTATCATTTTTAATTTTCCTCAATGTTGATAACTTGTTTAGTATACAGTGTTTTTATTTGAAACTTCAGAATTAAAATATTTAATGAGCTATCCCGACTAATCGATCTCTGGGAAGTCCATGTAATCAACCTTTACAATTTATTTTTTTATTTTGTTGTAACAAGGAAACTTTTCTTTTTGATAGTGTAAATTTTAGACACTATTATACCTGAGTGAGAATTTTTAAATTAGATATTTGTATTTCTTTTCACTAATACATTTGAAGTATAAGCGATATCGGAAAAACATGTTTATTCCTATAAACAATATAATATATACAATTTGTCCTATCAATCCATTGAATTATAAATGTTGGAGTTTTGATGAATTCCACTATTTTCAATGATTTTTATTTAAGTTGTAAGGATTCATGGATTGAAATTGAAATTTATCACTTCTCTATAAAATCCCTTTTCTTTTGACATCTCATTTGTCAAAATCCAAATTTGTCATTTGTCAAAAATTTCATATCTTCTGAGCCCCAAAAAATGGATCTATTTTTCCATATTATATATATATAGTAGGTAATTATAATAATTAAAAAGAAAAATTATGTCTTAAAAAGGTTTTTTTTTGTGTGTGGTCCGTTCAGATATTTTGTGAGTATGGGAGTGTGTACTGTTATTAGTACTGCTACTAATGTGGGAACCTCACGGCTACTTAGAAGTTGCCGCTGCGTACTTACCAGAGTGGTAGTGTCAAGATTCATTGTGGCCATCGTGAAATAAATATTAACTGACTCAAGTGGGAATCGAATCTATAATGTTTGAAACCAGGCACTCTGTTATTAACACCAGGTATGCTCAGCCACCACATCCTCATTATGTGGAATTAAGTTCCCTGTGGCTGTTGAAAATAATTGAATCTTACTTGATTCTAGAAATGGTTTAAAGTCTAGAAATCAATTTTTTATGTTGGGATAAATCTAAGGATATTGCTAATTTCATTATTAAAATATGAGCATATCAAGAATATCCATTTTCCTAGAAATATATTCTGATGTATTTCGAGAATCCTGTTCTGTCCAAGAAACACCATTTGCCAACATGATGAAGGGAGCTGAGGTTTTATTTAGCCTTGTTTCATATTTTTTATTTTTGCTTAGTTTTTAATATCATTACTTAATTAATGTATTACTTTTTTTTTATTAGTTTTGATTTCAGAAGTATTTTTTAATTATTTCTTATATACAAGAGCTTTTATAGTCTTTCAGAAAGAGTACAAACTTGTTATTAGAATATAGATTTAACATACCAGTGTTTTATGATTGTTGATATGAAGCTCTGTACTGAAGCATCTTTTATGATTTCTTTCATTTGGGCTTTGAATCTTAACGATTTCATTTTCTAGTCATTTATGTGTCTTATTTATTTACGCTTGAATTTATACGTTGGCATAATTATTCTGCCATTATTATTGTATATTTTATTTTATGTTTTTTTTTAAAATCACTTTTTACTTTTTTTCATCTTGATTTCTATAAATTCATATGTACAAGTAAACATTGTTTTATAAATTGGTTGTTTTATTTTCCTAGTTTTAACAGTTGTAGGAACAAATATCTACAATAGTCTATAATTTTTCATGAAAAAAAAAAATATAGTTGATTTCAATGTTATTTTAATCTTGGAAGTAAAATTAATGATATTAGAATAGTGAAATCAGAAATTAATAATTTTAAAAATTCCCACTGTTGAGTATAATATACTTTACCTCCCTACGTTTGACAAACTTTTAAAATTTCCTCGTATTAAAGGCATGAAATGAAATTCTAGTTAAAATTCTGTTTCTATATTGTCTTAAAAATTAAGTCTGTTGATTATTTGGTATTAAAATGGCCTTCATGTAATTTATTTTTTCTTTAATTTATTCTAGCTTAAAAATTTAATGAATCATATGGTGGAATTTCCAGCAAAAGTCACTAAGTTCAGTCTGTGAATTTTATATGAAAAAATAAGATACTTGGACTTAATGAATTTTCATCATAAATGTATTGATGAAAAATTCATTCAATGACTTTATTTCGATTTAATTTTAATAAAATTAAATGTTCTTTGAAAATTTAAAATTTGGTTTTGTTTTAACTTATTTCTTTCGAATTGGTTTTTTGGTTGGTTAATATTTATACCTATTCATTATATAATGTAAAATTATTTATACCTCAAGAATCAATATCAATTGCCTACAGAACAAGTTATCTGTTGAGAAAGATAACATTTTTATATTCCAGCTATAATGTGATTTATAATTTAAATATCTGCTGAATATAAAAGGAAGCTTGAAAAAAAAAAGTGACTCCTTGATATTATATAAACAACAATTGAAGCTATACTAATGATTATTTTCTTATAAGTCATCTTTTCATATTGCAGAATTTTAATTCGCATTTAAAATATATTTGTGAATTTCAAACTTTTTTTGTTAATGCAGTATTTTTCTACGGCTGGTTGGCAGATTATTTTTTCCCCAATTTCTGGTTTTGAGAATTTTTTTTAAAGCATTTAATAAATATTAATTATTAATCTCATTGAAAATAGTAGTGGCGTACAAGAAATTCTATTTTATAGATCTTTTTATTTTATCTTTAATATCTCTATTTTTTGTTTTTGGTCAATGAAATGAAAATCTCTTTTTTAAAAGTTTTTGTGAGAAATTTAATTTTATTATGTTACTTATCAACAAGCTAGCTGGTTATAAAATTCCAAAGGAATTAGCATGAAAGACTAAAGATGTAATAAAGGAGACAATTTTATAAGATGGTGTATAAATCAGTTGAGAGATAAAAGTGATACAAAGCATTAGTAGTTTTCGAATGTAGGTAAGTTTTTTGGTTCTATGGATTTGTAAAAGAAAGAATTCTTTAATGACAGCCATAGATTTTTGTGTATTAGTTGATTTAGGAGAAGTACTCAGTGAAGGTGACTCCAAG